AATCCAATTTAAAAAAAAAGTATGTCAAATGAAACAGGTATATATAAAATATTTATTATTAAAGAATAGAATTGATTCATGCATTTTTTAAAAAGTTTGCATAATAAAGCAACATAATGTTAAAAAATGTAAAATATAATATCAAGAATTTTTTCACAAAAATTGCATATTTTTGCATACGGTAATCATTTTCACCATGAAGACAAGTCCAGAGGTCAAATTTTTTTTTTCAAATTAAATTATATTACATAATCTTTAATTTAAGATATCTATAAAAGTGTCAGTCTTTCCGGAATATTTTCAAAAGTTAAGTTGAAAAAGTAATTTTTTTGTAAAAAAGTTACCAATTTAAAACCCTTCCTGTGGGCTTATAAATGGTCAAATGTTCATAAAAATATATAAAATGATAGGTGAATACCTAAGGTATCTATAAAAAAAAAATTATATTGATTCGGTCATTTTTAAATAAGTTATGGCAATTTTAAGTAAAAAAAATTGAAAATATGTCGAAAATTAGCGATTTTTAAATTTGTAATTTTTTGGAGGATTTCCCCCGTTTCCAGGGAACGAGGGATTTTTTCAAATTTTGAGGGTAATGTCTTCGACTAGATACGATTTGTGATCTTTTGACGTATTGTTGAAAGAAATCGGTTTGGTGAGATCTGAGAAAAAGTGGTAACAGACACAAAAATCGAAGCAAAAATGTAAAATATAATATCAAGAATTTTTTGACAAAAATAGCATATTTTTGCATACGGTAGTCATTTTCACCATGAAGACAAGTCCAGAGGTCAAATTTTTTTTGGAAAACAATATACAAAAAAAAAAANTCAATTTTTTTTTGGAAAACAATATACAAAAAAAAAACTTAATTATTTATTTTTTTTAATTATATATGAAATTTGATATATTTAAAATTATTTTCTAAATCCATGCTAAAACAATTTCAATTTTCTTAATTCTATAGAAAAATTACTTTATATTTTTAGAGAATTTTTTTTTTTATTACAAAAATTTACCACAACCCCATCAAACTGTAAAATTAACTCAATTTAAAAATATCCCAATAAAACTCATATAGTTTTATTGTTTTATATAAACAACCTTAAGTTATTTAAAAAATCGAAATTTTTTTTTGAAAAGTAATATTGTGAGTAATTTTCAATATTTTTTTCTATATTTTACAAAATTAAAGCATCGAATTAAAAAAACTCTGATATTAGGAAATTTGTTTTATATTTTCAATCGCCAATAACTTCTTCATTTTTTACCAATGTTACAAAATAATATATAATTTTTTTATTATGTATTAGAGTATAACGCAATATAATTTAATATTGTTTAATTGTACGTAAAAAAAATGAAAATCGGTTAATTGCAATTAAAAATATTTAGAATATAAGAAACACCTTTTTTGCGGCAAACGAAAAACACTAATTTCGCAATAACTTAAAAACTATTCTACTTTTTGTATTTTGAACTTCATTTTCGGACTCAGTGGACAATTTTACATAAAAAAATGACTATCATAAGTCATAGGTCAGAAAATTTTTTTTTATTTGTAAACTAGTGTTATTATTATTTTTTAAGGCACAATTTAGAGGAATTTAATCTCTTAATTCTACAATAGTCACTTATTAATCATAAAAAAGTACAAACAATTTAACTCTAATATGAAAGCTGTCAAGGATATAGATGTCAAAGTTTTAATGGGCTCAATTGAGATAATAACAAGATAGAAAAATTACTTTGAAGAACTGCTTAATAGTGAAGTATCAGTGAGGTTAGTGCTAGCGTGGATAGATTATAGGGCAAAACAAAAGATAAACGATGTATTCATGCAAAAAGTTAAAAAAGTTATCAATAGCCTAATGGACTTCATTTTCGGACGCAGTAGACGATATTACATAAAAAATGACTATCAAAAGTCAATTTTGTTGTAAACTAGTATAATAAATAGTAAATATTATAAGAAATATAACACATTTTCAAAATTTTTTTATAAAATTAATTTTGATGAAAATTTACATCACTTGGTATTATATTAAATATGGTATAATCATATTTTTTGCATAACCGATGTAACAGAAATTCTGTGACAGAGGCTGTATTGAGTGTCATGTATTGATTTAAACCGGATCAAAATAAATATTATTCATATGAACTATAATTCATTAGTGAAATGAAGAAGTAAAAATTATTGCATACAATTTTACTGGTTAAAAAATAAAACCTAAATCGTACTTAACCATTTAAACCAAACTATTTATTGTTAAAAATATAATCCTCAAATCAAATTATGTAAACACATTTTTTAATATGAGTAGGAAGAGTTAAGGACCTGTTGGTTGTGAGTTAAGTTTGTTTATTTATCGATTATTCCTGCAAATAATCGTTGGTAATAATCCAACCTCTACTGATAGGATTAAATATAAGTTTTTGTTAAACGTTTAAATATGTAACAGCATTATTTTGTAATTGAGATTTTTACGTTATTTTATTTTTATGTACGTTGAACGTTTAATATGTTCGGAACATAATTCACTTTCATGAACAGTTTGAATAGTGATTAAATTTCTCACGCATATATTTTTTTCATGTATAAAATGTTTGAAAACAAGATATTTTGATTTTAATAAGAATTTCTCTATATTATTAATGTAAAGAAAATTGTGGGATCCAGTCAATATTAAATTTAAAAGATTACATTAAATATATATAAATATATACAGAATGATTTTTTTATCATAACCCACTCAATTACTTACAAATAAAAATAATTAAAAATTTTTTTTTTTGGTTACATATTATTCTTGAATTATTAGCTATGTCATACTTTTTAAGTTCATACCTAATGCTTTTTAAGGGTTCCAACTTTATTGTTTTCAACACATATTTTGAATTTAATAAAATATTTGAGCTTTTATTTTAATAGTAAATGACATTTGAATTGTTAACATAACTTTATTCGTTTATTAGATGTAAAACGTTAATGTTTCAAAATTTTGAGATTCAAATGTGATTTATCATTAAAATAAAACTTCAAACATTTTATTAAATTCAAAATATATGTTCCCATTTAAAACAACAAAGTTGAAACCCTTAAAAGGCATAAGGTATGATCTTATATTACATATCTAAAAATTTAAGAATAATAAGTGATTAAGTGTGTCCAAGAAAAAAAAATTTTAATTATTTTTATTCTGTGAGTAATAAAGTGAGTTATGATAGAAAAATCATTCTATATTTTTATACAGAGTGATCGGTTTTCCACAAACAACTCGATTACTCTTAAATTAAAAACTATAATAAAAAAAACCCCAGTACAGGGGGGTCGCGGCACAGTGGTGTCCTGGCATAGTCGGATCAAGTATAATGATATCTGATAGCCATTTTCACCGTAAAGACAAAATAAAGTCCAAAATTTTTTTTTTCCATAATAAAGTACATTACATTAGCTTTAATTTAAAATATTTATATTAAAGTGTCAGACTTTCCGGAACACTTTCAAAAGTTAAGTTGAAAAAGTAAATTTTTTGTGAAAAAGTTGTTATTTTAAATCCCTCCTGTGGGCAGGTGAAGGGTCAGATTTATAAAAAAAATATACCAAATGTTAGGTAAAAACATCAATCATTTATAAAAAAATTTATATTGATTTGGTCATTTTTAAAAAAGTTATGGTAGTTTAATGTAAAAAAATTGAAAAAATTAGTAATTTTGAAATTTGTAATTTTTTTGGGGGTTTCTCCCATTTACGGGGAAAAGGGAAATTTGTAAAATTTTTGAGTGTTATGTCTTAAACTAGATATGATTTGTGATCTTTTAACGTATCGTTGAAAGAAATCGGTCTTGTGAGAGCTGAAAAAATTGGTAACAGACACAAAAGAAAAAACACATAGTAAAATTAATACCTTCTCAGCTTCGCATCGAAGCTAAAAAATATTGATTTCTTTTAGTTAAATATAATTCTTGATATATCAGCTAATAATTACTTTTTAGAATCGTCCTTCATAATTTAAAGCGGTGTCAATTTAGTTTTTTAAATACAAACATACATAGTTATCTAGCTTACAAAATAAGAAATAATCTAATTAAGAAAATTATTGGTCGATAATAACTTTTGGCCCAATATTTCAGAAGTTATTAACAATTTAAAGTATTGACTAGTGGTGAGGATTGAATTCTATTATTTTTATCACTAGTCATTTACCAGCCGTACTCTCCGTCCCACCCAGGTATAAAAATGTGAATAACCTTTTTTAGTGATCCATAAGTTATTATTGACCGATTATTTTCTCCTCAATTAGATTATTTTCTATTTTATAAGTTAATTAAATATGCATGTTACAATTTAAATAAATAAAGTTGACACCTCTATATGTTATAAGGGATTATTCTAAAATAATTCAAGAAACATATGCAATTAAAATAACAAAGTATTATTTTCAACATAGTATTTATATTAAGATTAATTGAGTTGCTTATGATAAACCGCTCACCTATAAATATTATCTATTGGTATATGTTACGTTCGTATACCAGGAAATAAATATTAACTAATTTATCTCAGTAAAACAATTTTGCTTGTTTACACCTTTTAGTCGATCGTGTATATTTAATTAATAATTATTGAAACAAAGATTTATTAGAATTATTATTATTTAAGGTGATTGCTTATTCAAAGTTCAGTGATAATAGAAAATATAATATTTGATAAATTTATAATGAATTAATCCTAAACATTTTAGTAAACATAATGTATAACAATTAATGTCACGACTAAATTTTGCTAGGCCTAGCGAACCTATTACCTGCCAGATGGAAAATAATCTACAGAGTTTTCGGGTGTACGCCACACCACTTGTAACAATCATAACAATTCTATTTAACTTAAGTTATATTATGTATACTGCTGTATACAACATTACAGTAAATAAAACGTATGCAAGTATACACTGCCCCTCTCTTTTCTTGAAAAACAATTACAGTATATTAACTGTACTATCACTTCAGTTGTTAACAACGCATTTTGTATTCACTACAGTGCGTTCTACGAATAGTTTTAGTCGTCGCTGCAATGCCATTGTGGTTGGGTTAGACTTAAATAAGATATTGTTATTATTGCTGGATTCATTTTAACGAGGTAAATATTTATGGTTTTGAAGAATTAAGTTTCATAGTAAATTCTTAATGTGTTTTTTAATTATAAAAGTTGTGAAAGATCCTTACTAATTGTTTTTAAAAAAAAGATGATTTTTAATTATAAAAAATAAATTTTGTTTTATTTAAGTATATGTTTAACGTTTAGATTTTAATGTAATTAAAAAATTAAATAGTAACAAAAATAATTGTATATTTTTGAATGTATAATGATGGAGGCTACATTATTATTTTTTTATATAAATATTATTTACATGTTTATAAATGTAATTAATAGTCGTTCGCTCTGACCTTAGAATATAAGTTTTATTGAATTAATTAATTTATTAATATGTAGAAGAAGGATATGAAAATATTATAAATAAAATTATAATTATAACGTTCATAAAAAAATAATTTTGTGAAAACATAATTAAAAACAAAAAATATGTATATGAATAACGTTAAACATAAACAACTCGCATTGTTAAAAAAGATTTTTCAAACGTCATATTTAAAAAAATTCTATTTAAAAAAAATGTAGTAATTTGCCCATATTAAAATCTGTGTATGAAAATAAAGTATGTTTTAAATTCTTTTAACGTTAAACGTAAAAATGTAGTAGCGTTAAACGACATTTTTCCCGACCCCTGTATAAATATAGTATACTATTGTGACAAACTTTTTCTATACTCTATTATTACACTTTGAAATTTGAATATTATGTAAGCTAAATTTCTATTCTGGCCCATTGTGGGATGCTTTAAGTCTGTTACACTCAAAACTACCATTACAATTTGATATACATTTAAAACTCGTTAAAAAGTGTATATATACACCATGGACTAAAATAATAAGATCTAATATCTTAATTCGTGATATACACTATTAACGATTTATATGGGATTAAGTTGAGGAATTGATTTATTTATATATTTTATTTTGAATTATTATTGGCATTTTTTATAATTGGACACGATAAAAAGAAGAAGGCGAATAAAATGAAGAAGTATTAAATACAAATATTATAATATATATTATATAATAATTATATAATTATTTTAGTAATATATATAATATAACTGGCCTTTTTAGCTTTTTGCATTTTCTTAGGACGGGTGCTAGTATTTAATTTAAATATAAATTCCCGACAGATATTGTCCTATTTGTTTTCTTATTTATCTGTTAATTATGTTTACTTGTTTCGTGTTAGTGTATTTATATACTATAAACTTAAATAAAAACACAAATCATTTTTATGATAGGTATGTTTTTTAAATTTTACAAATAATTCATATTGTTATTGGTATTTTTCTTCGAGAAAGGTTTAGATTTACAATTTGATCTCGAATCAACTTTATCGAGCACAATAAATTTCATAAAAATCTGTGAAGCCGTTTACGAGTTTTAATACTTCTACGTGGAAAGAAAAAATATATAAATATAAACGTGAACATAATTAATAGAATATATATTTTTAATTCAAATAACCTGCTGTAGCACAGTGGGTTGGTGATTATTATGCCTACGACAGAAAAGCATATGGTCGGGCGGTCAAGTACTGAGAAGATGCCACGGCCACGATTATTAGCAATCTACTTTTTTCATTAATTTAATAATTACATAAACATATTTATAAATGTAATCTATATTTAAATGTTTTGTAGTTCTTTTAGAAAAATAGCATTAAGTAAATTGATAGCTTTACATCGTCACCGTCAATATGGCTCAACAGCAAGTATTTGATTCTAATTGCATGACACTTACCCGATTTGTATTGGCAGAACAAAAAAAAGTTCCAACAGCTACAGGTGATCTCTCTCAATTGTTGACAAGTATACAAACCGCTGTGAAAGCCGTGAGCTCAGCCGTTCGCAGGGCAGGACTAGCACATTTGTGAGTTTTTAATTAAATTAAGATGAATTGAATTTTCATGGCTCTTAGCTAAAGTAAATAATTTCTTAAGTAAAAAATCGCCAAATAATTTAATTTGGGAATTGATTATAACCAGTGTGTATGTTTTATTTAACATTTTAAGTATTTTGTGAATCTGGGTTTTAGCATTTTTGTGTATTGTATGATATAAATTCGTTTTTTGAGGTAGAGTAGCAGGATAGTATAAAAAAAAATCAGCACCAGAAAATAAAAATTTGTATAAATCAATAAATTTATCGTAATATAAAATGTATGTTAATAATAAAATGCATTATTAATTCAGAAAGTAAATGTAAAATATGGTTGGTGGGCTCTTGATTTTCTATTTGTGAGTCATTTGTTGCATCGATTCGTGGTATAGGCTGTTAACAAAATCGAAAACTTATCTGGAGATGAAATTTTAAGTTTGAAATCTCCCTAAATGTGGTATGAAGTATTATTAAACAGAGCCTATTTTTTTATTGATTTTTGACTCATTGATTGTAAGATGAATTAAACTAAATATTAGTTCAGATTCAAAATTCTGGTAGATAATAATTATAGCCATATAAAAAAAAATTGTAATAATAATAACAAAATAATGTAATTTATTGTGTGTAGGTATGGTATGGCTGGATCAACTAATGTGCAAGGGGAAGATGTAAAAAAATTGGACGTACTTAGCAACGAGCTATTTGTTAACATGCTTGCATCTTCATACACAGTGAATATGTTAGTAAGCGAAGAAAATGAGACTGTTATAGAGGTATAAAATAATTTACTGTTATTAGAAATAAATAAATAAATAAAATAAAAATGTGATTAACTATTTAAATACAAATTAACAACATATTGTTAATAAAATAGCACAATTTTTCGTAGATTGAAACTGAAAAACGAGGTAAATACATTGTATGTTTCGACCCTCTAGATGGATCATCTAATATAGATTGTCTAGTGTCAATTGGATCAATATTTGGCATTTTTAAGTATGGCTAATATTAATGCCATTTAACTTATTTACAAGTATTTTTAATATTTGAATTTATTTTTTAAGTAAACTAATAAACTTTTAGGAAAACTAATGAAAGTAATGATATTGACATTAAAAATGCCCTTCAACCAGGTAGGACTATGGTTGCTGCTGGTTATGCTTTGTATGGTAGTGCAACTATGATGGTATTATCATTGGGGAAAGGAAGTGGAGTGAATGGATTTATGTTGGATCCGGTAATTAATTTTCATATTGGTTGTTAGACTTTTAATCAAATACTGATATATTTTTACAAAATATAAATAACTTAGCTGGCATTCATAGTTCTTTCTGTAATTAAATAATTATAGGCCCTAGGAGAATTTTTATTAACAGAACGTGATATTAAAATACCAAGAAAAGGTAATATTTACAGTATCAATGAAGGTTACACCCATCAATGGGATGATATTATTACTAAATATATCATACAGAAAAAAGATCCTAAGGTATATATAATGCTAATAAGACTTAAATTTATAATAATAGCCACATTTTTTGATTTTAGTATGGAAAACCTTATGGTGCTAGATACATTGGATCAATGGTAGCAGATGTCCATCGTACACTAAAGTATGGTGGTATATTTATGTATCCCGCATCAAAACAATCTCCAAATGGCAAAGTTAATTATTTTCATTTAATTCTATTTAAGATCAACTTATTTATGATCAACATTTTACTTTAGTTACGTCTTTTGTATGAGGGTAATCCAATGGCTTTCATAGTAGAAGAAGCGGGAGGTGTTGCTACTAATGGTAAGATACCAATTTTGGATATCCAACCAACAGCTTTACATCAAAGATGCCCAATATTTTTGGGTTCTAAAGATGATGTCAATGAACTTTTAGAAATGTACAATGTATAGTTAGAGAGAAATGTTAATTATTAAACTAATTTTTTTTAATATTGTCATACAAAATATTCAAGTTTTAATTGTAATTTTAAATTGTTTACATGTCAAAATAATAATAAATGTACAGTTAAAGAAACAACATTAAAAGTAAAATTTAAATAAGTCAATGATGTTAAATAAAAAAATTATGAACGGAGAGCTAAAAATTGATGGAATACTTCAAGAATATGAATGTCTAAGTCTTGAGTGAAAAGAAGACCTTCAAGTGTACTACTATATTTTTGTACTTGTTCATGATGCTAAAACATTTAACAATATTTTAATATAGTAAAAAATCAATAAAACAAAATGAAATTCAATTATTGAAGTATAAATAAAACTCACAGCTAAAAACACCTGTTGAAGTCGCCCAATTGTATACTTATACCAATATGTATCAAATGGTCTATCATCAGTATCACATTTTACTAAATGTTCTGACAGTATCATAATAAATCTCTAAAAAAACCATTCATTAACCATTTTAAATTTATTTTTGCAACATTTGATTAAGGATATTAGTTTACCTGAAAAACAATTAAAAACAAATTTTTTTGATCTGCTTGTGCCATCTCTAGTTTTTCTTCCATTCTTTCAACCATTTCTTCAGTAACATTTTCATCTACTTCCATTGGTACTTGCCCTCCAAATGTAGTAGTTGACTGACGAGAAGGTTTAGAATCAGTTTTTTCAGTTTCAGTATCACTATCATCTGAACTATTAGAGGTAGCTGCAGTAGTCCTTAACTTTTCTCTAGCTTCATTTAACTCTCTTGTTAATCGATCAACATGTCTTGACATCTTATTTATAGTTAATGATAATATTTCCCATATGTATAGTCTAAGGATAAATATTTAACTAAATTAGTTTTTTAATCTTCCTCAATTTAAAAAGAAAATTTACTTAGTGAATTCTGGAACCATTTCCCTTGAAAAAATCCAATTTGCAACAGATGAACACTCAATAATTTGTGTTTTTAACATCTTATCAATAAGTACAGTCAACATTTGCTGATTGGCACTCCATAAATCAAAAGTACTTCGTAAAATTTGAAGTTGTCCATCATCAGTTTCACCTAACGCCTTAAAATTATCCATTTAATAAAATTATATGGAAAAATAATCAACTACCTCGCATACCTTAAAAACACTAATAAATTTTGTTATAGCAGCAAAAGCATGTGAAAATGATTTGCTAGCAATATATAACAAAGTTTGTACATAAGCATCAATTTTTATAGGGTTAGTAAGACCAGTGTCTACTGGCTCCATTATTTCTCCATTGTCTAACAATAGTGGTTCTTTTAATATCTCAAGTACTTCTTCAGGAGTAGCTTTATTTCGTATTTTTGTCAGCAGAGTATTTGCCAAAAATTGACCAGGAAGCTCTAATTATTATAGAACTCATAAAAAAAACAAAAAATTAATTAAGAAAAATTAAATTTACTTGACTTCTCAATGGCAAATTTATATTTGGTGTCAGGCTTTTCTGGTAATAGTGGTTCAAAATCAACAGGAACTATATCCCGCATTCGCTCATAGAAAGATAAACTATAAATTGCACATAGCTAAATTTTATGTAAAATAAAATAAAAATTTTAAATTACCGCATAGCTTTTTGGAGAACTTCACGAACAAATTTAGGTTTAGGATGTTCAGGATCTAAAGTTAAACAATCGGCCCATTCTTGCCAAGACCAACTGAATTTGAAATTACTTAAATGATATGCAAACCACGAAACAAACCTATAACATTTAATCAATTATAATAAAAAATATTAATAATTTACATTTTTTTACAAACCTATCAAATGCACAAACATGCATAGATTCAATACGAGAATACAATATTTCAGTTGTTTGAGCTAATACAAGAGGCATAGTGTTAGTTGAAAGTTTAGATAATTCAATGAAAACTGATCCAAACATAACTTCTAAATATTTAGGCTTTGGTTGGTGAAACATTAAGCTGAAGATCACTTCTACTATACAATATTCCAGTGGCACTTTATTTTTATGAACAAAATTCATCAAGTTCGTTGCACTACAAAAATAGTAATTACATTAACAAAATTCATACTGATGATTAATTAAATTATTTAAAAAATAATTAACCATTCTTTTCTATTTTTGCTTGACATATCAATTATTTGTTGTAAATGTTCTTCTACAAGGAATCTTTCAATAGAATGTGCACCAGGCATTATATGACCCTAATTTAAAGAAAGATTATATAATAGAAAAATATTAACAAATAATTTATTCAAGTTAGTTTAAGTTACTTCAGTCACATCAGTATAATCAAACAATCTACACACAACCCAAGGCATAGGATAAACACAAGCATTATGATGAGGAGGTGGAGTAATCACTGGTAAATTATGCTGAAGAGCTTCACATAAAACATTATCAAAAGTTAAGTAAGGCCTTGGTATTATTGTTTCTGTCCAACTATCGTGTTTTAATTTTTTTATTTGATTCCAAAGACATTCCAAGTATTCTTCTTGTGGATGTGGAATATCTGTTAACCAAATTCGCAACATATTTATATGTTTTTTTGGTCGTTTATTTAAATACACTTCAATTGTTGTTAATAACATTTCTAAGGGAGATTCTCTCTTTTCATATAATTCTCTACCAACCCAAGGTAAACATGACATTACAGCATAACAATACCTACAAAAAATAAAAAAATAAATTAACCATCAGTTTATTTAAAAAATAATAGTTTATAACTCTATGTATATAATAATTATATAATTAAATTATAATTTGAACACATTTTTATTTTATAAATTAATATAATGTAATTTTTTATTTTAATATTATGTTCAAATATTTTTAATTAAACAAAAAAATATTCTTTTGGAATTAATAATCATAAAAAAAAAAAAATGGTCAGTAAAACATGTAACATTAAAATAACTTTTTCTTTTAAAAATATATTAATTTGAAATCTAAGAAATTGATGAAATAATTCAAATTATCATACCAATCTTTTCGTACATTAGGAACACCATCTTCTTTAGTTACATCTAATAAGCTAGCCATAAGTTGCACAAACGAATTAGCAGATACAACATGACAGTTTACCAAATCACCAATAAAACGCAAAATGACTCTAGCTTCATTCCACGAATTATTTTTAAGTGAATCTTTGAAAGTGCGCACAATGTTTTCTACAAACTATATAAAAAAAAATTTCCAACACAATCATATTTTCAAAATTATACACAATATTCAATGGCTCATTTCTGAACTTACCTCTCCACCAAAATTATAGTTTTTAGCATTTAATAAACCAACTAATGTTGAATAAATTGTGCATNAAATTATAGTTTTTAGCATTTAATAAACCAACTAATGTTGAATAAATTGTGCATTTTTCAGGCATATTAATAGCACAATCAACTAATAACTTCAAAACTTTCTTTTTGAAATTTTGCAAATTACCATCCAATACACTAACTAATCCTTCCAAGTTACTTTCTAATGTACTTGATGTCTAAATATTTTTATAAATTTAGTTCATTAATGTTAATTTTTAAAAATAAATGACAATTATTTAAAATAAAATTACCTTTTCTCCAACTTTTAAAATAAGACTCTCTAGTCTATCTTCAAGATCATTATTTTCTGAATTTCCGCGTCGACGTTTCTTATGAGCTCGATCTCCACCTAAAAATAGTTTAATAATAATAATATATATATATACATACATACTTAAAGGAGTCATAAAATACTTTTTTATTTTCGAAACAACATTTATAATATGTCAATAATACATTAAATAAAATATNCAACATTTATAATATGTCAATAATACATTAAATTAAATATTTATGTCGTTAAAACGTTTCTAACTTAAAAAAATAATAGTCCATACTGTAAAACTTACAAAATTCACAAATTGTCAATTAAAATAAAATAATATATTTTATTTAATGTTTAAATTTGTTTGGTTTGAAAGCACACTTCTAACATGAACTTTTAAACTTACCGTATAAATCCTCATAGCTATCGTGAAAGCGACGGCGACTCATAATGTACAAATAATTTGAATTAAAGGTGATTAAATTAAGAAGTTAAATTCTAAATTGATCAATACTTAAACTTAAAATACCTCAATATTTAAATACTAACGATTGAACAAACTTAATTGAAACAAAATATTAGAAGCCATCACTGTAAACGATAACGCTCGTGCCGCTACAGCAATTTTCTATTTGTTTGATAAATAATAATATTAAGAACATCAGTATGACCAATGATACAATAATTAATATACATTTTTCTTGTTTATTGAAACTATAAACGTTTGATTTTTTAAATCAAACCATTAAACATATTAGGTATATAATTTCTATAAGGTTTCTTACAAACTTATCACATTTTTTTTTACATTTTATAGAAGAGTAAAACTAAAAAATGAATTATATATTACTTAATATAAAAAATTTATTTTTGAGACAAGTTTTATACAGAGATAATGTGTATATTAATTAATTTTGACAATTCAGTTAAAATCTGCATCATTTGTATAATAGAAATTGATTATTAACTCATTCACATTTAGGAAATTACATGTTATGGGCGAGCATTTACCCTTTACCTACAAAAAGGATTTAGCCATAAGCGCAACTAGGTAGTCTAGGATTCGGTGACGGACTCGCCCACGGAGGATACGATGAGAGGGCGAGTGGACCAGGTCCCTTATAGGACCCGATCGGCTAGACAGGTTGGGTGGACCGGACTTACAGTGAGATGACATCGTCTCACCCAAGTGATGTCCGGCCACGGCTGTTTTGACGAATACTTACACCGTATTCGCAAAGCAGCCGCTTCGACGTGCGATCACTGTTCGAATCGCCCCGGAAAGGCCGATAGCGCTCTGCACACCTCTTCCGGTGCGTGTCATGGCACCAGGAGCGGGACTCTTTGGAGTCCCGACTAGGATCTACGTTCCGAGTCGGATCCATGGTGGACCTGAAGTTGAGGAGCCGGGAGGCGTGGAGGCTCGTCTTAGCGTTTGCCGAATCCGTCTTGAAACAGAAGGAGGAAGCGGAACGCCTGAGACAGAGGCAGCCACGCCGCCCGGCACAGGAGGACCTGAGGCGCTGGTTTAGTCCGGTTCCTTAGGTTCTTGTTTTTTTTTTTTGTGGTTTGTGAGTTATTTTGCCAACCCATCCTAACGGTTCCTATTCTGGGATTCGGCTAATGGGAAGGGGCCACACCATGTTGCGAATCAACTCTTGATTAATTTCGGGCTGATTTGCAACGTGGTGGTGTGAATTTTAAAGATGGCGTGAGTCGCCCTGAAGTAATGCCTAACGGCAGTTCCAGGGCGGCCCACAGTAATGCCGATCTTGTAAAAAAAAAAGGCGAGGTCTAGGGACGCTTAACCTTCCATAAGTTAGAAAATTATATATTTTGTTATATTAAAAAATGTAGAATAAAAAAAGAAATTAATTTAGCAATCATAAACATTTATTTTAGTTGCACAGTCCTAGTGGCGAATTTACTATTTTTGATTACTTGAAAACAATATAAAGTATAGCTTAACTAAATACATATTTTTATAAGCTAATATGAAACCAATAATAGCTTACAGAACGTAAACATGATTAAAAATATAAAAAACACCTAGTGGCTATTTAGAAGGAACTTAGAGATACATGTTATTTATTTGTTATCGTCAAAATGATTTTAAAATCATTATATTAAGATTTTTATATTAAGTATAATAGGTTTGGTTTGTTAGTATTTACTAACAAACGATCCATTTAAATGAATCGTTTGCTTCGTTCACACCTTTGTAAAATGATATCAAATATTTGTTACATTCTAGTAAAATTTGTTTACCGTCTTTAGGTACAATACTCTTTTCCTGATGGTATTTTTTTTTTCTAATAATGTTTTAATAACGTTTTATAATATATAATATTATAAAATATTTTTTATAAAACTATTCTTTAAAATAACTTTATGGGTTATTATGATAATAAAGAAATCAGTGTACTGATAACATAAATTGTTTTATTTTTCCATTATTTTGATAATAATATTCACCAAAGTAGATTTATCCATCTTAGTATTCACTGAATATAAAGACATTGCGTAGGGTATTTTTATTTAACTAATAAAATATGTAATCATTTAATAATAACGAGATATAACTGAGTTAATTGGGTTTCGTAAAAACCTTCCGGAATAATTTCAACATTTAAAATATTTGCAAAACTGGAAATATTACATTAACAGTCAACAAAAATTTGTCGTCATCAACGTTTATAACTTATTTTACTAGTATATTTTTAAGTCGATAAATTTTTCGAGGTCATGTCTTACGATCTAATTATTAACTTACATGTATTTATTAAAAATAGTATTTTATACTCACGAATCTGTGTGGTTACGTTGTACTAAAAAGGATAAATACATTTTATAATAAGGGTCTAAAATTAAAGGAGCGTACCAATTAAAATTGGGATTTTTCGATTGTTAATCTATTTCAACCATAACATAAAATATTTTTTAATGTTTTTCAATTAATGTGAAATATCATAGTATGTATTGCTGGAGAATTATTATATTTATGATCACATTTATGCAAATGTGCAAGTTTGCGTTAAATGTTTTAAAATCTTACATCATACATTTGATTTATTTAATCAATAATCTATTTGTGTTCTTTCTTGTAAAATATAATAGAATTATATTAATGCGTGATAACTTATGAATAGACACATATTAAATTTTGGAAGAATATTCTACTAAAAAAGAATGAAAGAATACAACAAGAAATTCAACATTTTGTTGACTACACTAAAACTGTTCAAGTAAAAATTTCCATCCAATCATTAGTTCAGTCACGTCTTTGGTCACTGTCCCGATTATGTTTAAAAACAAGTGGCTGCCTCAGGCTTGACACTGTTATTGCTGTTATTTGCCTGTAGGACAATAGTCATATGTTGGGTCATAGTACACGTCGCGCTCTCGCACCGTGTGGTAGTCATGTACCACTGAACCTTTCGCTGATCTTCGTTTACAGTGTCTAGTGTAAATATTTCTTAATTTCGCATACTAAGTGCGCTCAATATTTTTAAATTGTGAAAAATGTTGTTTTACAAATAGTGTAGTTTCTAAAAAAGAAACACAAGATGGATGAAGAAACAATTGTGGTTTTAGGCGTGCAGCTTTTGGCTCTTTGCTGTATCATTTGTTCTATAGTAAGTATCTAATTTAACTATTTTTCATTTTAATACACGTTTAAATAAAAAGATAAACAAATCTGGTTTGATTTGGTTTTACTTGAAGTAATATAACTTCCTGATTAATTTTACTTAACGTTAAGGCATAGAAGAAGTACCGATATTTTTTATTGCTGATAAAACTTGTATTTATAGATAATTATACAAGAAAAACAAATTGCGCTCACTTTAAAATTTTTAATATTTTTAAACAACTTTAAACAATTATCTTTTTTTTTTTTCATAAAAAATATGAACTTTTTCCTCTTCCTAAAAAAAAATATTATAATAATCAGCAGAGTTTTTAGAAATTTTGGAGGGTTTAATTTATACTTTAATATTGGTTAAACCCCTTCCAGCCTCTCTTCATTTTCGTCTATTCCTTTAAACAAACTTGGTTATTATCTAGCAAATTATAAAGTTATTACATTTAATTAAAGAATAGTATTGAATTGTATAAATATATAATATATAAGTATAAATACATTTAACGAAAGAGTGAAAAGGCTCTCTTTATGTGCTATTATAGGAATATAAAAAATGTATTTTAAATTATTTTTAAGAACGGGAAAGATTGGCTTAGAATATTTGTCAAAGGGTTTGCCAAAAAACGCGGGTCCTCAAATTCAACTATCAAATGACCTTTTTTTATACAAGGTCAAAATATCTTGGTTTTGGGTGTACATTCTAATAGCTCAGTTGTGTCTAACACTAAGTAATTAAGAATGAATAAATGATGTACTCGGGAATTACAACTGGGCATCTTATTCCATAGTTTACTCATAATATTCTGTATCAAATATTCATTAGGATTCAAAAATAACCTGTGAATTTTAAAGACATTTTTATATATTTTGACTCTCATTGACCCTAAGTAAAAAATTAACTTTTGTACATGGAATTTTCACGTCAAAAATTTGTTAAAATAATTTTACGTTTTACAAAATTATTAAGTTACACTTGTAAAACGATATATATTATAAAACGGTTACAATTTAATATGAAATCGCTATTGTAAGATATAATGCTTACTAATATAAACGTTTAATTTATTTGAATCCTGTATGACAAACAAATTTTTGACTTTAATAGATTTTTTTTGAGTACGATCAAATTGGTAATCGATAGGATATAGTACGTGAAATTAAATAACAAATCGAACATTTATATATTAATAATAATATATAATTACTCAATATAAAGTAATACTCATAACTACTAATTTTAACAAATTAATACTACCTTTTTTAAAACGTAGTAGTGAAAATAATCTTACAATGTCATTTTGAAGCCTCCAAAGTCTATATTTTGCTATTACGTTTTTATATTTCACTCTTTTTATTGTAATAATAATCACACGAAAAAATTGAAAAACTGTGATTCATCAATATCATAACACAACAATAAAATAATTTTTCCAAGTCTTGATAGTTTAAGCACCTTAAATGTCACTAAAAGGTTTCAAAGTTTGTTGGTAGCGATATTTTGATATTCTTACTAATAATTTGAAATTCAACAAAAATTGGTTAAAACTTTTTTTAGTTAAAACCGCAGTAGTTAATACTCGAAAACATTTTCATTTTTTGTAAATATAAAATTGTGTATTAAAAAATGAATATTTTTAATCTGGGGGTACTGTGATACCCTTAAAATTTTAGAAATTATATTTACTTTCATATAAAAAATATTTTTTTTAAATGGGAAAAATTTATATTTTATTGATTAATATGCCAAAAATTGTATTATATTTGCATCTCAGGGTTTATCCTTATTCACCATTCTGGGTATACCTTTGTTTGAATGGTATAGAATTAAAAAACGATAAATAGCAGTTTTTTATTGTTATTACCGTTTATTAGTAAGCAAGTAGTACTGCTAATATGAATGCATATCCGACAGATTTCTCCAGCTTTCCAATGTCCATTGTAGGATAATATTAATCGTCATCAATTATAATACATAAACATAGGGACAATTTTTTGTTAAATATTAAATATGAATATTTTTATTTATATTAAGTTTACCTAAGTATCATTCCTTAACCTCATAATTATAACGTAATAACATTAATTAAAAAAAAATAATGAACATCGCACTACGCCATAATATAATTTAAATAGGGGAATACGAGGCATTATGACACAAATAGTGTCCAGCTTTATGTAACACGTTATATATCATAAAAATTGATCACTTTTTGTTAATATTATTTAAAATTAAAACTATATTAAAATTTTTTTTATTTTAAATTTAATAATATTTTTAACACGTTCTAAAATTTAGGGTCTATTGCAACAAATTGGTAATTCCTATTTCAGAAATTTTAAAGGAGAAGCAATTTACTGAAATATTTTCTATTAATAACAATGGTAAATTATTTATTTTTGTTCAAGTACGATATGAATCCTACAAATGACTCATTTTGTCCCTATGTAATGGTAAAATAGAGCAGTAAATATTTGTACACATTTATTTGATTGGATGGGTTTAATTTTAGTTGGTAAGTTTAATAGCAATTAATTAAAAGTTTTGTTCTTGTCATTTTAAAACAAAATACGACTCAAATATTTATAAATAAATTTAAAAAAACATGATTAACTGTTTGTATATAATTTCGTGCTATTATAAAAAAATTAAACTATTAATCATAAATTAACTATATTAAATTATTTAATTGATGATTAACTGTTAACTTTTTTTAAGGTTATATATTTATTGCGAAAAATGAATCGGAAAACGGTTTACGCAACTCCTGCTCATCGATCAGTTTTAATTACGTCTTGTGAGACGTCCGTTGGTTTGCAACTGTGTGACAAATTGTCTTCTGCTGGATTTCGGGTATTTGCTGGCTATAAGCCTATGTCAGAAACTGACGACGGTACATTGTCAGAGGCATGTATCTCTTTACGCATCAAAATTAAACAACGTGAATCTACAGACATGGAACGAGCCCAGTGTGGCATCGTATTTATGCGACTTGATGTCACTCGTGAAGATTCTTTGCACGAAGCCGTGGACACCATTAAGAGACATTTACCCGCCGGTGAAGATGGTAAGATCAACATAAAAATCATTTTATAATAAGTTAAAATTAAAACTCTCGAGAAAATTAAATTCTGTGGATAAATTATAAAATATATAGAGGGCTCCTATCTTACAAAAATAACACTCAGTTACGTTCTCATATAGCACGTAGTATTTTTATCTAATTTAACATATAATATATTTTTTTTAATATTTATAGTTGTTAAAACAAGCTAATTAGCTTACTTTAAAAATTAATCAATACTTTCATGAAGTAAATAACTATAGGAATTGTTTAATGTATTAGATCTTTAGTTTAAACGTCAATATGTCCCTGAATTTACTTTACTTTAAATTATATTGAAATTAAGACACATATTAGTTTGCTGTTATTTCGGATATTATATGATAACAGTAAAATAAAGGACAACGCAGAATAATCATGCATGTTTGCACAAATTTACTTCGAAATAATCTTTTAATAATTTATTTTATTATTAAACTATTGACCAGGCTACAAATGAGAGCGTTTACATTGAGTGATTACTTCTTTAAAAAACATATAATTACAGTTTTACGTTTATTGTTCTATTGTATGTCTCAAACATCTATTGAAATATTTGTTCTGTGCCCTTGAAAACAAGAATGATAACGTGCATTACACCAATTTGGACAAGATTTTTATTTAGAAGAATAGGATTAATTCATCAAGTCTTCCCACAGCAACAGTAAAAGCAATTACTTAAAAATAGTAGCAATTGTTTAAACAAATTTAGAGAACGATTCAAGGTTATTCCTTATAAAAAGCAAATTTGTCCACCTTATTCATTCCAAAACAAATAGGTGTTTACTTATATTGATAATTCTTGAACACACATATGACTGAATGTTACAGTAATTTGATGTGTTATTAACTATTAACATAATATCGATGGTTAAAAGGAAAATGTTGAAAGTACCAGTAATCAAATTGTTAAGGAAAGCCAACTATACATTCTTATTCTACCATAGAACATCCTTTAATAATTTCTCCCTATTAATGTGAATGACACCGATGATCAATGTGATCAAAGTGAAACCAATGAATATATAATTACGCCGTATACAATAGTAAAAATATAAAAATTTATTTTTGAAAAATATGTCGTTTCTAGATATTGATATTTATATTATATATAACAATCTATAAAATATCTGTTTAAAATCATTTTTATGACTCAGGGCTATTTTTTTAAGTTTAGGTATTGCAAACTCTTGAGTAAAACTTGCTAACTCTAAATTCACAAAATTCCTAATTGTATAGTGACTAGTATAACATGTGTAGTCATTGCCTATTTTAAGAATTTCAATCTGAGTCGTCTCTCAATATCGTAAAACATACAAAATTAGTCCCTAATATAGCTCAAAAGAAACATCATTAGCTTTATTATCAAAAACGTTACTTAACAATCGAAATGATAATCATTATAATATATACAAATGTGAATTCTGTTTTATTTATTGAATCTTTTTTTAATTATAATAAAGGTGACTGTACGAAGATAATTGTCATCCACATTAAATCATAACCTTTATAAAAAAAATTATAATAACATAAATATTAATTTTTTATATTCAATAAGTAAACTAAGTATAACATTATTGCTATTGCTATAGTTCTATAGTAGTTAGTATTTGGAAGCACGTATTACGTGCTTAACAATATATTCTATGCCTGTGAATTTTATGTAATAAGTTAATAACTTATCTATAAAAAGTTTATTTCGGCGTGTAATCTAATAGACACATCAGTTACGGTACTTTTCTTAAGTTAGACACGATTTGTTTGCAAAACATTCATGTAAAATAACAATATTTTCATTAAAAAGTATGTTATGCAGTGTGGTGATTGTTGATAATTTATTAAGTTACATATTTCTTAAATTTGATTAATCTTTTATGTAATCAAATATATTAAAATAACTGCGGTTATTTATGAGTGATATAAATACTTCAAAATTCATATAAAATATAATTAAGTTATTTCAAACTCATTACATACAACAATACGTTCTTAAAGTTGTTTATTATGATATACTGAGTTTAAATGATAAAAAAGATAAATAATAATTTAAAAGTAAATACAGTTAGAAAAGAAAGTGTAGTTTTTATGTTATATTACTGAAATTTCAAGATTTAATTCAACATTTTCAAGATCGTGTTAGATATAAAAATTACAGTAAACATATTATTTTATCGTATTAAATCTAAAGAATTAAACATAAATTGAAGGAAACCCTTTTTTCTATTAATGAATTAAATAAAATCAGTTTAAACTATCAAAACAAAAAGTAGCTCATCCAAAAAAATTTAGTGGAACGAAAACCATAACAAAATAATTTCTGATGACTTTTTAATTTAATAGTGGTTTTTCATCTAAATTGTAGGTTTAATATGATGATGATTTTTGCGTATTTTGAAGTAATATTAAGAAATTTAATTTAATGTTCTATATAGTAAATTTTTTCTTATATTTTTTATTATTATTATTATTGAAATGTCAGGATATTTGAAACTTACTATATTAACTTTTGAACATTTTGTGCAACACTTGATTGCCGTACATTCCAAAGATTAATATGTGTTTTCTAAATTATATCTTTTTTGATATGGATCATAACTCGGTAAGTGTTAATCACAACAACAATGCCGTATACTTAGTACTTAACGGTCAAAAAAATGTAAATTATTTAGTTAATTTTATTAATGTTCAATATTGTCATTATTCAAGTCACAAATTGATTTATATTGGCTAATTTTCATAATAGTTGCATACGAAAATATAATAAAAAAATGTACAGTTATTAGTCATATTATTTTATATTTCTGAATTAAAAATAATCTTATAATATTTTACGGGTTGTTTAAATACGATTATATGTTCATTTTTTTTTGTTTTACTCAAATGTATCAGAGTTTTTACGCGTCTTTGTTTCGTATAAGTGTATACAATCTCATAAAGCATGAAAAATTTCCAACCGTGGACGTCAAAACTGTTAATAATTACTGAAAACTAAAATAATACCGATGAACATTTAATTCAGTTTTTATGCACTGCAGTAAAGTTTAATATAAAATATATATTTTATATTACGACACAAGATTATAAATTAGACTAAGAAAATGTGAACAGAAATTGTACATAGATTACAGTAAGAATAACTGATTATACATTTCATCAAAATATATCTAATTTGTTGCAAAATTAATGTATATCATTAATATTTTAGAAAATTTTTATTAATGTACGAATTTTATTGAATTATTCAAATTAACATCAGCGTTAAAATGATCAGTTATAAATCGAAACTAGTTCATTAGGACACCGTTTATTCTATTCAACAATAACGTTTAAATGTTTCGTGAGAATATAGTAGTCCACCATTTTAATGATCGACATTCCGACATTCTAGTACGTTTTAAAAAAATGTATTCTTATATGGTAGTGCAATGGGTTAGGAAAATTCCTCAAAATATTTTTTTTTGATATTCTATTCATATAATAATAAGTATAAAAATATTTAATCATTTGGTTGAACTGATTTGTCATTATAAATTGAAAAAACTATCATAAAATTGTAGTTTTTTTGTGTTTTTAATAAGTATACTTCAAAACCATAATTATGATTATAATACAATAACATAAAGTCTTAGTATATAATAAAGATACATAACCAAAAATGTTATATGAAAAATTAAAGCAATTGCACAGTAGAAGATTGGGGCAGTTGTTTTAGAAACTATATTACATTGATAACATTTTTTATTAAATTTAGAAAAATTGAAACAAAATTAGAGAAAATATCCAACTATTAAAAAATATATATTTCCAATAAAGAAATCCATTTATAAGTATCTCCAAGTTAAAACATGATCACTATAATCAATAACATAAAGAAATGTATATTTATATTAAAAAAAATGCCACCTCCAATATATTTCAATTATACACGAAAATACACAATTTTTTAGTATAATTGTGGATTTTTGAGCTCAATAATTTTAATATTTATTAGTTATGAATTAATGTTTTAAATTAATTTTTAATTTTTAATAATATTAACCGTAAGTGATCAATTCTTATTATTAGTATATGTTATTATTATTATGTTCTATTTATTAATTTGTAAAATATTTTGACTAATTATATACCTGTATACTTAGGATATGTAATATAAGAATAATTCTTTTAAAATAACTACTGTTTAATCGCTATTGAACAAACTAATGGTTTTACGAAATTCCAGACTTTTTGATACTATGTTCAATGAACGTTGAAAAACCACTATTTTAAGACTTTCTCGAATTTATTATTTCAAATAGTGAAAATAACACATGTAATAGCTATATGTACTACTTACAATACTGTGTAATGTATGCAACCTACGATAATTAAAAAAGTAATTAAAGGTGTATCACGATTCAACATAGTCTTTAATCAACTATTTCAGGCGTGGTCTAAAAATTATTCTACTGATCATTATTAACCTAAATAAAAAATATATTGCTCACTCAACTTATACTATCGAGTCATTAAAAGTTCTACTAAAATATTTTTGAATTGAAATAGATCAACCCAACCTAACCGAAACTATTACGTGTTTTTATAAAATAATGATTGGGGGTGGGTGTTAATCTATCGATTTTCTTTATGGCTAATCATTGACATTTTTAACACATTAATAAAATAAATTTAAAATACTTCAATCCTATCCATTTATTAAAAAATCGATACAATAAAATAAATGTTGATTATATACATATATAAAGTTGTTTTTTTAGTAGAAAAACTTATATTTTGAGTTTTACCTTGGTTTGATAACTTTCTATAGTCAGTAGGTTTCAAATACTATGCGATTGTATTAATAAATCACGTAATCAAATTGGAGTACGCATAAATATATATATATATATATATATATTAATTAATTATTAGTTATGTATATTGTTCATGTGAGGTCATGCGTCATAAAATATACATTACTAATTATCTTTAATTTAAAAGATTGTCTAGTTATGGTTGCTTCTATACATTTTAAGTACACCAAACTATAAATAAAATTAACAAAGATACATTTGCATATTTTAATGAAATGAGAAAGTATAAACAAATTATTATTATATTACTATTTTAATAAAAAACAAATATTGCTTAGGCACTTTCTATCGATTATCTGATGATATATCACAATTACTGGCATAACTATAATGTTGTATAACCTAATTATAGAATAGTTATTAGCTACTATCAGATACATTCTTATCCTACGTTCACCTTAACTGTATCTACTTATGAGTTTATTCTTAGATGTAAGAATTTTTTCAACACTAACAACAATGTTCATCAGTAGTACTTTTTGAGAGGGAGCAAGTCTTTTATATTACCTAGTAAGCTGTACAATAATCATCAATCATAAGTTATGTAAAAAATGAGTGTCATTGCATCTTTTTAGAGTGAGAGAACTTTTAAACATACGACTATAAATTTAAAATATTTCAATGAAGCAATCAACAAATATATAATGGCTTGTTTTTAATTTTACTTTTTCTTCCCCAATCATACTCTTAGATATACATGCTTTTAGAAATATATTTTTCAAATGCTAAATAATATTTAAATTATATAAAAGTTTTCGACATTTTCACTTTCTTAACTTAAAAAATCAAATAAATATATTGTGAGATAATAAATTTTTCATTTAGTATTTTTTCAGAGTCATTCTCAGTTATTCTAAAATTAAAAATAAAAACAAATTATATTGGATCGATAATATCAATATATGTTATTATGAACAAATTGTTTAAACTATCTTGCCGAAATTTGAATATTCTTGAAATTGTTAAAACTAAAAAGTATTATACTTATGGCGTAGGAAAAGTGGCGTACCTATCACTTAGTGCACCCCCAGTGGTAGTAGGGCTAACTTTACCTTAACTATCTGTGGTAATCTGGTCTGCTAGGTTATGGGTTGGACATAGTACTAGCAAATTTTCTCTATAAAAATATATTTATTATGAGTACATCAAAAATGGCGTTAAAAACTCTTAGAGAGTATTAAGAGCTCAAAGACGAAGAAGAGAAAATATTGTACAATTTTTTTTTTTGAGTAATTATTTAGATATTTAATTATTAAAATTAGTATTAGAATTTATTCTTTATCTGCTGCTTCCAATACAACAAGTGTTTTGATTGTATACTATACAATATATTGTATCTTTTGGGTTTATGTTACCTGATTATTGATAAATATAACAATTAAATAATATTTAATAGAATTATATTTTGATCACATTTGTAATTATATTAAAAATTAAAAAATATTATAAAATAAAACAATATGTATCAATTTATTAGTTAAAGTACTATTTTCATAGTTTTATTTACTGTGTTATTTTAGTAGTGTAAATGTCATAATTGCTTTATATTTTGATGTTTTGCTTATAGTTTTTTAACACATAAAAAAGTGAAGGTAATAACAACATGATAAATATATGATATAAAATGCGATCATAAAAAAAAAAACATGATAAATGTAATATAATATAACACAAACAATAAATAATACAAAATACTACTTGGTACTTTCTCTTCGACAATGTGCCGTCATTGTAGGCCGAGTATATGTGTGGTACTGTTAGGATAGTCTAACGGTCATTCACATCAATGATGACCGGCGATCCAGGTTTATAAATTGTAATTCACGATGATAAAATAAACATTTAAAACTATTGATTTTCCCGAATCATACTTGAAAAGAGACGTAAATTTTAAAATTAACTAATTTAGTTTGTTTATTTTTTATTTATAAAATCAATTATTTTCAAGACTGAAATATGTAAGTATAATTATGCAAGTTGAAATTAAATTAAAATGAAAATTTATCTCATGAATCAGAAAAATGTAAAAAAATAATAATTATAAATTCAATTAACATGAAAAGTTGTGTATCGTTAATTTTCTTCAAATAAATTATTTAATAATATAAACTCGCTCTTTTATATTGTTAATATGAGTGTGCATAAATATTTGATATTGTTGAGTAATATCTGCTACTATACTAGTAAAATATAAATTGGTCTATGAAACACATTAAATATATACTTAATAAATAAACCAAACCAGCTACTAAAATGATATAAGACAACTTTCCCATAAAGTTTGATCTCATTTTCTATCGATTGATTACCCTAATAATAAATTTGGGATGTATACAGGTACAACTCAAATTAATAAGAGGGAAAACAATTTTTTTAATATAACAAGCAAATCTAGGAGTAAGATTTTAAAGTTGAAAAACATTAAAAAAAATGTAGTATGTTAAAAAAAAAATAATAAGACAAATACAGCAATACCTCATTAATCTGGACTCAATTGTGTACAATAATGACTAAATAGGGTTATTGGAGAGCATTACCCAAACGTATGTGGTTATTAGATGTTTTGATTGAATTTTGGCTTTCGAATGTAACCCTATCTCACCATAATTGTATATAATTGGGTTCTAATGAACGAGGTTTTACTATACTTATAAAATGTATTAGTATAATATTAGTATCGTTATAAAAATAATTATCTTATAACGATACCTCACAATATAGTATTCTTAAAAAATATAACTATAAAAATATTATATTGTGAGGTAGGATTGAGTTTGTCTAGTTATAATGTTTTCATTTATAATTTAATAAATTATGTATTAATATAACGAGATAAAAGTTTACCAATTATAACTGAAAAATGTAAAATAAGCTATAGGATATTTTACACTTTATTTTATTTGAGACAAATATATTAGTCAATAAAAGTGTATTTTTTCTGGAACAATATATAATTACAGTATTAAGAATTGTAGAAATTCAATATTTAAATTAAATATTAAATTAATATTAATTGTATTTTATAAAGAAAATTTTAATATTTTAAATTGTTTTACAGTGAATAATTATAGCTAGTTAAAATAATTATCATTTTTAGCTTTATATTATATCTGTTAAATATGTTTAAAAAAAAATAATGATTTTACAGTAATTATTGAGTCATACGTTTATATTTGACTTAGTTTATTGATGTTTAAGTTTTTAATATATTTTCGAAAATTTAATAAAACTTGGTTTTTAAAAATTAGTATAAATAGCAGTAAAAAGTATAATATTGATATTTTGTAAGATTTGAAAGTTATGATATATAATCTTAGAAAAAAATGTGTAATAAAATAACATGAAAATAAATCATTTTTAAATTAATTTTATAACAGTTTTGTTTTCGAAAATATCATTTACTCGCATTATTTTATTAAATTGGTTACATTTTTTTATCGACTTGTCAATAAAAATTAACAAATTTTACAACCAAAGCAATTTTTTTGATTACGATTCGTTGTATTAAATTATTCGCTTGCGTTGAATGGAAATAAACAAAATAATAATTGTCTTTTATCGCACATTCCTACGTTTTTCTATGTTGAAATGACAAAGAATATAATAGGCACAAAGAAAACGTAATTGTTCTGATTTTATCTTCCTGTAATAATAAAAAAAGAGGCTTTCTATGTTACGCTTTATTCTAATAACTATAAGAAAATGTGTCTCTAATTTTCTTTAGTCAACCTCGGATGAATGACAGGAAAAAATTATGTATTGTGTTATTTTTTAAATGTACTGATATACACTTAAAATTGCAATATAAATTTAAATAAAGAATCTACTGATTCTAAATAAAAACATTGTACACAAATGATTAAGTTGTAGTTATTAAGCAATATTTCATGAGCTTAGATAGGTAGGATATATTCATTTATTATGAGTTACTCGCAAAGAATGCACCCAAGTCAATAGAAGAGATCGTTAGTGCCTATCTCGTAGTCCTTGTATTTAAGTTATTTTATAATTATCATTCTATGATGCAACCTTGTTCTTTAGCTATCATACTTATAAATGAGACTATTGCCTTGCCTGATTACTATATTAACCGAGTGACAGCTATTAGCATTCTATACGACCCTTATTTACAAGGATTAATTGTTTCATCGCAGTATTACAAAGTTACGGTAAAAATGTTAACTATTTCCTTTAAAATTTGTAGAAATAACTTTGATTGAGACTATGACACAAATTATTTTAACAAATCTTATCAAGTTTTATCATCTTGAGCAATCTATTAAAATTAATCATGTAGTTGTTAACAGACTTGTAAAAAACTTAAAAACTATTAGTATTAAATATTTGATAGCATAGGTACGTATAAGATTATATACCTTTCCTAAATAGTTCATTTTATGAAGGATATAAAAGATTCGTAAGACAATTAACCTTAAAAACCCATTTTCTAAACGAATATTAAAAATATTTTATCATAACATTAAATTATTTTGTACAATTTTCCTTAATAATGTGGTCTAAATTAATATAATATCTTTATTTATAATATTAATAGATTAGTTATTGCATATTGGTATTAGGTCTATTTATGATTTATACTATACGGAAAATAAATTTCATGTATGAAAAAAAAGAGTTATTTTATCCATTTTCAGTCAAGTAATTAAGTATTATTTTTAGAATTTTGTTGTTAACTTCATTTTTCTATTTTAGGCTTATGGGCAGTCATTAATACCGCTGATGTGTGTCTTAAGGGAAAAATTGAGTTGCAAGAAAGCGTCCAATGGGAGATGTTGTTCAAAACCAATGTTTTTGGGTCCTTTAAGGTTGCTAGAACATTTTATCCTTTATTGATCAGTCAAAGAGGTATATATATATGATAGTCTTCTTTTTCATTTTTTAAATTAATTAAAAAGTAAAATTATGATTTGGGATTCGCAATTAGGTCGACTAATAAATATTGGGATATCAGAAAGCCATACTCATCGACATGGAATGACGGCGTTTGACGCAGCACGGTATGCTGTTGTTGGTGCTAGTAAATCATTGCAACAAGATTTGAAAGAATTGAGTGTTCGTATAATAATAATCAACACCAACCACATTTTACCAGAAAATCTTTTTGAACCCGTCAAATCAACAAGAGATGCAAATAAAACAAATTTTAATGATCAACAAATCAAACAAATTTTACCTGATTACGCAATACACACAATATTTGATGCCCTTCTAGAACCTAATCCTAAAACAGTTTATAATTTGGAAAAACCATCAAATTTTATAAATAACAGATTTTTTAAATTTAAAACCCTGAAATCTGAAAAAATACTGAATTTCTAAATATTTATATTTTATAAATGTATCAATAAATGTTTTTCACAGATAAATTTCATTAAAATGGCACTAATAGGTGTATAATGTATCAATAAATGTACAAAAATATATTACCATTAAATAATTTATGCTCAATTTTAATTGTTCAATTAATATTTAATTATAATTTCTTAAAATAAAAATAAGTCATATATATATATATATTATATTTATTATGGTTTTGTTGTTGATATGTTAATGATAATTGTTATTTATTTTGGTTTGTACAAATAAATATTCTAAATTTTATATTAAGATTAAGTATTTGATTATAACTCTACTAATTATTTTATAAAAGTATAACTTTGTTTGTACTAAAAAAGCTACTTGTAGAATAACTTAAATAAAATGAATTGAACACCTTTGGTAAGTATAAAAATCGGGTTATTATATTTATTTAACATAAACATACAATTAAAATATCAATTTAAAACTAAAACCAATAGGTAATATAGAACAAATTTAATCTAGTATATATATATACATACATCGTATTTCATTATGCTACAATATATTATAATGTATTTGCAATAGAAATAATTTAATATATATAATGTGGGTTGATAAATATAGTTTTTAAAACTAATTTCAGTGTTCAAAAATAACGTCGTTAAAAATAACACTCACATTCATATTTGGTAAACGTCATTAGTTTTATTCGAATAGAATATGAATATGAACAAAATTAAAATTTTTGACGAATTTGGACAATTTTAGAGCCATTCGCTTAATTAAAAATAATATTATTGTTTTCATAAACTCATGACCAATTGGCAAAATTAAATTGTATGAGAAAAAAACCAAGTAATAAAAAGAACAGTAGTACAGTGGGTTCGCGACACAAGGTGGACGTGGCATAGTTGGAACAACTATAGACAGTTATTAAAATAACTATCATAAAAACGCTTTCATACAAATCTGTAAATAGTCTTTAATTTTAAGAGATTGGTTGATTATTCTAAAAGAAATATTAATTCCTATTTCTATCATTATTTCTAATTAGTATTTGATTTATAGTAATAATTTATGAATAAATATCTATTAAAGAAATTCAACGTAGTATGATATTGATATTTAATAATTTAGTATTGTAATTTTTTAAATTTTTGAGAGTAATGCATTCGATTATATTCGATTTGTGATATTTTGACGTATAGTTGAAAGAAATCAATTCATTTTTTAAACAATTTTTATTTAAAACTTTATGAAAAATGAATGAATAAAAAAATTTTTTTTATAAAAATGTTAAGTATGTTCCTTTTATTAAGTATATTGTTTTTGATAATCTGACCATTTATCTACTTACAGGAGAGGTAAGACAGCTAATTTTAAACAAACAATTAATTTATTCAACACAACTTTTAAACATGTTCCAGAAATTCTATACCTTAAATACAAGATAATTTTTTTATCATAATTCACTCAATGAATCGCAGAATAAAAATAATTTAAACTTTTAAAAAAAATTAATATCGCTTATACGGAGCGTTTACTATTAATTATGACTATCGATAGATATGTTTTCTGAATTGCCAGTTGGTGTATTAATAAATTTTAATTTACAACAATGTACCTTAAAACCACACTATAAGCATATCTATTGATAAAGTCATAATTGGCAATCAAATGTTACTGTAAATAGAAACGTCATCAAAAAACCATTAGCTGCCTATAATTGTAGTCCCTCTTATATTATACATGTATGTTAACTTAAAAATTTAAAACTTTTATATCTAATAAACGAATAAAATCAAGTTGATATTTAAAATGCCATTTACTATTAAATTAAATCCTCAAACAATATATTAAATTCAAAATAAATTGACACCCTTAGAAGGCATAAGGCATATGATCTTTAAACAGTTTTAAATAGCTAATAATTCAAGAACAATATGTAACTAAAGGTACCCTAAAAAAAGTGTTTAAATTATTTTTATTTTGTAAGTAATTGAATGAGTTATGATAAAAAATTTACTGTGTATATCATTAGTTAAATCTTATGTCATATACTTTAATATTCTTAATTGAAAGAAAAATTTGTCCTCGGAACATATTTTCTTGGTGAAAATGGGTATCATATTTAAAATATACTATTGTTAAGTTAAAACTTGATTTTATATATTTTTTTCGACTTAATATTGTTATAACTTTTTGAAAAATCTATGAATTAGTACAATTTTTTTATAAGCACTTTATACATGTTTATTTCACTCGACCTCATTTTTTAGCTTCGATGCGAAACTGAAAAGATATTGGTATTGTAATGGGTTATTATTTTATTTTTGTTCATAAAAATTTTAAGCTCTAATCGCATTGACTTTAATGATTAATACGCTAAAAGAACCTAATCTAGTTGAACTTATAGTAGCCAAAATTAGAAAAACCTTTTAATTTTAAAAATTTAGACAATTATCTCATAATTACGCTATTATAAAAAACGGCATCTTCAAAAAAAAAAAAATGCCACTGATCAACAAAATCAAATATTTTTTAATCTTTAAAGACGGAAAAAAATTATTTAACCAAATTTTTTCCATCACCTTTAATTTTGGACATAATAAATAATTGGTAAAAAACGAGTATTTACATAAAAAAAAATAAAGAAAAATATTATTTCAAACTATTATTGATTTTTTTTTTTTAAGATATTAACAATAATCCGTACAATATTTCTATCGAAAATGTCATGTTTTACCAATTTTTTTGGTACTTTAAAGTTGATTTTTACGAAAGTTTATAATAAAATATTTGAACTTTTAAACATTTTTTATTTCAACTTGCATATTTAAAATTAACATAATTAAATAGAAAATTTTATGAACATTTAAAACATGGTGTAGTTTAAATTGATATATATAGTCTGGAACTAATATAATTACTATTAACAGTAAATTTTTGCTTAAAATTTCATTAAGATCACTATTTTTTTTGCATTTTTATTCTTATAAATAATTAATAAATTTATCGATTATTCTTACATAACATAATAATCAAAATTAAATATTTGTTTGCATTAATAGAAAATGATTTTGTTATTATTTCGACGATGGCAAATCTTGACCTTTATATTAGACAGGCAAAAAAATAAATAAATCAAAAGTTATATGACTTATTTTTATTATCATGTTTTAGCAAAACCAAGTCTGGTTGAGACTTATTTGAGAACTAAGGTGGTACTTTGAAATGAGTTCCCTATGTTAAATATCAATAAAAAAAGTGATGATTAAAAAAAAAAACCCGAAAAACTCTGTCACTAATCATAACTAGACTATTTAAAATTCGAGATAAGCTTGTTGGTCACGGGCAATCATCCCTTTTCTTAATTCGTGCTTGAGTAAAACTAGGACAACTTAGTCTACTAGCCGGAGAAAGATATTTAAAAGATAAATTTAATTAGCCTTTTCAATTTCTTTCTACTATATCTTCTTTCATTATCCAAAAGGTTCAATTGTGCAGTGTCTATACAAGATAGAACTTTTTAATTTTCGGCCTAAAATTTGTTATTATTTTTTTATAGTTTAACTAATGTAGTTAGAGTATATTAAAAAATGTTTAATTACTACTAATCAATATTTAATGATATTTCTATAAGATCAACTTTGAGCTTAGACTGCGCCCTGTTAATCATGCCACATAAATCTGAAATTTTGTAGATAATAATTTTAGATCCATAGGAAAAAATTTACAGAGTGGCACTTATCAAATTTTAAGACTTCAAGAAAAAGAGGCACCCTCTTATATTGTCTATTATAATTGTATTAATCAGAGGATTTTGAGTTAAAAAAGAGAAAATGTTATATTGTATAAATATATTTATCACATGTGACATATATTATTAATTTTTGATAATAAAGTTAGTTGGTCCGTGACCAATCACTATTTTCAATTTTGAAAATTTTAGCTTTGTTGCGAAACTGAGAAGGTATTAATTTTACCATGATGTGTTTATTTTGTTATTCGATTTCTATCAACCATACGTCAAACAATTACAAATCGTATTTAGTTGAAGACATTACCCTCAAAAATTAGAATTTTTTTCCTCGTTCCTCATAAATCCCCCAAAAAATTATCATTTTTAAAATCGGTAAATTTTGACATTTTTCTTTTTTTTTTGTTTTCAAAAACCACAATTTATTGAAAATTGAACAAATCAAAATAATTATTTTTTTTATTGTAACATTAAGTAATTCCCTTTTATTTTATATAATAAACTTGAAAATCTGACTATTTATTTGGCCATAAGAGGGGATTCAAAATAGTAACTTTTTTACATAACTCAAATTTTTCAACTTCACTTTTGAAAATGTTCCGGGAATACTGCTTCTTTTACATATATGTTAAAATAATGTACCGATGACCTATTTATAAATGCCAATGACTACCGAAGTAGAACAAAAAATAGGAGTTATTTTTGCTTTTCACTAATTTCTTAAATTTAAATACTATCTACAGATTTGATTGAAACGTTTCTTATGATTGTGATTATAATCACTGTCAAATATCATCTATATTTGTCTCAACTATGGCACATCCATACTGTGCTACTGTTTTTTTTTTATTAAAACCTTTTTATTTTTAAGAAATTAACATTATTTTTAATAATTATATTATTGTTATGAGCAAGACTTGAAAACGTTTCATGTCGTTCATATTGTATTAAAAAGGAAAAAAACTATATAACTGGAAAACGATAAACTTTAAAATATCAATAAAATTTTTTTTAAAATATTATTAAACAAAATTAAAAAGTCATATATTTATAACAGTTTACATATTAAAACGTTTTATAAATTATATGTTAATTACAAATGTAGCAACAACTCATTTTAAAACATGAAAATATTCATTCAGACGGACCTAAATGTTGTAACTGATATGTTTGTTAAATATTTTTCTTTTAGCTATTTATATAATACTACGGTTCAGTCCAAAATTTATAAATTAGATAATAGTAATATTCGTTTGACAACTTGTTGTATCTCTATCTCCAAAGTATTTAAGGGTCTCGCTAAATTAAATCTAAGTATTAGTATTTGTCGTCATAAATCCCTAACATTGTATTTAAAAATATATTTATGCCATAACTTGTCCAATACCTATTGGAAAAGTTTTCATTATCTTTTTCCTTTAGTATTTTTCTTAATTTATGGAATTATAGTTACGCATATCCTATTTTTAAGTCTGGCCAAAGACAAAATGTAAGTAACTACCAACCTATATCTAAATTAAGCACTCTTCCTAAATTATTTGAAAAATTATTAAAACACAAAATTTCCCGCGTTGATTCGATTTATATTGACTTTAGTAAAATCTTTGATTATGTTAATCACCATATTTTAGTTAAAAAATTAACTTTTCTGGGCTAAGTGGACAAATGAAATCAGAATTTTTATGCTACTTACTTAATAGAAAGCAACAAATCAAAAAGTGTTTAAAATACCACATTTTTTGATCGAATTTTTAAAAAAGAGTATTGAAAAAAAGTAATTGCCTATAGTATTGATAATAAAAATACAGTCAATTAATTTTTTACCCAATATGAAATTTATAAATATAACAATATAAAGCTCACCCTAATATACACTTATATTAATTTTATTTTTTTGTATAAAATTTATATATATTGAATGCATATTTTTTTTAACACCTTAACATAAAAGTAAAGTATAGTAAATTAATATCTTCTGAGCTTCCCATGGAAATTCACTAAATATATATGTATTTAATTTGGAATCTCACAAAAAATTATGTAATGTTAAATAACCACAACTAAATAAATGTATTTATGTTAGACTGACTTTTGAAAATTATCTTAGTATACAAATATTTATCGTAATTGTTGCGCTGATTAAAAATTTATTAAATATATATTTGTCAATTCTTTTTTTTTATTATCCTTATTACTAGTTAAGCATAGGCGTATTATACTATACAGTATTGATATAAGTCTTATATCAATATTTAGACAAATTGTGTAAAATTTATATAAGAATTATTAATTTATAAATTACGGCGAAATAATTGGCTACACAATACATTTTATTGCTTAAACAATTGTATATTAGCTCCTAAGTAACTTTTTCAATATTAGTAGAGTTTTTGTTTTTTTATTTGTAAACTTTTGCAAGACTAAAACAGTATGAATAAAATTAATACTACAACTGAAAATTTTGGTCTAGGTTTTGTTTTGCTAAGCACTCTCACATTTTAATTTATATCGGTTAGTCTTCTCCCGGTCGCCGATAAAGCGATTGAGCATCTTATGATTACAAAGCTAAACGCAGAAACGGAGTCTAACTTGCACTCTGGCCAACATGAGTTCACGACTGGCAGATCTATAGAGACAGCCTCCTAAGGGAAGGTCAAAAGTATGCCACGGTAATGGGTATAGCCATGGCTGTGGTTGACCTCCAGGCCCTGGGCATTCAAGTGTCCGGGACCTGAAGAACCCAGATGGTGGCCGTACTGCTGGAGGTCCGGGGATCCGCTGATCAAGCTGACCTTTTGGCCGCCAGTTTGAAGGTGGCTCTACAGGAGATGGACGTGTTGGTACAACAGCCTTCGATGACCTGCACTGTTTTTCTTCTGGACGTGGAGGAGTGGCAGGGGGAGCAAGATGTGCACTGAGCACTTAGCACCGCCTTGAAGTCTCTGGACGGAGAATTGCCGCCGCATATGGGACCAATCGCGGTCCACACAAACATAAGTGGTATGCGAGATGAAGCCTTAGGCCGAGTCCGAGTGAGGTGGACATCCTGTAAGCTGAGGATTCTTGACAAGGGTCCTCAGTGCTACAGGTGTTTGGAACGTGGGCACATCGTCCACGCGTGCAATAGACCGGACAGGTCTAAGACCTGCTGCAGGTGCAAAAAGGAGAGGCATCTTTCTAAAGATTGCCCCAGCAGAAAAGATGATCGGGATTCAAACCCAACCAACAGTTGCGACGATGGCCTACACCCACCTCCACGTGGTCCAACCTGGGCAACGAACCCACCACTGGTATCCGGCTAACGGGGGAGGCAGCGCCGCGTTATAATTCGGCTCTACAGTGAATTTGAGCCGTATTAAAACACGGTGGTGAGAAGATGTTTAGACGACGTGGACCGCCCTGAAGCAATGCCTCATGGCAGTTCCAGGATGGTCCACATCAAGTTGATTAAAACGGAAGAAAAAAAAAAGATCTATACAGACAACTATAAATCAAATGATAGATTGGGTCAATGGTAGACCGGAAAATTATATTATGGATGCATTTTTGGATATAACTGGCGCATTAGACTACGTGGATTGGGGTCCATTACTCCAAGTCATGAAACACTTGGTGCCTCTAGAAAATCTGTTAGCTTAGAGAAATGTTACCTGAATAACAGAGCAACACTAACAGAGGGGATGCGTCTTCAACGGTGCTGTTGAGCATTGGATGTCTCCAAGGATCAAACTATGGCCCCTATATGTAAAGAATAGCGGCGAACTCGATATCGACGGAAGACCGGCAAAGATACGTGGAAAGAATCGTGTATGCTAATGATGTCACCATAATTACAGCAGAAAATTTCAAAAGGTAGTTGATTGTGAGAATATATTCTTAGTAAACAGTAATTTTAAGTACACTATTACTGTTATCATTATAATTTTATTTTATTTATACATTTATACTTGTTTGCATTAATAAAAACTCAGCACAGTGGGATCGCGGCACAATTGGGTGAAGTATGATTAAAATCACATTCATAAAAAACGCTTCGATGCAAATCTGTAGATAGTATTTAACTTTAAAAAGTTTATGGATTATTCCAAAAACTATATGATCTCCTATTTCCTTATTTATATCCTGATTACAAGTTTTATGATTTATAAGTGTAATATATGAATAAATATATATTTATATATTTATAATATATAAATATTTTAAAAAAGTATGTCGAATGAAAGAGGTGTATAAATAGTATTTATCATAAAAAAATTGTATTGATTCATACATTTTTCAAAAAGTTAAAGCATTATAAAATTAAAAATATAAAAAAATTTTTTTTTACAAAAATCTTATTTATTTATGAACTTTGATGTTCGTTTTCACCATGAAAACAAAATAAATTTTTTTTTTCATAATAAAGTATATTACATAAGCTTTAATTTAAGGTATATATAAAAGTGTCAGTATTTCCGGAACATTTTCAAAAGTTAAGTTTAAAAAAATTTTATGGAAAAGTTGTCATTTTAAATCTCTTCCTGTGGGCAGGTCAGATTTATAAAAAAAATATATCAAATAATAGGTAAAGACATCAAGTATCTATAAAAAAAATATATATTTGGTCATTTTAAAAAAAGTTATGGCAGTTTTAAGTAAAAATAATTTTAAAATTGTCAAAAATTAGCGATTTTTAAATTTATATTTTTTTTGGAAATTTCACGCATTTACGGGGAACGAGGGAAATTTTTTCAATTTTTGAGAGTAATGTCTTCGATTAGTTACGATTTGTGATATTTTGATGTATCGTTAAAAGAAATCGACTCGTTGAGAGTTGAGAAAAAGTGATAACAGACACAAAAAAAAACACATTATAGTAAAATTAATATCTTCTCAGATTCCCATCGAAGCTAAAATAAAGACATATTAAAAGTATAACAGAAAATAATTTTAAATTGAAGTTAAATTTTTTTCAACAATTAAACAATACTGTAAAAACAAATAACAAATCCCAAAGGAATTTTGTTTAAACAAATTCAATCGGATAATAGCTTCTTAAAGTATTGAAAAAATACTCTAGAAAATACTATCTATTATAATTATGCATAATGTATATTCATAAATTTTAAATATTTTTGTCATGGGTTTCATGTGTCTATTTGTTATATTGTCGGAAAATAGTTTGTATGCTTGTATGTTACATTTCTTTTTACTATTATTATTTTTAACTAAAAATGCTACAAACCTATTTTTCTAGTTTACGTGAATAGGTGCAAGGTCGACGAAAGCGCGATCATTACTTAATCATACAGCTACTTTTTGTTACTTCTTTTGACATTTTTTTTTTTAAGTGCGTTTTAAGGGAAAACTTTTACTTTTGCACTCATTGTGCATACTGATTTTTTTTTAAATAGTATTACGCGATCATTAAGTCTCATTGAGTGTCATATCTTTATAGGCGACTAAGAGTCAAATATAATCATTCGGTCACCAAACTCTGGAGACGAGCAACGTGAATTTTTACAGCAAAATGAGAGTTACTCAAGAAGTAAGTTGCTTTTAAAATATTATTTTTTTTTTTTAATTATTTCCTGAATGATAAATTTTTAAAAATTTTGTCATTCAATTTAAATGGTAATATGCATAGTCAAATATAATTTTAACAATGTTTCTGTAAATCAAATTTAAATTTTCAATGATATTTTATGTAAGTCATTTTTTAAATTTATACAATTTCGGTAAAATTTAATTGCTATTTTTTGGGAGACGGCATTTATTTTTAATTCATATAATAAATAATCTTAAAACCCTTTCTCGTCACATAACAGAATAAACAAAATTTTTATTCTAAAAATAAATCATAGATTTTATTTTCACATTGTTATTAATATCAAAACAAAATTAACCTCTTAGATTAAATTTAAGTTCGAAAAACTATAAGAGGTTTATTAGTTATCGTTTACTTACCGTTACTTGGGGAAATGATTTAACCTGGGGTAATTTTATTTTTTTTCAGATTTTATCACTTAATTATTATGAACAAATATTTCTTAAAAATACTTGAAAACATATGACTGTTAGTACTATAGATTATTACGATTGATGTAATAATAAATATTTAATTGTCCTAGGTTGGTTGTTTTCGTAATTTAATGTCAATGTTAGAGTTTTAAAATTAGGCAATAAGGTTGTTATAAATTGTCAAAATTATTCGATTTGCAAACCAAAAAGTTTAAATTTAAGTATTAGATATCAAGGGTAATTTTTTAACATTTTACATTTATGTGTAATTTACAGTTAGAATTAGTAGTTAAACCCTTTAACATTGAAGGTTTTCTAAAACTGTACATTCCCTTTATTGGATTTTGTTTTTCACAAATTTTCCTTTTTTTCAAAGATGCTAGCCAAAATTTTAGTATTTTTGTTATTGGAAAAAAGAATATTGCTCATTTTATTATATGTTTGATCAGATTTTCTCTTACAGTCAAACTGTTCAAGTATTAATGGAATGATATTTATAGTTCAATAAACTTTTATAACAATATATCATGTTACCAAGACGTTGATAAAACATTTAAATTGTAGCTTCATTGTATTTTCGTCATCATCTCCTTAGCCACTATCCCAACTATTTTGGGTCAGTTCTACTTTACGAATTGGCAGATTTTTACACCGGCTGTCGATCTGACACAACCTTATTATAGTTAATGAAACCTGTAAGGGGACAAGGAGTGTGTCATTGCTTTATTGTGTTTTATGTTTTATAATTACATTAATTAATATAAAATAATCTAAGTTTTAAGTCCTTAATGTAGAAACATTTTATTAAGATATATTATTTGTAACTGTATAAATGGAATTTATTATTTTTATTTAGAATTCGTATGTCTATCGAATGGTAGCAGTAATTTCAATTGTAGTTGTAAAAGAGTGCTCAGGAATTGAAAATAATTATGGGCCGCCTCCGCCATCTCCAACTGAATACCATGGATATGAACCAGAAATTCAAAGACCACTAGCGGTGTTTACTGAAAGACCAGTGAGAGTGTCTGATTTTGTACTAATTCCAGTAGTCCAGGTGCCTTCTGCTGAACTTAAAATGATATACAGACCACAAATAGATAGTGTATCGGATACTGAACCTATAGTTATGTGTAAATCATCATCAAAATCTTTTGTAAGTAATAAAAGAAACCAGTATTATTCTTAAATAAAAAACATCCTTCCAAAAAAACTGATTATATTCCTATTTTTAAAACCAATTACAAAAATTGTTTTCATTTTTTTTTTAGTAAATGATGAGCATTATTTTTTAATAAGATGATATCTCATTTAATTTTTTTTTATAATTATTTCACTTCTAATTTTGTAATTACTTATTAATATACAAATATATTTAATGTTCTCTTTAAAATTCTATTACTTATTATAAAGAGGGTTGTAAAATCTACTTAGCTCAACACTACGAAGTCGAATCCATAGTATTTATGCGTCAAGGTATGACATATTTCAGCTTAAGCTATATAGTTCAGCGTATTGGTAAATAAAAAATAACAAATTTACCTTGTAATAATATTTATAAGCTAGATTAACAAATGAAGTAAAAGAAAGTTCTTTTCAAATACACAAGTGACAATATTTAAATTTTATTTAAAATAACCAAGATAATTATGCTTATTGTTTAGTTTAAATATAGTAAGAGAACTTTACATGCGTCCAATAAATAGTGTTTTTACCTAGGATGACGTAATAATCAAAATAAATACAAAAATCAAATTTTTTTTACTATTTTAAAGTAAAACACAACTTATTTTAGTAGCTCAATTAAAAATCAATTAATTTTTTAACACTTAATGATACAAACATTCTTATAATACTAATTTAAAAAAATTGACGTTATAAAAAATAATTCAATACTATTAAACAAATATTTTATACAAAATATTTAAATATTTAAATACAAACTATATATATATATATATATATATTTATTTTTCTGTAAGAACACGGAATTTTTATTTGAAAATGCTTGTATAACTCAATAAGTATTTACATTAACATTTTTTGTGAGAAAATTGCTAAAAATAGCTATGTCAAATAAAATAAAACAATTTATATATTATATTTTTTTATTAGAGACAAATAATAAAAATATACTTTTAACGTAGTCTTTAACTATAAGAGTTATATAAAAAAGATAGTGTCAAAATATATTTAGAGAAATTGTAGCTATAGAATTTGTTAGAACAGACTGTATCACCTTGTATAGTTAGTAAAATGGTATTAAAAAAAATATATGTATACATATATGATAGCAAATATTCTTAATTATAGGAAGCAACTCCAGCAATTCAAGTGTCACTTCAAGAACCATTTTATTTGCACGATGAAAGAACAGTTATCCCATTTCCAAAGACCGTAACTATTCTTCATGGTGGTTATCGTATGTCGATACCTGTTGGTGTGGTCGTAGCTCCTGTACCAGTAGGAGCAATTAGAGCAGGACCTATTTTTGTCACTATATTATATGCAATTCCTACAGAATCTCTACCACTTCCACCATTACAACCAGCTAGGTAATCTTAATTTCAATTAAATAAATCTTATCTACTACCAACTTTAAATGAACAAAAATTTGTCAACAAATTTAAAAAAAATAATAATGAAAACAATTAAATAGCTTTCATCATTATGATGATAGCTCTAAAAACTAATTATTTTAAAATATATATTTTAATTTATCAACACCAAGACACCGTGATTTTAGAAAAAGAAAAAATTCACTGACCAAATTTCAATATTTTTATCACAATACGCTTTGTATTTTATGAGCTTTATAATATTTAAAATAAGATAAAAGATAAAAATATTTTTTTAAATTAGATTATAATTTTATGCTAATAAGTAATAAAATAATCAAATATATCATTTTTGAAACTTGCATATTTGCTATCAATAAGTTTTTACTAATTATATCAATTTATTGTTAACTATGCTAATGTAATTGTTATTTATTACGAACAACAAAATAAAAAAGGTTCTACCCCAAAGCGACACCATACATTTTTCTTATTATGGATCGATATTAATTATGTTACCTCAAAAATAATATCAGGAATAATTTAATTTTTCACTGACTAACCAAAATCACTATAGATTAATTAAAATCAACATTTTTTTTATTTAATATTAATAATCATTGTGTAAAAAGAACTTTTAACTAATAGTCAATGTAAGTATTAATACATTCATATTAATAGTTTAATACACTTTTGAAAAAATATATGTGCTTGATTCTTTATGATTTCTTTATTAAATTAAAAATTAATAATTATGATTGCAAATAGAATGCCTTCATGGTCGTACAATCCTGGACCAAGCCCATTACTGTCAACTTCAGCACCATCGCCGTCGCCATCTCCTAAGCCATCGCCATCTCCTAAGCCTTCGCCATCTCCTAAGCCTTCTCCAAAACCAACACTAAAACCACAGTACTTAGCCAATCCTCCGCCGACACCGCAATATTTACCAACACCTTCACAATATTTAGGTGTGCCACCGTCTCCTTTATATTACCAACATAATCCTTCATCTGATGGAAATAATGAAGATTTACGATATCGTGAGCCTTCAAATATAGAGTACTCATCGCCACAGGTATCAACAAATCATTACTATAATTCCAAAGAGTCTTCATATTTACAACATCAAAGAGAAGAATCAGAAAAGAATAGACCTAAGTATCAATCAACTTTATACCATATGAATAAATATTATAATCCATACGATAACGATTATAACTGACAATCCAACTTGATATTCGTATAAGAAAATATTTCTTTTGTGATAATAGATAAATGTTTTATTTGTAATAACTTCATTAAAATGTATTTTTTTGTTACTTTTACTTATCATTAAATAAATACCTATTTTTTACTTAAATGTTTTATATATTTTAAATTTTTTAGTAGTATTAACTACGTTGAATATTTTATGTGTCTTTGGCAATATCGTTTCATGATGTTGAAGAAATAAACTCAAAGAATTAATAAAAAACAAAATTTTAATTAGGACCCGACAAAGTGAAGATCAGATATAAAATTAAATTAAACTGTGGTTAAAATTATTATTATACAATTCTTCGATGCGAATGTGTTAGATAATAGTTCTTTATTATTATTATATTTTTTTTTAAGAGAGTTATTTTTAAATGATACACTTATTTAACTTCCTTTAATAAATTCTTTATTATATTAAAACTTTATAAAAAATACGAAAATGTAGAAAATATTTTATGTCACAAAAGTTTGATTTTTTTTTTATTGTATACTATTTACTTTGATATCAGATTATTTATGTAAAATTTATTACAACACAAAATTTATGGGAACAAATCCTTTTTTTCTAAAAGTAAGGAAACCTTAGGCATAATGTTATACATAATATTTAACATTAAGTAATGAACTAAATTTAATTTTTTTTTTAATAATAACTAAAATAAATTTTATCTTATTTGCTATTAAAAATATTTTTTATTTATTGAATGTTAATTTAAGTATTTAAAATAATAATTTAAAAAAAAGTCAAATGTTCCATATAATCCCATCATATAGATAAAATAGGATACTAGATAATTGTGTTATATTTGTAAAAATATATTCTTCTGGGTGGATTTGCTAGCATTTTTATAATTAGTGTAATACATTATACATACAATAAATACAATTTATACATTGTATACACAATTTTTCTTTATATTCGCTAAAGAGAAAAGAAATAAGATGCTGTGTAATTAATTGCTTTTTACATTACTTACATTATAATTTATAAATTCAAATTGATTAATTTTTTTAAGAATGTTCTAATATTTTTCAGTTTAAAAAATTAGCAGTCTCATTTTACTCCATGTTTCTCTATTAAATATTTTAATTCGGTAAAAATTAATTTAAATAAGAAACCAATTATTTTTATTAGTACTTAAATCAACTTGAAATCTAAATAATATTTTAGTTAGATTAGACGAAAAAATGTTTCATTGCTTTTAATTTATCACAATATCTTTTTAATTATGACATTATTTCTTTAACATTAATTTTATAAATAGTGTGTTATTTAATTTTTAGCTAAAAAAATATTAGTTTTACTGTGTCATTTTTTTTTATTATTATTAAATTGAACTAATTGATCAACTTTTACTAATTAGATTCTGTTTAAGAGTACACAAAAAGATTATAAATCGTATTGTAATAAACCAAAAAAATAAAAGAAAATATAAAGAAAAGAGAGGAGTAAAAAGGAGAGTTTAGCAAATATATAAATAGTACAAGATAAGATAAGATAAGATAATTAATAACGGAATAACACGTGTTTAAGTATGGCAAAATGTGTAAGGGTAAAAAAGAGTATAATCATATAAATAAGAGGGGTTTAGAAAAATTAATAAACGGTGGTTAAACACATGAAAACAAATCCAAACGTTTATGAAAAAACATTGGATTGATCACAAGGTTAATCAATATCGAATAAATGATGTTAAATCCGTTACAAAACCTTATAACGTATCTTGATGGCTTATTACGCAATAGATTGTTTGTAATTTGAAAGCATAAATTAAATTTGTACTTACCTGGTATCCCATGTAATATAACGATTATTTTAAGTAATCCAATGTTAATTCTGAATTCACACTGTGTTTCACAAGCTGTACACTAGGCGTAGTGTAGTCAATATGACTGTTTAGAAAAAATAACGATTTAATTCTAAATAATACAAAACCGTTACAAAAAATCGACTATTTTTTTTTTATGTAAAAGATTCTATACACTATATTTTTATTATGTATGCTTATTTCAGTTTGTTGAATAAAAATGCTTTTGAGCGAGTATATTTTATTGAGAGATCGACACCAATATATTTTTAATCTTCCTCTGGCCTGGTTAAAACAAGATTCAAAAATATTTATATCTATGTAAAAAATTTATCAAGGCAGAATTGTATTAGCCCCATGTGTCCCGGCGCTAACGCCTTGAAAGGATGCAGCATAATAGTCACCAAGACAAAAATTAAACAGTAAAAATATATTCGTAAGTTTCTTTTTTCTGTCTGCCGGCGCTATGTTCGTTAAAACAAAGGTATTAAGCTCAATGATTAGGTACCCAATAAGTATAGAGTTGCAATACACTTAGTTCAATAAAATTATTATTAAATTAATTTAAATCTGAAATGATTGTAACCTTTGACAATAAATATTTATCATTAAATGAATAATTAAAGTTGATTTGGGATAATTATAAAAATAAAATAATTTTAAGATGTTTACGATTTAAAATATTAATTGACATTTGTTTTCTTGATAAAATTAAAATAAAACATCACTATTTAATAAACAAATAAATTTAAGATAAAAGATTCACCAAAACAAAATTCACAATAAATTAATTCTAAATTTTTATTTTAGAAAATATTCTAAGTCCAAATAAAATAATAAAAAAAACTAAGTCTTAAAAATTAAGAATCTTGAGTAGTGTCGCAGATTTTGTGTATTTTTAAATTACTGAAAGAACTGATTTTAATCGGAAAAAATGTGTTTTTTATAGTCAGAGGAGGATAGTCTAGCGATCCATAGTGTGATTTTAAAAGCTTTAGACCTTAATTAATCGTTAAATGCGATTGGATGGACTTAATTGAGGACCTACATATGGGCGTTACTTAAAATCCGTACAATAATCAGATTTAATTTCCTAGTTAATTCGTTATTTTATATTTTAAAGAAGGGAACCCTGTTTTGGTGATCTTGTGAATTCATAATATATGACATACCATGTACTGAAATATAGTCTATTATTTGTAAAGCTGGAAGTAAAACATTTTTGTAATATTTGGTTTAATTGTAATTTCCTGATCTATTGTTACTAGACGAGGAAGTAAATATTTATAAACATTTTTGAAAATGATTGTATTATTAATTTTGTACTCCTAAAAAGAAGAAAAACAAAATATTTTAGTATATAAGACGAAATGGAATGAATTGTAAAGGAAAGAGTACCTGAGGAGCACCGTGGGTAATCTCTTTTCGTGTTGACGTGTTTGACAATAAGTCTTTTCTTTTGTGCATTGATTTATTGTATTTTAAGTGTATCTTTGTTTTATACGTTTCTTTTTTTTAATTATATCTTTAATATTTACGTTTGTGTTATTATTGAATTTTTATTACTATAAGTTAAGGCACAAGAAGTATATTTTTATAATACAGCTGGGTCTCTAAACTACACGTCTTTGGTAGTAATCTAAAGTGTAATTTGTGCTGGTAATAGTCAAGTACCCTTAGTCTTATTACTCTTCTGGGTTACCACCGACAGTCGATGGGCATACCCTTTAGTAGTGTTATAGGGGCAAAAGTTTATAGTTGAGTCAGTTAGGACTTTAGTCTTTTTTTATTTGTAAAACTAATAAGCGATACGACAGTACAAAAGATAACATTTTATAATATCCTGATATTATAAGTAATAACATAATATTACAATTTGTATAATGCTAAAAGTGTTTTATTATAAAAAAATTTCCCTCGATCTCTATATTAAAGAAAAATATCTTAAAAAATTGCGTTTGTTATAAAAAAATCAATAATAATATTTTTATTTTTAAATTAATGAAATACTTCTTGAAAATTAAATAAATTACTTAATTTAGATATTAACTTCGCTGGTGAAATACTTTTTTATGTTATAAAAAACTTTATTTATGTGAGTTATCGGTCACCAGATTATATAATTATCGTTAAAAATGAGTAATTTTGTAGTTTTTACAAATGCCGGAATTTCTATATCGTTCTAAAATATATCAAACCAAAGCTTATTTAATGTATTATTTTATTATAACAACATTCCGGCAACTTGTCCTTTATAAGTAATCACCCACTTTAAGTAAAAAATCGTAGTAAGCTAATCTTAATTGTATTTAACTTTTTTAGGTAATGTCTATGAAATTTATTTTCGTACATGCCTTTTACATGGTATTTTAAGAAAAATATTTTGATTTAAGTTAAAAGTATAACGCAGCTTATAAAAATAAAATGTATGCTAATAAATTGAAAAAATGAGATTTTTATTATTAAATAGTAATTTTTATTAATATTTTTTTGTAACTGTTTTGTTCATTTAAAAATGTTATTTTTCGAGAAATAAAGTGTGGGACTCTTTTTCTTTCATTAATTATAATTAAATATTATGTGATATAGAATTGTTAATTTAACCACGACTTCATTTTTTATTAAAACATAAATAAAGATTTTCGATATAATTTTTAATGTGAAATGATAATTTAATAAAATTACTGATTTTCATACACATTTAATTAAACCAAGTATTTGTATGCGTAATTGAAGTCATTAGGAGAACTTGAATCTTATCTCACCTGATATTGTAATTCCAAGCTTTATATTTGAATGTTTTTATGTATAAGTCACGTTGTATAAATTTATACAAAAATTAATTTTGATTTTTCTAGGCCTCTAAATATTTTACCAGACCACTTATGTTTTTATGAGAAAATACTGCATATTAAATATAATAACATTATTATATTTGTTTAATCTTATAAATATCCCAATATTGATTATAAAAAAATTAGGATACTTTTAATAATAATAATTTCAGTCGCATATTATATTATTCAAATCATATCAAACAGATATTTTGAGCAAAAGACTTAAAAATAATATTCAATTATAACAAAAACAATTGTTTTCTCTAAAATATAATAATTATAATAAATTCACTAACATAGAAACATCATAAATCTAGCTATTTAAATTACATACTTCAATTTTTAATAGTTATTTTTGTAGTTATTTCCACTGGAGTAGCTAGCTGATGATGGTGGTCCATAAGTTGATCCACTAATAGGTGTTTTATAAGCACTGCTGGATCCTGAATTATAATTACCAGAAGAAGAGCTGGAGTATTCGGTTGAATCTGAAGAAGATGGCGTGTATGATAAAGATGGTGAAGAGTAAGACGAAGATGATGGAGATGAATAAGAATAAGAAGAAGAACCTAATGATGAGGAAGAGTATGATGGAGAACTCAAAGAAGAAGAATAAGATCCTGAGGATAATGTTTCAGAAGCGATTGCTGGAGAGTTGTAGGATTCTGAAGAGATAGCTGGGGCGGAATAAGATTCTGATCCATATGTTTGTGCAGTGATACCTGGTGCAGAGACTGCATAAGCTGAGAGAGCTGGTCCGGAAGCGGCATATGTTGAAAGGGCTGGCGCGGAAGCAGCGTATGCTGGAAGAGCTTGGGCTGATCCAGCGTAAATTGGTGCAGATGTTCCGTATGTTGGTGATGCATAAGAAGGTGAAGCTACGGCAATTGGAGTGGGCACTGAATAAGGTACAGCTTGTCTGATTTCAATTGGGTATGGTTGTGGTATTGGGTATGGTACAGCACGATTTACGTTATATGGTACTGGATGTGGCACACTAACTGGGACACTGCGGAGTACTTCTACTGGATAAGGTCGGTTTACTGTAACGGGTACTGGATGGGGTACGCTTACTGGAACTGCTCTGGGTACAGACACTGGAATTGGTTGAGGTACAGAGACAGGTACGTGACGAGTAACTGGTACAGCGTAAGGTTGGGGTACTGAAACGGGTACTACAGTGTTAGATGTACTTATTCTAGTTGGCACAGCTGAAGAGTAACCGACTGAAGAGCCAGCATAACTAGCTACTGGGGCAGCATAACCGTATCCAGCTGAAGATCCTAACCCATAGCCGAGTGATGAACCAATTCCATATCCTAATGAGGAACTTCCCAAACCATATCCTAGAGAAGAGCCATATCCGAGAGAAGAGCCATATCCGAGAGAAGAGCCATATCCGAGAGAAGAGCCATACCCAAGGGAAGAACTGTATCCAGAGGAAAGTCCTAATGTACTTGAAGGAAGTCCAGAACCATATCCGAGAGAAGAGCCATGCCCAAGGGAAGAACTATATCCAGAGGAAAGACCCAATGAACTTGAAGGAAGTCCAGCACCATATCCTGATAGACTAGAAGATGATCCTAATCCAGAGTAAGGCGCACTCCTTTTGTTACCAGGTTTATTTTCAGTTTTGACATCATCGGCAGCAAGACAATAGGCAATTAAAGCCAAACCAACTAAACTAACCTAAATAAAAACATTGAGCTATTTTATAAAACATCAACATTTATATTTAAGAAAATATGAATTAAAATAAGAAAAGTATAAAATAATTAGTAATTAATAGAATTTTAACAATCTTTAGTTATTTTTACAATTTATTTGATCTTTTTTCTGTAATATAAAGTTAAATATTACCTTGAAGAAATTCATACTTGATGTGTTCGATTTGGTTGTAAAAGACAAGACTGAATGCCAAACAGCAGCTACTCCGACTTTTTATAATTCTATCTGGATTCCGGTATTGTTTCTTTTTTTACTTAATACTCCCTCCTGATTTTCTTATTCGTCAATAATCAACCATATGACACTTTCTCTGATATAAAAATACGCGTTTTCTGCTATTACATCACGTCAGGGTGGTTAGTCTTAAACAAGACCAGTTTTTGCGATTAGTTATTTTTCTTCGAAGATGTCACCCGACGTTATTAAAAATTGTGTAACAACTAACGGTATCCGTTTATATACCTACATTGGTAAATCATGTTATAATATTCCGGAAATTATTACGATTACTTTTATGAGCTTATGGGAAATAAATATTTGCTCATACTAATACTAAAGATATATTTTATTTGTTCAGTGCAACTGATAGGGAGTGATATAAATGTATAAGTTAAATATATAAAACAAATTTATTTTATTACTTTAATGTTGAATAAATTTATTTTAAATTTAATATTTTTGTACGAGTATACTTTTATGTACTCAATGAATTATTTTAATTATTTAATTAAATAATAATATGGTTATACATTTTTGTAGTTTATTAATTAGAAAAATAAAAATCATGATTTACAATTTGATTTTAAAAATGGTAGGGATTTGATTGCTGATTCAAAATCTGATTTAAAATTTTTCAAAACAACTAGTTTTTGAAGTAATTATAGTTGAGTAAATAAATAAAAACTAAATTAACTATATTTTATTTTAGATTAGGCTTCCACATTTTGTTTGGAAAATATAAAATAGAATCCATAATTTTAACCCTATCAAAAATTATTCATAGAAAACTTAATATGAGTAGTGAAATTTGATATTAATTTTGTGTACACACTGACTTAAAATATAATTTTTTTGGACTAACGCAAAACACCTTTGTCTAGAATATTTTTAAAATAGTAATAATTTTTAAGGACAATACTCTTTTATAAATGAATGCATATACTTGGGAAGACTTATGTACCTTGATTACACCTTGGTGTAATTAAATCCTAGTATATATGCACCTAAACTTATTTTACTAAAAAAGTTTTATTTAACAACCTTACAAATCAAAAATTTAATTTTAATTAATAATTTATGTAAAAAAAAAAAAAAAGGAAAATCGATTATTTATTGAGTGTTTTACATTTATCTGAAAATTAATTACAAATGATTATGAACATCAATTGTAAACAAAAACTATTTCTTTATATGCACTTTTTAAGCTAATTAAAAGTCATAGATTATAAATATTCCATATTAAATTTAACATGGTGATTGATCATTATTATTTGTAATTTCGAATAATTTTAACTTAAACTTTAATCAGTACGTAAGTTGTCCAAAATGTTATTTTAAATAAAAATAATTCGACACTTTTCACAAAAATAATTATCGATAATAAATAGTTTGGAGAGAGAAAAAAATATACTTTGAAATATATCTTCTTTTCTGTAACTAAATCTTAAGTACATTGCTGATCAAATAATTTTGTATGACATAGCTTTTATCGCTACTATTTCAACAAAACAAAAAAATGATTTTTTTTTTTGAAAAAAATTAAAGGAAAATCTTTTAATTTTCTTTAAATTATTTATTGTCTTCACCAAAAGACTTTTAAGATTGTATAAACTAATTTTAAACAACTTATTCATAATTATGATGAAAATAATAAAAATAATAGTTTTTGGAACTTAAAATTTGAGTTCCACGTATTTCTTACTTTAAATATATATGTATTTTCTTCCCAATGTTCAAACTATAAAAAACATAAAAATCCTATGTAACATTTCTTATATGTGTGTTAAACTATCATCACTGTAAGTTAAATATTCACAAAGTTATTGTGAAAAATTAATTTTTTTTCTTTTAACGATTTTAACTAGATTCCATAGTCCTTGCGTCACGTTTCTATTAACTTTTTCATAATAGCACAGACATAAAGCAGTCAAAATACTTGAAGAGTGCTATTACACCACCTCTTCAACTAAAACTGCATCAGGAACTACTTCTGAAGCTGTTGTGCGCTAATGTATTTCATTAATTTTGATGAGATTTTTTTAGGTATTCAATTTTGAATTGAATTAGTTATAAAAAAGCTCGTTGTAATATATTAAACTATATTTAAATACCTAGCTAAAAATAAAGCATTTTTCAAACAATTCACTTAATATTATCTTATATTATTTCCCTACAAAATGATAGATTTCTTAAAAATAAACCACAATACAATAATTACCTTAAAAATGATTAAATTTCATTAAATAAATCTTTATGGATTTTAACATAACTTTAATATGATAATGTAATACAAATAATAGAGCTAGAATCAATATATAGAATGTACAGTAAGTAATGAAATAGTTTCTATTGTTCTCATTGTAACGACAGACCTATTTTCTTACTTACTGAACATTCTGTATATTGTTATTACTAAGTGAAATAACATGAATATCTGTGTAATAATACCCTTATACTCGTAGTAGCAATTTTAGTAATGTCAATAAGAGAATGATTTAGACTATAAAAACTCTTCTCGTATATATATCACTGCCAACATGTATGGTTTACATATCTAATTGACAAAATGTTGATTAATTTTATATCTAAAACTTAATAAATCACAATGATTGGTTTTTTGAGATCTTTTATTACATGTACAGTGTTTTGTACTGTTATAAACTAATTCCCATCAAAATATTAAAATAAAATTTTTATTTTTGACGAATATTTTTAACACGTTTATTATTAAAACAATATATTTATTTTAGCAAAGTAATATTATCATTTTTGGAAAAAAGCCACAGATAAATTATTTTTTGTTATACTAAGGAAAAGATAAGTGTATTTGTATATCAAAGCTGATGTCAATTTTAGCAATTTTTAGTAAAAATAAATTTAAATCCAATTGCGTCTAATGTAAATCGACATTTTTAAAATTTTAAAACATTCTTTAACGATAAGATAGATATACCATTTTTTTTTAGGTAGATGCTACCAAAACATTATATATCAGCTATCATTACAAAAAAAAAGTATTATTTAGATAACAATTTTATAAAATATTATATATTTATGCTATAATCTATTAATTTATACTTTGGTGACGCATCAGCTTTTGGTTTTTAATCATATACGTGAAGATTTTCTGAATTAAAAAATATTATAAAAATTTCAATAAATAACCTATCCCACGCACAAACAGCATGATAATGTGTACATAGTGTTTATTGTTTAATTTTAATAATATAGTACGTATACATATACTTTTAATATGATAACATTTTGTCAATCATGTTAAAAATTCTTAAAATATATTGGGAATACATATCCAAATAATTAAATCAAAATATATTAAGAATATGCATTTAAATATTTTTAGATAAAAGTATTTAAAGATAAATACTTTTTTCTTATATTTCAAAATACTTTTTTTGATTCCTTAATTTATTTATATTTTTAGAATTAATTGGTGAAAATCAGGAACATATTACCCTTAATATTAAAACAATTACTTAAATTATATTCTTTTTAAAAGAATATTTGTTTTCATGGACTTTAAAATGTATTTAAATAATAAAAATAATTTCTAAAATAATATTTCAAATTAATAATTGTCACTAGAACACAAGTATATAATAGATTTTTATAAATAAGTTTTATCTGTTATATCTTAACGCAAATGTCCGTACAAGAAAGACATAGAAGCAAATTTCTTATCCAAAATTAGTAATTTTAATTGCAATCTATTAAATTAAATTAATTTACTAAAAGTTAGTCACGTTATAAAAATAGTAAAATGGTGTTCTTGAATTTTTTTCTAGGATCAAAGTATTTCTCGATTATAAAAATGTTAAGTTCAAACTAAAAATACTAATGAGTGTTAAAATTAGTTAAAAATCTTGTTTACATTTCTTATAAATAACTATAATACTTCAAATATGAAATATACAAAAATAAAGTAATCACAAATGAAAGGAATATAATATTTCAAGTACTGTTACTACTAAAAAGTATTTATCAAATTTTCAAAGTACTAAATAAAATTTCAATACTTTAACAAGAATGGTATTTATATTAAGTACCATTTAAATTATAACTAATTAGTGTATTTAGAAGAATGAATAGTAAATGGTATAAATTAAGTAATCATAAAATAAAATAAGTACATAGACTTGAAATTGGTTAAAAAGAAAACAAAAAATCTCAGTAAGCCACTTTTATTAGAGACAGTAAAATATTATACATATCTAATTTTATCAAATATTTATGATAATATAATATATTGTTATTATTTTAAAAACTAATATCAACTTTCCTAATTTTTTAAGAAAGAAAATCAAATAGGTCAGTATGTGTTTAGCGTTGATAATGGTAACAGTTTCCGAAATACGTATCCGCGACTTTTCATTAATTTTTTTGTGGCTTTTGAGTTTAATATTTTTAATATTTTTTAGTTTTTTTAAATTAATAATATTTTTAATATAGTTTTAATTTTACTTAATTAACTAGCCACAAGTGATCAATTTTTATTATATAAAAATCAAATTAAAAAGTGAAAAAAATAAAAAAAGTGAATTTTAGAGTTTCTGAGTGAGGAGCAAGTGGCCTTTGGTTCTAATTAAAATCTTTAGGTACACAAATAAACGAAAAAAGTCGCATTTTATATTACTCTTCGTAACTATAACATTTTATTAGTTATTACATAAAAATCCTAAACAATGTTATATTTAATTAAATTCATTATTTCTCAGCATATGTTTTATTGACCTAACAAGATTTCCAACTAATAGGCGTAGAAAATTATGTAAGAAACGAAATTTAGATATTTGTACCCAAGATACCAATTGACATATAACTGTTTTATTTATCGAATATTATCAAATTTAAAGATATTTTCAACCGGTTTTATCATATTAAATGAATACTCGTGGCATTTATTGTACGCATTTAACACAAGAAACTCAATGTGAAAGCTCAATATTTTTATTAATCTACTAATATGTACAATTTCTAGAAAGTAATTTACTTATTTTACGAAAACGCTATTATCTCAGTATCACTATTATCTCAATATCACTATTATCATTAGAAAACAATATTTATTAATTATCAAATACATAAAATGTACAATTTCAGAAAAAGTTTTTCAATTTTATTAAAACAACTAGAGTAGTGATACATGGACATTATTTTTATATTTTATTAATAACACATAAACATCTTTATTAAAAGTGATATTTTCAAGTCCCATATATAATTTCATGATCCTGATTAAATTGTCTCTACAGATATGCAATATTATTAATGTACTCAATTATTAAGATGAGTAGGTAACCTGTTTATGAATCAGCGAGAGCGGGAGAAACCATAAAAGCTACAACAGTCAAATTATTATAGTTTTACGGAACAAGTGACATTATGTATTATTATACACCGGACCTGACCATTTGAAACATCTGTCCGGATGTTTATGAAATTGTTTATATAACAAAAAAAAAAAGATTAGAGTCACCACGCATTAGATTATATGGTTTTAATAGAAAAATATGCGAATTAGTTTTTAAATATTATTGTGTAATAATCCAACCATTTTTTTTATTATATATAGAAAAATAGTTAAGACACATCCATTATTTTTATGTTGATTCCCTTCTTATGAACTAAATTTATTAATTTTTTTGACAACTAAATTAGTTTTTTGTTATCGTATTAATGTCGCGAACGTAATTTTATTAGTAGGCCACATTTAAAAGAAACATAATACTTAAACATAAAAAGTTGAACAACTAACCTAAATTAATTTTATTTACATTTTCAATGAAGTATATATGGAGTGAAAACAAATTAAATCACTTTTAATGATTTTATGTATGTTCCGAATAATTGAAATTTACATTACTTTTGAAAATTAGAACAAATGTGATGCTACCAATTATCCTAATGAACTGTTTTATAAATTCAATTAAAAAATAAAAGTATTAGTGGATTTAAGTTAAACTATTAGGGAAAATTCGAAAACTATTCAGATATAATATTCTTGTAAAATACATTTGACTTGAAATCCTTTTAATTAGAATTGTGAAATAAATAAATAATTAGTGTTTTTCAATTTTCTATTTTTATATCATTCTTATTACAATATTTTTGCTCTAATATTTCAAACAATACCAAGATGTATATTAATGTCGGTTTCATTATTCTACAATTGTTGTGTAACTTACAGTATGGAAAAAAATGATTTTTATAAAAATATCACATGTGATGTACATATCAACATACTCAGATCAAAAAGAGTTAAAATTCTATAAATTTTTTTTTTTTGTCAATTATTAATTTATATTTAATTATTTGGAGAGGCTTACATTAATTTAATAGATTTATTTTTGTACTTGTGTTTTATTGAATTCGATTTAATTTTAGGATTAAAATTTCATTACTTAAACTAACATAAGCACAATTTTAACATGTTATTTGGGACATCCAACTTAATTAATACACTTTACAAAAATTTTTCTATAGACATATACATGTGTATTTGAGGGAGGTTGCTGGTCTAAGTCATTTTTAGACCAGATGGCGTCTATATAAACTAGACATTTAGTTAGTTTGATAATAAAGGGATTACATTTTATATTTTGTTAATTATTTGATAGGCAATTTTTATCTAAAATTGAAAATATTTTAGTAACCTTCATTAATGGAGGTTACGCTTATAAATTCATAACAATTATCAACACATTTAAACACAGTTGTGTCATTATGCTGACGTTATAGTTTTACATTAGTCAATTATATTGTTTTGACTGTTCTGTGCCCTAATAATATTTAAATTAAAAGTGAATTACATCGATGCTCATAGGATAGTTTGAATTACTGGTTAGTGTTTGATTTCGATCGATTCGTGCTTGGCGTGCGGTACTGAGTAAAACGTGTTTATCGTTTTCAGTTTTTGTAGAACTATAATACGTGTTTATTGATATTTAGTCAATGTCACGTAAACGAAAACGAAAATATTTGACGTTGGCTGAAAAAGTTTATATGATTAATTTGGTAGAAAGTAATCCAAAGAAAAAATATGGAATTGCAAACCAATTTGGCATCACGAAAAGCGCTTTGTCTACATTACTGAAATCTAAAAACTTGATATTCAACAACTATGAAATTTTTGGTGCTACTAAAGTTACAAAATTCCCGAATTGTTCAAATCTCTGCGAGAAATTAACGGCAAACTCAACTCAAACTTTAATAAAAAGAAATCGTAAGATTATACCAATATGCAATACAAAGAGGAAAGGTGACTTATTAAAACGGTATGTACAAAAAAAATTAACATATAATGAACATCAAGGTAAACAATTATTTAATCAATTGATAAAAAAAAATGCTAACGAAGAGTTAAGGTCTATTTTAGAACACAATAGTCATGATGATATTTTTATTGCTACACAATTTAACATTTCTTACAAACAACATATCGGTAGTCTTCCTCAAGTGCATTGTAGTGAAAGCGATAACCTGATCGTATTAATATGTGTGAACTTAACAGGCAATGAAAAATTGGAACCGCTTGTAGTGTGTAAAAAACCGGAAACATCTCATGAATGTCCACCTGCTGTTAATATGGATAATGTAATGCCTTTGATGTTTAATCGTTGGCTCGAAGATTTAGATGAGAAAATGTATATAAAAAAACGGCGGATTATCTTGTTAACTGATTCAACTTTGGAGTTATTGAAATCACATGCCATATTAAAAGCAGTCAATATTAGATTCATATCGTTATCATTAGCCGGATGTTTAGAAGATCTTTTCAAAACTGCGTACAAAACTCAGATTTTGGAAAACAATCAGCCATTAGATTTATACCAAACCATAAAATTTGTTGACATGTCATTGAAGTCAATCTCAACGGAAGATATTAAGAGTTGCTTTCGTTTCAATGATAATAATAATCATAAAAAAATTATAGATGATGATTCATTATTAATGTTTACGTATGGTAATTCTCTTTTGCCTACAAAAAAACTAACTAAAATAATTAATAAAAATAATTCAACAAACGATGAGTGTAGAACTAATGAAAAAATAACTGATGGTGAAGTCTTTCAAGCCTTGGAAACTATAAAAGGATTTTTAAAATTTAGTCAAGGTTAGTTAAACATTTAATAAAAAGACATTCATATTAGATTAAATTTGAATAAAACACAAAAATGTATACTCAAGTGTTATTTTTAGGTGTAACACCAAACTATGTTGACATCATCTCAACCTTAGAGAACATTATAGATGATAACGTAAAAAGTAAAAAGTGCAAAAAAAATTACCAAACAGAAATAACAGATTTTTACAATATAAATAGTTTTCCATAAAAGATCCATTTGTACTTGAATAATAAAAAATATGATATAATCATAATAACTGGAAAAAATTCCAGTTATTCCATATAATTATATGTTTATAATTCAATAAATGGCCTAAGAGCAGAATAAATTTGTATTATGTAATTTATTTATATTATGTACATTTTAATAAAGGAATTTTAATATTTACCTTTTGGTAATAATACATTTCAATTAATTTGTTTTTACAGATTATAAATATTAATTCAAATATTAATTAATATTAATTCCTATCAAAACGAAATGATTCATTATTGTGAAAACTATTTTATCATGTTATATTTTATCTTATTTATCTTATTCACGTTGTTAAAAAATTTAATAGCACAAGTACCTTTTCAAATAATATAATTATAATTAAAAAAATATTTTTAATTTACCAGTGTATTAAAAATATATTTCTTATTTTCTTACTAGAAATATTATTATTATCATTATCAGATTTCATTTAAAAATATTTTATTTTTATTTAAAAACCTACTCTTGAAATATTTCTTCAATTGTTGAATACCATATAAAGTAAAGTCGACCCTTATGAATACATTATCTTCATTTTATTTTTTAAGTTTTATAAGCTGTTTGATTCGTTTATATTTATTCTATCATCATTAGTAAAAATAAAAACTGTTGCACAATATGGTCATAGGAGGATAGTTGGGACAAGTATAGATGCTATCTGACAGTGAAAATCACTATCATAAGAAAGACTTCAATGCAAATTTGTAAATAGTGTTTAACTCTAAGAAATTGGTGCATAATTACAAAACCAACATCAACTCTTATTTCCTTAATAATATCCTGATTAGTAGTTTTTAGATTTTAAGATATAATTTATGATTAAATATTTATTATAGCAAATAAATACAGTATAAAATTAATATTTAATAATTTAATATTATAATTTTTACGAAGAAATAATAAAAAATGATAAAGTTGTTTATTTTGTTATTTCTATAACAAACATGTATAAAAACATTAAAGGGCTAGCTACAATGCTTTATAATTTTTTTTTTTTCATTTATAAATAATTACACTGTACTATAAGAAACTTTTACCAGAATCAAAAATATACTTTTCTAAATCAAATTTTTGTGCTGTTTTCAAATCTGTAATTAGAATTTTTCTATCATTTCTAATTTTTGATTTTAATACTAATTAGTAAAAAATGAATAATTACATATAAAACAATTAGATACAAATTCATTTGACGTATCATTGAGAAATATTCAAGTTTAAGTGAAAGCTGTGAAAAATAAATAATAACCACAAAAAACACATAGTAAAATAGTTTTAATATGAATAACAAATTTATTCTCACGAGGGGAGACTACAGTAATGTAATCTTTGATACTCATTGAAGTTATTTAATCTAAATGAGATAAAAATTAAATTTGTTTAACTTTTTTTTCAAACTCAAAAAGAATTTATAAAAAAAATGCAAAAAACTCATAGCTACAAGCTGGTTTAAAAACTGGTGGTGCAATTTGTTCTGGGAAAAGATATACATTAAAAAAATTTTACTACACCTTTATAATGAAATAAACCAAAACATATAATAAAATAAATTATGAATAAAATATAAAAGGAAAAGGTGTAAAGAGTGAAATATAATCAAATATTACGAATAAAAAGGGGGTTTTAAAAAGATGAACATATAAAGGTAATGGTCAAATAAATAAATAAACATAAATGATAAAATAGAAAATTTCGGGGGTTGAATAATATTGAATAAATTATGTTAAATATCCCAACAAATATTTTCTTAGAGGCATATTACGTAATAGATTGTTTGTAGTTTGAAAGTATGAAAAAATTTGCACTTACATTATATATTGTATTCATGTCATGTAACTATAAAATATCGTTAATTTGGTGTACACGGCGCGTTGTATAGTCAAAATAATTATTTAAGAAAACGATTTATTTATGAGTAATGCGATTTCATTACAAAAATCTAAGATCGATTTTTATATTTAAAATATTTTAAACACTCTATATTTTTATTGTGAATATAATTTTAATCATTTACCCTTATTTTTTTTTTTTTTTGAATAAGTATTTTTTTATTAAAAGATCGATACCAATATTTTTTAAAAACTCCTCTGGCCTGGCCAAAATAAGATTCAAAAATACTTAAATCTATGTAGAAATGTTATCAACGCGTTTTTTTTAGTGGCTTAATGTGTACCGACGCTGATGCCTGGAAAGGATGCGCATAATAATCACCAAACATAAAAATTAAACACTAAAAATATCTCCCTAAGTTTCTTTGTGTTGTCTGCCGACCGAAGTTCATTGGAACAAAGACATTAGCAACGGGACTAGCTACTCAATAAGAAAGGCTCACGATGAATATTTAAAGTTGGGTTGAATTTATTATAAAAATAAACAATTTAAGGGTTTCAACTATGTTATTTCAAATGGGTTATTACACATATTTTGTATTTAATGAAATGTTTTATTTTAATAATAAATCACAATTGAATCTCAAAAATTTTTAACTTTCAAATTTTATATCTTATAAACGAATAAAGTTATAATAAAAATTCAAATGCTATTAACTATTTAATTAAAAACTCAAATATTTTGTTGAATTCAAAATATGTGTTTCCATTTAAAAAAACAAAGTTGACACCCTTACCAGCCATAAGGGATGAACTTAAGAAGTATTACATAGTTAATAATTCAAGAATAATGTGTAACTAAAGATAATAATAAAAAAAAAAATTTTAATTATTATTATTCTGTAAGTAATTGAGTACTATTCGATAGTTTAAAATATTCGAAAATGCCCATCACTAATTAAAATCACTATCATATAAACGCTCCGATGCAAATCTGTAGTGTTTAATTTAAAAAAATTCGTAGATTATTTCAAAAGCAACAATAACTCTTATTTGCTTAATTTTATCCCTATTAGTTATTTAATTTATAATTATAATATATGAATAAATAATAATTATAGTAATTAAATTTAGTACGAAATTATATTCAATAATTTAATATTGTAATTTTTACGGAGATACTATAAAAATAATAAAGTAGTTGTATATTTCTTTACTTTTAAAGCGTATAAAAGTTTAAAGGGCTTGATGCAATACTTTTCAATAAAAAACGTTTGTTACTTATAACAAAGTTATAGATTTTATACACTGGACAACAAAGAACTTTCATCAAAAACAAATACTTACTTTTCTAAATCGACTTCAAATTTTTTTAGATTTAAATTATTATTTAAATGAATTTTTAATTTTGAATATATTAGCTACAAGTGATCAACCTTATTATATAGTTTAGTTTTATTTCACAAAACAATTGGCATACTTAATTACTGTGGTAATATGGAATAAATGTTAAATAATATGTTACGTCTATTCAATTAATAAAATAACCAAATTTCAGACTTTTTGATACTTTTTTCATATAATTTATTTCTTTTATAGTCTGTCATGTTTGAGTGGAATTTTCTAGGGTTTTAGTTATCTAGCAATAAATATCTTCAAAAAATTAAGAATTTAATTTATGAAACAATATATGACTATAAAACAACACAGAATCGAATGAATAGTTTAACTTTAATAATTAGTTATTCAACATGGCAGGTTACCATGTTATATGATATTCCATATAAGAAGTACATTTTCTACAGTAAAAAAATATGATGGTTATAAATTAATTCATATCAACAATTATAATATAATTGTTGAATATTATTCAAAAAGAATTAAAATTTTTAATATAAGTAAGAAACTGACAAAAATAATAATACACACCAAAAGAAAGTAGCCGTCCATATTTGAACTTTTTTGTTCAACCCCGGGAAGTTGTCCAAGAGAAATGTTCTCCCCATTTAAATAACATGAAGAAATGTTATTTTTGTATAAAATCGCTCATTTTCCATAATAGATAAATAATTTAAAATTATTTTTACATATTCTAAAAGTTAACATTTTTTGCAACAAAATACTTGCCAAAAACTTTTTTTTTAATATTTAATAAATGTTTAACTATTAATTAGGTTTGTTAAAATTTTCACCATCAGGACATGCTCAAAAAAATATTTGAAAAATTGAAATGGATGGGAAATTAAATGTTTTTGGCATGTTTCTTGTTACAGTAAATATCAGAACGTGTAAAAATAACTAAAAAAATATAAAAATTTATTATAGTAGGAAAAAGTTTCTGCTCATATAAAAATAAATAAATTGAATTTTTTGAATAAATAAATTTTCTCTTTGTTTTGAATTTTGCTGATTTACGTGAATAAAAAAGTTCACAAATTATTAAAAAGTGTCGTTCACTAATGGTTTTGATAAATTTTAAAGAGGTGTAACAGCCCCTCCACACTCCCTTTAAAAATTACTTACACTATACAAATTTATAGATTATAATATTTAAATAGATAAACAAAAATCAGTATAAAACTACAATTACAAGCAGATAAAAATCAATTTTATTACTTTGATATATTATAAAGATTATCATAAGGCGTATTTACAACTGATGGTCAATGGTGAAAAGCGTAACTACTACTGTAGCCGAATCCGTGATCGTGGCCGAAATCAAAACTACTATGTCCGTAACTGTGGTCGTGATGATCCTTCACGTAAACAGGAACATGTTTTTGAATGTACACTGGATAAGGCACTGGATGGGCGACGGGAACTTTGACGTGCACTTTAACTGGATATGGAACGGGCACGTGCTTTTCGACGTGTACTGGATATGGTACGGCCTTCTCGACAGCTACTGGATAGGGTACGTGTTTTTCAACCGGTACAACGATTGGTCTGTCCACCAATACTGGCACTTCTTTAGTTATATGAACAGATTTAACGTGTCCGTAACTATGATCTGATCCCAATAATCCGTAGCTTGAGAGACCATCCCAGTCACTATCACCGCCATATCCTAAACCCCATAAACCGCGTTTGCTTTGTTTTTTTTCAACTGGTTTTTCATTAGCTTTGTCAGCTTCAGCATTAATTAATACTAAACTGGCTAATACAAGCATTAGTGTTGAATTCTGTAAATAATCATAGCAATTATTTCCGTACAATGTAATTATAAAAATAGATACTTTAATATTTTGGATTTTGTATTTAATTTTAGGTAATTAAGATTAGGTACTTTTTAGTATGTTTTATTAATTTTTGTATCAATATTTTTTAATTTTTTATTGATACATAGAGGTAACGCATGAAAACCATTATTAAAAAATCATAACCATTGTATTTTTACTACGACTTATAATATATATTATACTAAGGCTCTTATCATTAAGAGCCTTAGTCAAGTTATGATCTATTTCTTTTTTCGATAAAAGAAGTAAAAAGGCATAAATATACCATATTTTAAAAAACATTGTCAGCAAAAATCACTTACACCGGTTTACACAAATTTAAAACCTGGTTTATCAATACTGTATTCTAATTACTAATGACAGGAAAGTTTAGTACAAAAAGAAAAAGTTTTGTTTTACTACACAACATGACACTTTATTTAATATATAATATAATCTAATGTGATGCATTAAGGGGGTAGTTCGAAGGAGAAATAGCCCTCCTTAAAATTCTTAGGTGCGAATCCGAATATTAAAGAATAAATTCACAAACATAAACAAATTTTCAACCATACGATCGATCAACAAAAAATGTTTACTTCAATATTAATAGTTATGACTTATATGTTATTTTATAGTCTTACATTTGCGAGCGTTTTAACATTTTAAAATGTTCATGGAGTGCTAAAAAAATTCTTCTTATCTTCGCAAATCATTTTCCTAGAACAACGTTGCCAATGTCTTTTATAAAAAAATATTTGAAAATCGGACATGTTAAGCAATTTTTTCAATGTTTTATATAATAAAATATCATCTAGATGTATTAAATCAATGAGAATTGATAATTGATTAACAATTTTTTATTTACAACATAATATATTCATATATTACATTCAGCCATGTGTAAAATAATGAAAAAGGGTCGACAGTTAAAGTCATCTAGAGTTTTAAATAATATTTCACCATAATTACTTAATGGCACATAAAAAAAAATGTGTAGCAATCTAATACTGAAAATAACATTTATTTTCATACCTTAATAATAATCAATCAATTAATTTTTAATAAAATATGATGTTTTGTTAAATAATATATATTTTTTTCAAATTCTAGTGAATATGATTAATGATAATCACATTTTCTTGTTCAGAGTATCAGTAACATTAAATACTGTTAAACATATTATAAATTAAAAAAAAACTAATGCTATTTTCTTCAACAGAATGAATTAACGTCTTGGCTATAAACTATTTAAGACATGTTTCAGTACTTACCCACAATTCCATGGTTCTGTCTTTATTTATGAACTTTGCGAATTTGTATTTATAGCTAAGTATTAATTGCTGCGTAAATATTCAAAGTTGTTACTATAGACCTAGAAGGCTTATGATCTACAAGTACCATATGAATTTATATATATAGTAGTATAGGCCTCGTATTACTGAATAGAGGGAGGAGACAGATAATGATTTTATCCACTTTGCGTGTGTACTAGGTGCATTTTGATTACTATTCAAGGGATATTTCTCAACACCCGTTCACTGAGCCTAGTTGACCTTTAACCGCAGTTCTTTGGTCATCCAGCGCGTGGTAGCTATTGTCTTCTTCACGGTCCGTTCTCGTCAAATTTCATCACCAAGAAATAGTTAAAACTATCATTATAGATGATAATTTGAACACTTGGTCGAGATCAACCTTCAAATTTGATTATGCTGATTAAATATATCTATAATATAAAAATTTCAGTTGCATAATAGATTTTACAAATTAAAAAAAAAACATTCATTTCATATATTACTTAAAAATATGTTAAAATTTATTAATTAATGAAACATATGTAAGCTTTAAGTAAAATATACACTTTATAATTTATTATTTTACAATAAAACTGCAAACAATATAAATATAAAAAGGATTTTGATGATTAAAAAATTGATATTATGTTAATATTAACTTCATTCGTTCCAAAACTCCGCAAGATAAAAAATATAGAGTATTAAAGACTAATTTTAAGTTAGTGCACATTTGAATTTTTTTAATTTATCTCCTAAATTAACGTAATTTGTTTTAAAGCCAAATTAAGATAAAAAACTTTTATTCTATAAATCTTTTCATTCTTTATGTACACCTTAAACAATTTTTAAATTACACTCTATTAAAAATAAACATTATGTTCATGCATGTGAATTTAATGAACTGATTTCACATGGCTAAGAGATGAGATATTTTTTCTTTGTAATTGCAATATTATACTAATAAATAGCAATACTAATGATAACTAAATCCACTTTTTTTAATCCTAAAATCAATAAAATTGAATAAATTATTAAAATTTCTTTTGTGATAGTAACGATTAATGACGAGTATTTCAATTAGTCATTGTATGTTATGAAATTTAATGATTTTGTATAGTTTTCCACAAAACCATTTTTTTTTATTTATAAGTTGTATGGTCATAGACGTGTACAGACTGGGGTAGTAAAAACACAAGGCACAATTAATCGAGCCTAAATATCTAAATACCCATCTACCTTACTAGTAGAGGCATTGTTTGAAATTGTTGCTTTATTTTACATTTAAATTTTTACTCAACTAAACGAAGTTATGTATTGAATTATATCAATCAATATTTTGTTAACACATAATAACATTTGTTTAAATATTATTTAACTTTTATTTATTTTGGTGGGATATTATGGCATGATAAATTATTAGGTCAATGAAAATCGTGCTAAATTCAATTTTTTTAAGTCCAGCCACTTTTTAGCCCAATATTGTTTATTGAGACATGGTTTGGCTCAGTAGATCATTTAGTTGCTGCCCACCCAACGCTAACAACAAATAGCGTAAAATCATATACGCTATTTGTTGTTAATTCCCGGATGGGTGACCATAAAAGCACCAAAAGTTGTCATTGCTTCTACTGTGTAGCTCCTGTTCGTATGCTCATGGAGTGGATATAATTCTCCCATGTGTTGGCGATTCAGAGATAAAAAAAAACTCATACAAGTATGTACATAAAACTGTTTAAAGTAGATTATTGAAGATTTCGCATAAATTCTACAATAACTTCAATGATATTTTTGTCATAATATATTGATTAGAGATTTACTACGTGATTACGTGTTTCAACACCATAGAAGCAAACCCAACCCCATAAATATATAGAGCAGCTTATTATTCTTAATTTCCCCTTCTTAAAATTGTTTTTGCATAGTGATACATATAGTTTTTCTGAAATTTTGGAGGGGTTAAGTCCGTCTCCCTCCAAATGTGCACATATGTATAACACCATAAATATTTTTCTTCGAACAATTTTTAATTTATTAATATTATTGGAGATTGATTTGAAATTTCATGTCGTTATTATCAACTTTTATTTTGAAATATTGTAATTCATGTGATTCAGCATCGAAATATAATAATTGTTTACTATAAAATTTGCAATGGTAACATACGCCGACTAAAATGTTAAAATTTATTTATTTTTCCTATGGAACTTTTCAATAATTAATTATTTACTTATGAAATGTATAATGGTATCTTTTACCGCATTGTGGGATTCAAATAAAATAATAACATTTAATAAATACAATGAAATTAAACGTAAACTATTATTTTTAAATTATTGGACATTTGATTGGATTTACAGGATTGTTATAAATATAAAATGAGTGTAATATAATATAATATTGTTTGTACTGTAATATAGTAACTCAACATTTGTAAATTTTGAGTTATACATTTTTTATTATGACAATGAAATGTAATGGCATATTTTGTCGTGTCTTTAAAATTGAATACTTAATTCTAAATAATATTGCTAATCAATAATAAAAAATGGTAAATTTGCTTAAAGAATTAGAATATTATTTTGAGTAAATACGGTAGTCATATTTTGAATTGATACACTTGAGTAAACACAGTGTGATGAGTTTGATAAAGATGATATAATTAAACATAAATAATTAAATATAACATTATTATTACAATAAATTAAGAAAGTCATGCATTACAAATAACCTTTGAATTTTTATAGAAAAAACTTTAAAATTAAATTAAATTCATTTGATGTATATTTTTTGTGTCAATAATTATATGAAATATTACCCTCAAAAAATTTTTTAAGCAATATTTTGAACAGAACGAGGAAAAAATTGTTTGATGGGCACAGTACCCCCTATTCCTAAATCTGGTCTGGCCATACATTTGTAAATATTTTGATTTATTTAATGCTTTAAAATAATATTAACATGATTGAACCGTTGTTTAATCTTCGGTGCGAAGCTTTGGTATTAGTTTTACCGTAATGTGTTTTTTTGTATCTGTCATTCATTTTCCAATGATACGTCAAAAAATCACACGTAGTATTTAATTGGAGGCATTACTTTCGAAAATTGGAAAAAAATTTCGTTCCTCATAAACAGGAAATTCCAAAAAAATACGATATTTTTATTTTTGACATTTTTTTAACACTTTTACTTAAAACTGTTTGAAAAATTTATGAAAGATAATAATTATTTTATATAAATATCTTAGGCATTTTTCTTTTATTAAGTATATTCTTTAAAAATCTGACTCTTTACCTGTTCTTAGAGAGGATTAAAAATAGCTAATTTTGCACAAAAAGTGAACTTTTTCAATTTAACTCACGAATATTAACCAAATCAGTACTATATCTTCAATATATTTTTTTGGATTAAAGATTAAGTAATATACTTAAATTTTAAAAAAATTGTTTTCGTAGTGAAAACGGCAACCGTATGCAAAAACGTATTTTTGTGTTTAAATTGTCAATTTTATATTTTCAACATTATACTACTACAATTTTTTGAAGAATGTGTAGATCAATACAATTTTTTGTTCCAAAGACTTATTATTATACGACATATAATGCTCTCATTGTGCCTAATAAATCGAGAGAGCACTTAATAATTATTAATAATTTTTTTCCATATTTTAGTTTGGTTTTTGAAAATTTGGAGAATTTATACTGCAGGTACTAGAAATATAATATTCGATGATTCCGCGTTATCTTTTAGATTGTAGTAACATAACGTTACAGTAACTATAATTCAATCGCAAATATAGTGATTAAACTTCATAATTAGATTTAAAACCTATTTTTGAAATCAAATAAATTTGTTTTTAACAATAAAACTCGAAGTTTTTAATTTAATTTGAGAAATTTTTTAAAATTTTAATACATTAAGTAATATATTATTCATGTGATCAAACTGTTAGATAAAGATAAAACTATAATAAAAAATGTTTTAAAAATTCGTTCACAATCAAATAAACCTCTAGAGACGAAAATTTAATTGCTTTATTTCACATTTTGTGACAGTTATACTATATTTTTGAAATTTTTTTAATTATTCAGGAGATTTCAAAAGCTGATTTCATTCGTCATACGTTGATTTTTTTTTAGAGGAAAATAATGTTTTGATAGATCTTTTAAATAAAAATATTGTGCTTCTTGATCTTCTATGCAGTAATATAAAAAATATGTTTTAAAATGATAAAATAACAATTCAAAAAAAAAAAAGCAAACCCTAAATTATCAATTATGTCCATTATACAGAATGGTTCATTTAACCGTACAATTTTCTATTTAAACTTGTCGTTAAACTTATAAAAATATTCTAATTTATTATTATGTAGAAAAATATTCAGACTTTGAACAATACAAATGTTACTAGCATATACTCAACATATAGTTTGACAAACGAAAATTAATAAGAACACAAAATCGTTGATCGACTCTGACAGCCAGAATGCATCATTGCTGCATTAATATTTACATTACACAATACAAATGTTTTCTTTCATTCTTCACATTGTTCGGTACTCAACCAAGAGATCGATGCAATTCATGGTCAATATACACGTTGAATATGTATGGCTTAAAAATGGATCGCATAGCTTTAATAATGAACATCGTACTCTATACGAAGTTCAATTACAGTCGAGTACACATCGTGGTACAGCTGTTGCGCAATGATTATGACCTGTTGGGTCATCGGCCGAAAGACACTAACTAACCGGTGGACTACTTCATTGTATCTATGAGAAATAAAACGGAAAGTGAAGGGCATAAAGATGCATTGTTATTATAATAGATGTAAAAAATGGATATACATATATTTCATTTATTTATTTAAGCTTTTAGTTTTATATGCTTGTCACACTAATCATACGAAAAATAATCGACTTTTATAATATTAATTTAAAATATTTAATTCTAAATTTCGTTTAATAATCACGGGACACTCATTACATGTCATACTTATGTACAGTACAAAATCGAGGAGATGCGTTTAATTCGTCTCTATGGTTATAAAGATGTTTTCTTCGAATACTTAAATAACAATAGTATTGTCGAATTACTTATTGATATTGGCCGTGAATCCCGAAGTCTTTGGCCCCAAATAACTATTGTGTCCTGAAGCATATCCCGAAAAACTGCCACCAGGACTTATCAGTCCTTGCATCGTGTTATACGCATTACCCATTAAGGTACTGGCCACGTTGTTTATACTCAGTTGACTTCCTCCGCTCAGATTTTTATTCGCTCCGAGTCCAGTTAACGCGTGGTTTACTCCTATATTATAGCCAGATGTTGAACCGTACGGGTAGTCACGATTGCTAAACACTGGTACTCCTATGTAGTTAGGTGAATTTCCCCATGCTGCTGTCTGTGGATCAGTCCTATCAATATACACTGGGTATAGAGATGGTTTTTCCCAGAGTACTGGTTGTGGTACCATCACTGGCTTGGTGACTACAACAGGATAAGGCTTGGACACTTCATAGGGGACCTGTTGTACTACAGGTACTTGGACAGGCACTTGCACCGCGAAAGGAACTGGTCTGTCAACCGGATATGGTTTAGGAATCGGTACGTGCACGGGATATGGCCTATCGACAGGCACTGACACTTTATAGGGAACGTGAACGGGATACGGTACGGGCTTGTCGATTGTCACTGGGTATGGTCGGTCCACGTGCACCGGATATGGCATTGGCTTTTCTACGTGGATGGGATAGGGTACCGGACGATCGACCTGGACCGGGTAAGGCAAAGGTTTTTCCACGTGTATTGGGTACGGTATCAATCGGTCAACCGTAATCGGATAAGAAAGAGGGCGATCGAAAGGTGTCGGGTACGGTTCAAGTCTATTGTAATTAACTGGATATGTCACTGGACTCTCATATGATGTTGGATAAAAAGTGGGCCGGTCAAATCTTACATCTCGTGAACCAAATGGTATCGTTGGAACACCAAATGTTCCAACGCCAGACACACTCGATGCCTCTGAATAATAATGGTCAGTACTTTGTTTAGCCGTTTTTAAATTTCTAGAATTTTCTTCATTTTTTAAATTGGTGTTATTGCACAAACAATCAGTCAAACACAAACACAAAAGCAATGTTATTATCTGTAAACAAATGTGTCAAGAATTTAGTCTTTGAGTCGTTACTGTACATAAGAAATAATATCAAGAAAAATTCGGATTGTATAATGATATTTAAGAGTCAAATCTTAACCAAAAATTAACATTAGGATAATGACGAGCATTCAATAATACTACCATCGTTATATTTCATAAATAACCATTGTAATAAATATAATATTAAACGACAATTAATACTCGCTATACCTAATCACTATCAAAAAGTTTTAAATCTGTAAAGTCATTAATTTCTAAAATATAGAATTAAATAAGCAAAACGATCAGATTGAATACAAATATTGAGGTTACTTTTAAAGTATGATAACTTCTTAAAATTTATTTACTCATATAAAAATTTATTTTCTTAGCTAAATCTTGGTTTCCCAAAATTAAATAAAAAAAATTAAAGGTTTTAAAGTAATGAGCACGTCAATTGTCGGTCTCTTCCTTGATTAGTATATTGTAAAAAAATATTATCGTAAAATATATTTTTTTAAAAATGTTTATAGATTTTTTAAGTTTAATCAACTGATAAAATCTGAAAGATTATTGGAGCAAAATATAAATTTTAATAGTACTCCATTGAAAACATCTTAATATATTATGTAAGGCTGGATTCTGGTTAAACAAAACAATTTATTATTAAAGAAAAAATATTTGCTTTATCCATTGATTTTTCACATAAAAAGTTATTTCAAAATATAGTTATGTTTATACTAACAATGAAAATTCTGTTTTTATCTGTGACAGGTAGTTACACGAAGAAAACATGACAAGGAGACACGTTTGGTTAACTTAAAATAAATTACATAAGGTTTAATTATAATAAATATATTAAATTTAATTTGACCCATTTAAATATAAAATATTTAATTAAACCAAACCTTTGAATATAATTTGTTCAAAAGTGTTTAATATCAAAAAAAATTAACTTTAAGACTTTAGGATTTTAATATTATATAGTTGTATATTTTTTAAATAACTTTAGTTACAAATTACAATCATTTTTAAGTCCGAACATAATTAAATTTGAGAAAAAATGTTTATATTTAAATTATGTTTCCTTATTTACTATCATTAAATAAGTTAAATTAATTCATAAAATAGTTTATTTTATTTTAATTTGGGCTATTTTCTTTATGTTTAAAATCCAAATATAAAAATATTTGTATATAATTGATATTAATAATAATAGTAGTAATTAATAATAACATTTAATATTTATTTTTTTTATATACGACTATAAATATAAGCATAATAATTTAATCATAGATTAATAATTATATTAAAAATATAAAAAAAAAAAATGTAAATTTTTATAAACTTTTATACATTTTAACATTAAATATTACTTAAAATAAAATACTCACTAATAATTTCATGTTTAAAATTCTTTGAAGGAAATCTTTACTGCAACTATTTCTATCTAGGAAACAAGTGTCTATTATAAATAATCACGAAATAAAACTTTTAAGAACCGTGAAAATTTCATTTTTTCGCGATTACATCACCGAGGTCCTTTTTGTCCTGCGTTAAAAGAAAGTAATGTTTTGACAAAGAGGGGAAACTAATTTATTGTCTGAACAGTCGAATATTTGTGAATGATTGAAATCAATAATACAATTGTAAGTTTCGAAAAATTGGTTTGTAGAGACTAAGTTTAACATACCCAATATTATTGAAGTACCTATATTATTTATTAATACAATAATTGTTCATAGGCAAAGAACAATTTTAAGAAAATGGTTTCATATACATATGTGTGTGTATAGAGGTTAGGTAGCTTGCTTAGCTAGTTCTTTAGGTTACGTGTGTTATAATCTCAGTGCATATGGACCGGGTTGGATTCCATTGCGTTGGACTATGCAGCTTTTCTCATGTTCTCTAGTACAAGTAATAATTTTTTTAGAGGACGTTAAATGTAATTAAATTAAAATAATAATAATAAAAGGGAACTTTAAGAAAAAAAGTCCGATAACATAGCTACTTTGCTATTATGTCCCAAACCGTGGTATTAACTTTTAATAATATTAACCACAAATTTTTATTATATAAGGTATTAATATTGATGCATTTTAGTTTATTTAAAATTATAATAGTTTTTATGGCAATTTTTAGTAACAGATAACAATATGTATCAGTGTTTTATCTTTTATACTTTGTAATGCATCAATATTGTTGTCCAAAAGGGTCCACTCCTTTAGACAACTTTGTAAATTTATCTCTGTTAATAGATTTTAGTTATTTTTTCCAAAATATGCTAATTATTTTAAGAAAATAAATAGATGAGTTGAACAATTATAACTTTTTACCTAATAAAATTAATTAAATCAATTAAATACCAATGTATGACACATTTTACATAGCTTCACAGAATATAATCTAAATTTTAATTAGGAATTCATATTTAAATACAAATTACAATTTTTTAATTGAGAAAATGTTTAATTTTGCCCTTATTATAGGACAAAATGAAATCTTTATGTCTACAACACAAAATTTTTTAGAAAATTAACTCTTCACATGTGTAGGATGAAATAGAATTAAAAATATATATGTTAATATTTATTAATATTAATATGTTATTTTTTAAACTTGATTTTTATTTTACCCTGAATTCCGTTACTTATTGAAAGTGTATAAAACAACCAAAACTATTTAGTCATTCATATATTATTTTCTATACGTGTAATATTTTTTGTTACTACTTAATTTTATTTCGATTCTGCAATTTTTTTTTTTTCAAACAAAATTTAAATAATGTTTTTGATTTTCAATAAACAACATAGTAAATTATATGCATAGTGTATAGTACACTTTTAATAGTGGTTTCAGTTTGACTGGTGATGAATTTGAAACTATTTTGAACACAAAAGTGAATGATATAAGAAAAAAAAAATGAATCTAGTCGTTTAAATTGATTGAATACTACAAGGACGTCGTGGTATACAATTTCTTAGTTTGATACAATATCTATTACTTGCCATTGTAATATATAAGTATACTGGGCCCAAAACTACTATTAAGATTTTTAATTAACACACAAATTTCATTATTCAACGTTATCCGAGCATTAATGCCCGGTTGAACAGATTTTCAAGGTCTATAAACGCTAATTTTTAATTATGGAAATACTCACACAATTTAACCAAAATGTTTATATTTTTAAGTAATAAAAAAACATAACATTATATTTACAAAATGTTTAATGTAATTAAAATTAGTAACAGGTAAATATTATTTAGACTAGCAAGGTACTTTATTATTTATCATCCGTATTGTGTTTGTAAATTGGAGTCCACTTACAGCTACCATATTTTGAACTGTCATAAGAAGTTGAGGAACTATATAAAGAAGAATCAGGAGATAATGGTTGACTGTATAATGATCCATACGATGACAAAGATGGACTATAATTTGATCCGTGAGGTAAAGATGATATTGATGGATTGTACGAGCTATAGGAAGAAGAAGAATAACTGGAGGTGTCTAATCCATATCCACTGTAAAAAGTGTAAGGACCATATCCACTAGGAATAGCAGATGAAGCGGGATATGATGAATTATAAACTGATGCTGAAGTTATAGTTGGTTGTGAAGCTTGATTGATGATTGGTGTAACAACAGGCACTAGAATACGACTGACTACGGGTATAGGGAATGGCCTAAATACTGGAAAAAGAACATTTTGAATAATTGGCACAGGATCAGGAACAGCAATTGGTTGGGGAATTGGTTTGTTAACATTATAAGGAACTGGTTTTTCTACTGGAACATGATATGGAGCGGCCACTCGGACAGCATAAGGGTGATCAATAGGGAAAGGAACTGGCGATGGAATAGGTATGGCAACATTTCTTTGTATTGGAACTGGGTACGGGGAAGATACTGGCTGGGCATGACGATTAATGACAAACACTTCTTTAGATATCTGAATTAACGGACCCGTAGTGGGTAATGGGACTGGTGCAGTTATAGCATATGAAGTAGGAGTAGATACTGAATAAGTGGTAGGAATAGAAACAACTCCAATGATGGAAGTATCATCAGCTACTCCTACTGTAGATGGAACAGCTAATGAATTACCACCATTATTTCGTTCATACAATGATTCATAAGTAGTAGCAAGACTATGACCAGAGTTCAATCCAGAAGGAGAACTAACACTTGGTCCTATCTCAGAAGAACTGAATTCTTCACTAAAACTACGTTTTTCTGGACTAAGTGATTCATTGGCGGAATCTGCCACAACAAAAACTATGGCAACCAAAACAATTATAACTGTAATCTAAATATTTTAAAAAGACTAATTAGCAAAGATAAAACTAATAACTAACCAAGGGACAGAAACGCAGTGGTATTTTTTTTATAATAAAATATAAATCAACTGTTATATCGCTTTTTGTTGGCTAATTGGCGTAAGCCATATTTTTATCAACACATTTTTTTTCCTAAAAAAATGAAAGTAATTTATTGATTCAACACATTCGTTTTCATTAAACTAATCTAAATAGTTTTTATAAAATGTCGCTTACGCCAATTGGCCTGTAAACAGTTTATTTCTTGAACTTGTTAATAACTACATAGTAAAATTCAAATATTCAATATTTCGTCAGTATAAAAAAATACTTACGGACTTCATGTTGCTCAATCAATAAAAAATAATGACTGAATGATAATGTTTTTATAGTACATCTGACTATATATCCTTATACTTAAACATCACTGAAATCCGGAACATGTGATGTTTTATGACTGCGAAATAAATTAAAACCAGTTTAAGTTTCAACCAGTGGGCAATCTAGTTGTGTCATCGTTAGCCAAAAGAAAGAAATGAGATTGTTGTCGTCTTAACTATCAAAAAAGTTTACCGCTATGGTAAGAAATCACAGAGGTTATCTAATCTCAAAAGTAAAATTGTCTCAATTAAGGTCTTTTATAATTCGAGAGGAATCGAAAAAGCAATTACGACTTTCATTCAAAATTTATATTAATTATAATAAACGAAGTAATAGTTACTTTATTTATATTTTTCCCATATAATATCATCGACTCTAATTCAATACCTCGTAAATCGATCTTATAAAAATTAATACAGTTTTCCAACTGTGATAATTTTGTTAAACACATTATGTTTTTAGCTTCAACTCAACACTGGGAAGGTATTGATGTGTACTATGTGTTATTTTTTTGTGTCTGTCGCCACTTTCTCAGTTATCAGTGGACCGACTTTATTCAACAATACATCAAAAGATTACAAATCGTATCTAATTGAAGACATTACTCTCGAAAATAGAAACAAATTCCTTCTTTCTTTGTAAATGGAGAAAAACCCCCAAAAATTATGATTTCTAAAATTTATAATATGAAATATTTTTTTTTTTAAATTATCATAATTTTTTAAAAAATTAACTGATCATATTTTTTTTTATAAATAAATACCTTAATATTTCAGATTTATTTTGTATACATTTTTTGAAAATCTAACCCCATATCTTACCACAGGGAGGAGTTAATTTTTACACATAAAATTTATTTTTTAAACTTGACTTTTGGAAATGTTCTAGAAATAATGCGCATTTAAAACGCATTTATTAATGTTTACATTAATAAATCATAAAATTTGTAATCAGGATGTAAGTAAGGAAAAAGTAGTTGATGTTGCTTTTCTAATTATTCCACAATTCCTTCTAAAAACTAAACACTATCTACAAATTTGCATTGAAGCCTTTAATATAATAGTGATTTTAATATTAATATATATATTTAAATAAGTATACTTATCCCTACTATGCTACGTCCTCACTTTAATGGGTTTTTATAAATGTGGCTGTACGATTTAAATGATAATAAATGTTTTATAAATTATGGCTTTAATTTTATAAAATTTGGTTGATACTAGTTAACTTTAATTTATAATTTTTCCCTAGTGTAGAAGCTAGACATTAATTCTATACTAAGGACCTTATTTTTATGATATGAGTTTAAAACTAGAACACAAAAATTAATATTTTTAACGATAGTTATTAATGTTTAATGTATAAATAATTTCTTAAGAAATCTTATGAAAATTTTCTGAGTAATTGACTATTAAAGTAAAAAAAATCTGTTAAAAGTTTTATCTATACTGAAGTCTAAAATGATTATTTTATTGATATAAACAAAAACTGTTCATATAGAAATGATATTTTAGCGTCTCATATTTATAACTATTTTAAAGATATAATTTAAAAATTGAAAATTGAAAATTTTATATTTTTTAATGTTTATAAATAATAAATTACCAATATCAATAGTAATACTCATTTACCATTTGATTACAACTTTATGAGAATTAAATTAAGGAATAAATTATAAGAACAATTTTAAAATAATATAGCCCAACTAATTTTATAATCAACTAGAGAATATATTTAAATAAAACATTTTTTGATCAAAATAAATAAAAATCAAAGTAAAATAAACATAGTATTTATTATAATTATAAAACAATTCAAAATAAATAAATAATAAACCATAATAACATACTTACCATTAAAAACAATTTTTTTTACTTTACATAATAATATTATATGGTACAATAGAAGTATTTTATTTTTTAATTTACAAATAATTTTTTTTATGTTTTCTGTATAATTCAATTAAAAATTGCGTAATACATAATAATATAAAAACAAATATCTAGAGTTATCTTCAACATTTTTATATATGTATAAGAGCTAAACATAATTTTTGGTCAAATACATGGTGATAGTTTTTTGTTTAACCAACATTCAAATTTAATTATAATAAACACATTAACTATCTTATTTGTTGACTAAGTCTTTGTAAGAATTCATAGTATGACATAGTTGATTCAAACTTATCTTCAACTAAACGACTAAAAAATCGTAGTTTGTGGGGTCCGTTGTCCCTGAAAATAAAATAGTTGTAATTAAATTTAAACTATTACATCATAAAAGTTTAATTTATTAGATGTCAGTGTGACTCATAAGACACGACCACTTAATAATACATTTTTAGCTCCAAAAACCTAAAGAAAAACATACAAATTATAATATTTTATCAACTTTTTGGTTATAATTAGGTTTTAGTCAAACATTCAATTTTTTTTCTTTTAATATAAGTCATTTTTAAAGCAAAAATAAATATGTCTAAAAGTTTATTTTTTGATAAACACAAAAACATTATTCTAAACTTACTTAATAAGTCATTAAGTTATAATGTTTTTTAATAAGTAAATAAAGGGTCTTTTTTTTATCAATTGTTTGTAATAAATATTAAATAGAATAGTATTTAATATTTTTTTAGTAATATTTTTAATTTATTCCAAACACATAAACAACCAGTACAAAATTTAAAAAAATGACTGGAAAACTTATTAATCTGTTAAAACTGACAGTATAGATTGTTAGAAGGAGGTATGTGGTTTAAAATAAAATGAAAAATATTTTTATGCTACTATACAGGTGATTAACTCATAAATTACTCAATTAATGAAAAAATAAAAATAATATTAATACATTTACCATTGGTTACTTTTAGCTCAATTTTTTCCTCAATTTAGCATTGACAAAGTATTTTTTATGTTCATTCTTTATACTTTATAAGTGTGTCAATTTAAATTTTTCAAAGGGCAACACTATTTTATTTATTAATATTAATATTGATCTAATTAAGAAAATTATTAGTTGATATCAACTTTTGACCTACTATTAGATACTATTAACAATATAAAGTAATGACTGGAGATAAAGAGTAGGTTGTGCTATTATTATAACTAGATATTTCCTGGTCTATACCTTCCTCCCACCTAAATATTAACATATCAATAATATCTGAAATAGTGATCCAAAAGTTGTTACCAACTAGTCATTCTCTTAATTAAATCATGATCTATTGAAAAAAATAAGCTAATTAATAATGTATGTTACCATTTGAAAAACTTAAGTTTACACCCTTATAAGGAATAAAGAATAAACATAAAAAATATTTGATAATTGATAAATTGAGATAAATATTGAACTAAAAGAAACCAATAAAAAATTGTTAATTATTTTTTTTATTAATACATTAGTTCATGATAAATGAATCACTCTATATACTCTACAAAAAAAATTCTAAGAACTTTAGTTCCTTAAATCAATAACATTGAGTAAATTACAGAATTTCCTATTTTTTTTTTTTTTAGATGTATATGTTATTTAGTAGTATAATAATTCCCATTAATATTCTAAAATAAAACTTTTTTGAAATTTCTATTAAATAATTATTAAACAGTAGAAACTTACTTAATTATTTCAATTGGTAAAGGATATGGTTTAAAGTGTTGAATATAAGAAATAAATGTACGTAACAAATATGATACATTAGAATTAATTTCTGCGATTTGAGTCTGAAAAATAAAATGACAACTTAAACAATATTTTTTTATTAATATTTTGTTACAGGTTTTCATTTCCTTTAACACAATAAATCCAGTTTTCATATTCAAGAGGTTAAAAACTAAATATTTGAAATTTAATTAACACTAATATATAGTAACCTCAGAAGCAATGACTCATAATTTTTTTTTTGAAAAAAACATTTTTGAAACTAATTTTTAATGTTACTTAAAGGAAAATTTGATATTATTAGTTAATTGGCAAATGTCTCATATTTGCAGTAATTTTACTATTATTAATAAATTAAACAAAAAATTTAATATAAAAATAAAAAAAAACTTAATTTTATGAGTTATTACCTTGTATAATTATATATTAAATTAATTACATTAGTAAATTTAAAAAGCACTTTACATTATAGTCATATATATTTTTTATAATTATTTTATACTAACAGTTAATTCAGGCATTGAATTCAAATTAACATATCCAAATAATTTGTTAACAAGTTGTTCTGAACACTTATGGCCAATTAGTATTATTAATGTTTCACTATCATCCATTAAATAAATGCCATTTGAATCTATTCTTTCAGCAGATAATTGTAGCAATGGAGGAAGTGGGACATCTGTTAACTTTTCATAATTTGTTTTTGGCTAAAATTTAATTAAATTAATCATTATATAATTTATTTATTTTTTTATTATATTCCTACTTGTTCTTCTAATGTATGTATTGGATACAAATTTGGGTATATAAACTGCATAAGACTGTAAAGTGGTAAACTTTTCATTTGACACATACTGAAAGTTCTATCATCTAATCGGGTAGGTTGGTTAGTTCGGAATGCAATCTGTCAATCAACATGTTATTACTTGAATAAGTTTTTAACTTTAATTTCTTGAACTTAATAAGAATTTTGAATTAATAAAATTTACATGTTTTAATGTTGCCAGAATATATAAAGGGAATAACTTCAAGGCTATTGGAGCTAAAATTGATCCAGATGTACTGACTGAATTGCAACCTGTTTTATAAGCAGAAAGTGAATCTGAAATTGCATTTACAAAAGCTTCTCTTGCATCCGACAGTGATTTCTCTGTACTGCGATCCACAGCTAATTAAATTGATTTAATATTAATAAGTTACAATATTTTAATGTTACATATCAATGCATTACTTTTGTTTCAGTATATTAATAATGTTTATAAGTAAAATAAAACTTTTATACTAAGTAAAAAAGTAATTCTAAATAATTTTTAAAATAGATTGATTACCCATTTTTGCAATCAAACATGTAATTGCTTGTTGGTCAGCATATTGAAAAATATCATTTAAATTATCAGTTACTGGAATACACATGGTATGAACTCTAATTCGACGTTCGGCTGAAATTAGATTATACTAAAAATCTTAGCATATCCTCTAACTAAAATAAATCATTATGTATTACCATTACTAGAAGTATACAAAAGAGCTGCTTGGAAACACACCACAGATAGTCCATCTAAATTATCTTCAATAGATAATTGCATACCATATGCATTATCAGGATTAACATTAGGTAACATAAGTAAATCAGAAGATCGAACAAAAAAGTTTCCATGAAAAGAATGCACAGCCACACCTCTAGTACAACGTAATCTCAAAAGAGCTTCAAATCCAATTTTACGAGACAAATAACGATCAAAACAGTTGATAAAACGTGTTACAATTGAAGGTGATTTTTTATCAAATTGTGTAAAATTGTGTATGCAACCTGCTGAAAATTTGGATATTCCCGCTAAAAATAATAAAATAGATTAAAATAATAAAAGCCATAAATAATATATAATAAACTTAATTAGCTTACATATACTAGCTATGTCTAAGTATTGATTTGAAATGAAAAACAAGTCAACTGCAATTTGCTCTGCACTGCATTCCAAAGCAAGTTTCTTGTAAAAGTCTGTAGATGGAGCCATATGCAACACACGATCACCAGAATGAGGACTACCATCATCTCTTGGTTGTAAACTTCCAGGACCACAGTTTGGTAAAGAAGCTTGAAATACTGTAACGCGCCCACCTCGTGGAGCTAAAATTTTAAACGCTATTTGAAGTGCAGCTCCTAATGCACATCCAGTATTAAATGATTCACTGAACTGATTAGGAAGATTTGTTAATAAATCCTTAATTGCAGCTTTATTTTCTTCTAAATTCACCATTAAACCATCAGGTAGAGGTAAAAAGATATCTGAAATTAATTTTCAAAATTGACTATGATTTTTGTTTTCATCATCATATACATGGATGCATGATGATATAATAAAGAATATACAGAGAACAAATTTTAAAATAACAGTAAAAGTTAGATACGTACCATTTATATCACTAACCACAAGTTGCTTTGGTCGTCCACCTTCATTACTTGGAATTTGATAAAAGTGCACAGATGAATCATAAGTTATAAAACCAATATTTGTTCGTGAATCTCCGGGAATGTCATTAGACATAATTTTATTCATAATTCGATCACAAACAATTTCTAAATAACCAGTTAAAGTTGCCAGGCGTGATACGTCCAAAAGAAATAAATACAATGCTGGTTGAGGTGGTCTTACCTTAAATAAAATTTTATTTTAACAATGCAATATTAAGTTAGGAAAATGGCAATACCACACATCTATATTTTCATTATTTTTCAGGAAAGCTAAAAACTATCTGAGATTACTAAACATTTTATAGTTTATGATTTGGAAAACTTTATATTTGGAAAGCAAATACAATATCTATAAATATAACGCTTATAACAAACATATGCGTAAGGAGATTTTACATTATTTCAATAAAAAATATCACTGAAATGATATTTTAATGATAATGAAATGTATTTACATAAAATGTAGATGCATGGCATTGTGATATACGAAACGATTAGTAGAACAACAATATATAATTTATATACCAACCATATAATCTTGTGAAGCTATATATTCAATTGTAGCATTTTGAATTTCTGGTCTCCTAGATGGATCTCCTAAAGTTTTTGTGTAAGGGTCGATTTGGAATTCTCCGGGTACTTAAAATACAAAAAAATAAGTAATAGTTATTATAAAGGATTATTGCATAGCTTCTAATATACTTACAATCATTAACTCTATAACAAAGGTTACATTTCCAATGCCCACTATCAATAAATTGGACAAAAGGATTTATATAAGATCGACAATTGCGACATCTTGTTATTGTTTCACATTGTATAACAGTTAAACGCTAATAATAAATAGTAAAAATAATAATATTTAAGATGACTACTACTTTAAATATAAATGTATACTATTTAACACATAATATTACAATTTAATGGATGGTAAGACATGATATAGCTAAGTTAAATGAAAATAAACTAAATAAATAGTAAGTTAAAAATTTTCTCTTAGGATTTAATTTTATTATTTATACAGAATGATTTTTATATCATAATAACCCACTCAATTACTTGCAGAATAAATATAATTTAAACATTTTTAGTTTCGATGCGAAGGTGAGAAGGTATTGGTTTTACTATGATGTGTTTTTTTTTTATTTGTGTCTGTTACCACTTTTTTTCAGCTCTCACTGGACAGATTTCTTTCAACAATATGTCAAAAGATCATAAATCTTATCTAGTCGAAGACATTACCCTCAAAAATTGAAAAAATATCCCTCATTCCCCGTAAATGGGGGAAACCTCCAAAAAATTACAAATTTAAAAATCGCTAATTTTAGAAATTTTTTCAATTTTTTTTACTTAAAACTGCCATAACTTTTTTAAAAATGACTAAATAAATATAATTTTTTTTTTTTTAATAGATGCATGATGTCTTTACGTATCATTTGATATATTTTTTTTTATAAATCTGACCGTTTACCTGCCTACAGGGGGGGATTCAAAATGACAACTTTTTCACAAAAAATGTACTTTTTCAACTTAACTCTTGAAAGTGTTCTAGAAAGTCTGACACTTTTATATATATTTTAAATTAAAGCTAATGTAATGTACTTTATTATGGGAAAAAAAAATTTCGTACTTATCGTGTCTTCAAAATGAAAATAGCAACCAAATGCTATTTTTTTGTGAAAATTCTTGATTTTGTATTTTACATTTTTAACTTATTATGCTATAACTTATTCAAAAGTGTTTGGATCAATACAATTTTTTTATGAGAAATAATATTTATATCCCTCTTTCATTCAACATTCTTTATCTTAATCAGGATATAAATAAGAAAATAGCAGATCATGTTGCTTTTGGAATAATCTACTAATTTTTAAAAATTAAACACTATCTAAAGATTTGCATCAAAGTGTTTTTTATGGTAGTGATTTTAGTCACTGTCAGATATCATTATACTTGATCCAACTATGCCACAAACCCCCTGTGCTAGGTTTTTTTTTTTTGGTTATTTTTTGTACAATACAGGTAGCTAATTGGTTTTTTATGACATTGCTGTCACAGTCACGGGGATTGTTTATTATCAATTTTGACTATCAATAAACCTACTTTTTGTATTGTCAGTTAGTGTATTTATAAACTCACAACAATGGTGCCTTACTACCATTAATATTAATGCTGTGTACCTGCATATTTCGATGTCATAAAAAATCAATTAGCTACCTGAATTTGTAATCCATTGTGTATTATACATGTATATTAACTCAAAAATTTGAAACTTTAAATGTTTATATCTAATAAACAAATAAAGTTATATTAAAAATTCAAATGCCATGTACTATTATTAAATTAAAAACTCAAACATTTTATTAAATTCAAAATATGTGTTCCCAATTAAAAAAACAAAGTTGACATCCTTACAAGGCATAAGGGATGAACTAAAAAGTATTACATAGTTAATAATTCAAGAATAAAGTGTAACTAAAGATAACCAAAAAAAAATGTTTAAATTATATTTATTCTGCAAGTAATTGAGTGGGTTATGATAAAAAAATTATCCTGTACATACAGAATGTTCAGTAAGAACATGTTTTTAGAAACCTGTTTCTTTACTTACTGAACACCCTGTGTATATTTTTTAATATACTATACCTGAGACAGAATACTGCATTACCTTAAATTTTTATTTGAAAAAATTGTTATTAAAATATATTTTAATTTTGACTTACTGAGAGATCTTTATATGGATGTATCAAAATACCCAGGGGTAACCTACTCTTGTCCAGTAATGTTTTTGATGAAGGAAATTTGTTTAAAGTACAACGAAATATACTAAATTCAAAAAAATTATTTTAATTGATAAAAATTCCCAACAAAAAACGTAAAAATCTTACTCTGGTGAACAGTTGTCACAATTTGCATATCCTTGGGGAAGTTTAATTTTTGGTGGTTGAACCCTTTCACCTTGTAATATATCTCTCGTTTTTAACAAATCAACAGTGTCATAACCCTAAAATACTAAAATCATTAAACATTGTTCTTCAGTAAAGTCATATAAATTATATAATACCCATGTTCCACTAAACCCTTGTTGAATAACCGAAGGGTTATTTCCTTGATTGTAATAATCTTGTCCTTGACAATTATTTAATTGACGATAGCTCATTTCACCAGAACAACTTAAATTGGTTTGTTGAGAAAATCCTTTAGATGTAACATTTTGTGATGGATAAACTAATGGCATTTGGTTATAACTTTGAACTTGATTGTAACTTGTAGGTTGTGTTTGGTGTTGATGTGATTGTATTGTAGGAGGCAAATTAAAAGACATTCCTAAATTATTAGATTGACTTAACTGTGAATTGCTTGATAAAGGTTGTGAATTAACATTTGAAATAATTTGATTAGGATATTTTGTATTTATGATAGGTTGAGGAAGGAGAGTAGATTGATTTGTTCTTAAATGAGATGGTTCTTGTATATTTAATTTTTGAGGTGCACTATATTGACTATGAAGTATATTATCATTAGAGGATACAATAAACTGTGATTCTTTTAGTTTGTTAATACTTGACTGCATTGGATAATTATTAACAGGCAGCTGAGCTGCTGACATCGAATTAATTTCAGGCTGATTTCTATTAAGATGTGGTTGTTGAGAATACAAGTTTTTAGGTGATTGAACGGGTAGTATTCCAGAAGGTTTTGATTTATTATTTATAAGTGGCACATTCTGATTAATTACAAGTGCTGCTGATGAACTATTGACTAGCGTGGTTTGGCTATTAATAGGTATAAAACTATTTAATGTTGATGGAGCAGCAGAAATAGGACTTTTAAAAATCTGATTATTTAAAGAAGGAACAGGCATAATGGGTTGAATAGATGATTTTTCTATTGATTTAAATTGATTATTTAAAGATTGTGGAGTAAACTGATTGAGCCCAGACTGAGGAGGTGGAACATTAAATAAAGATGACTGATTACTCAGTAATTGTGGGTGATAATTGGCATCTGTTTGAACAGATGGCATATTTGACAATTTAGATTGATAACTAGAATTTTGCGCCATTGTAGATTGCTTTGATTCAAATGTGTTGGAGTTAGGTTGATTGCTCAAAACTTGTAACGAATGATTTATTGCTGGTTGAGTTAGTTGAGTACCAATAGGTTTAAATTGATTAATATCTGATTGAAAAGAGTTTTGAAATAATGACTCTGAGATACTTTGTGCATTAACATTTTTTGTTGGATTAGAATTTTGTTGAGAAATTAAATTACTACCCGACAGCATATTACTAGGTTTTGGGAAACTATTGTATACATTTGAAGTATAATTAATTGATTCTGCTTGAGTAGTAGAATTTGTATTAGATAAAATAGGTACATTATTTAAAGGTTGCAATGTAATATTATTGACTAGCGATTGAACAGGAGGTATCCCAATTGGTTTAAACTGATTGTCAAACTGTTTGATAGGATACTGATTTGTAATTTGAGTTGGGTTCATATTTTGTCGACTATTCAGAACTTGAGATGTTGATTGATTTATAGCTGTTTGAGCCGCCTTTATGGTTAACTTATTAACTTGAGGTTTAAAAGCTCCTTGTGATTGAAGACTTAAAGAATTTATCTGGGAAGAAATATTTTGAAATGCTGACGAATGTGTTTGGTTATTTAGAGGCTCGTTGTTTGAAGAAATTGATGAACACAATGATTTAATTTCAGACGAGTTTGATTGAATATTTATAGGGATTGAAGTTGCAACACTAGTGGTTTGTAAAGTAGAATTAGGGATGCTAGTATTAAAAGAAGTAATGGAAAGTGTATCACAATCATTTAATGGATTAAAAAATGACTGCGTAGTTTTTGGAGGTGAAGATGCATTTAAAGTAGTAATACACAACTCACTTTGATTTTGTGTAACTATAGTATTTGACTTGTCTGATATACTCAAATCTCTAGAGAAGTTTGTAGAATGAAGTTTATCAGGAATTGTATTGGACAAATTTGAAGAATTTGTACTATCAATTGGTGATATTGATTTATTTAATTCATTAGTAGGTATTTGAGATGAAATATTTGGTAAAGTTTCTGACAAAGAATTCTCAGAATTATATTTTAAACAAGCTACATTATCAGCAGTTTGGCTAAAAGAACTGGGTATGACTTGTGTTTTTATATTTAGGTTATCAGTAATGGAAGATACATTAGGAGAATTTTGATAAAACATTTGGTTTTTACCACCATCTGAATTGAAATATTGACTAGTTTTCAGTAAATGTTGTTGTTGTATATTATTACTTTCTGTAGTCATTTGAGATTCTGTACTGTTTGTATAATTAATACGCTGATCAGTAGGTAAATTTGAAATGTTCGATTGTGAAGTTATATTTGACATATAAAATTTATTTGATTGATTGTTTGTTGTGGAAGTTAATTTTAAATTATCATGTAATATAGATTCATTTTCAATAGGATAAGAGTTATCTACTTTAAAATCTTCCAATTTGATGATTTCTTGATGATTTCTCTGTTTGTTTATAGAATCTGTCAAAATTGGGTTTGTGAACATTGGAGAATCACTGTTATTTTCTTTGTTTTCAAAAAATAATTTATTTGACTGATCATCGGAGAATTTTTTAGAAAAAGTAGTTTGATTAGATTGAGGTACTTTGTTCTGAAATAAAAGTGAATTACTAGGTTTGATTGACGGTGTCACATCAGAAGTTGAAGATATATTAGATTGGACACTGTTAGGACAAAACTGTTGTATAACTTTATGATCTGATTTAGATTGCACATCTTTTGATAAATCATGATTAACAGATTCCAAAGAATTAGATAATACATTATTACATAAAATATTGTCATTTTGCATGGTTGCATTATTTGTATTATCACTATTAATTTTTTGGAAAGTATCAGATAATTTATTAATTATACTATTATTTTGTAATGTTCTATCTTTTTTCATTTCAGTATTTATAGTTAATTTGGGAGATAATTTAGTAGATTGATGAAATTCTGTTGACTTTAAATTTTTTTGATGAGTATCAGACAGTTCAAAATTCATTACTGTCGTATTTGGTAATGTTTTGGTATACGAATTGTCAATGTTAGACTGATTTGTAGTAGTTGACTGATTGAAAAATGCTATATTGTTAAAATAAGAAAAAGGTTGATCACCATCTTCATACAATAATTTACTGTCATTGTTAGGCAACACTAAATTTATATTATTTGATTTACTAGAAATTGTTTCTAATTTTTCTGTTTTATGATCATTATTATTAACATATTGTATTTCTAAATTTTTTTGACTTTCTAAATTACTATGCTCATTTAAATTCATCGGTATAGGAATATCTTCAATGTCATCGTCATTCTGATTATATGCATTTTGTAATATAGATTGGTGATCATCAACATTTTCATCTTTGTTTATATCTAAATCAGCAAATTCACTAGGAACAGGAAATTTTTTATTTAGAGGAATTGAGGAATTAAATTCTTTAGAAACATGTGTATCAACATATTGAAGATTTGTTGATTGTGGGTACAAAGGCTTTGTTGGAACACTTTCTGACTCTTGATCAGTACTTTCTGAGTATAATGAAGATGTATGTTGAGGCGAACTTTCAGTTGATGTTTCATCCATGTCATATTCTATGATTTTAGGTTCTGGAGGGTATGGTGGCTTAACAGCAAAATAATTTGTTTTCATGTTTGCTGATATTGATCCACTAAAAGAAGAATGTTTATCTACCGGTTGAATTTCTTGGATATGCTTGGGCTGTTGAGTTAGTAAACCTGTTAAATGAGGTTGCAACTGATAGTCTGGATTATTAGAGTAATTTTCAGAGTTTTTTTGAGCCAGTCTTATGACATCCTACGTTTAAAAATAAAATAATTTAATCACTAAAATTATTTTAAGATTAAGACAAATAAGTTTTTATATATATTAATACTCTTCAAAGTTATTAGTATTAAAGAAACATAATAAATCTAAAAATTATGAATTCAAAAATTTTAAATAAATATATTTAAATATTATAAAAATGTTGTGATGTATCTTTAAATTAATTAAAAATATTTAGACTATCTCTGAGGTAACTATTATTATTCATACCATCATGAATTTATATTTAAGAGTTTGCATATTGCAGTCAAAATTCTAGATAAAATTCCAACCAAAAATTAAAGAAAAGTTCTTTTTCATTTGAAATTTATAAACGCAAAAACACAAAACAATATATCTTCAGAGAAAAAGTTATTTAGATATAATTTTAAATATTTAAATAATGATATTATAACAATTTCATTTTCAAACCTTACTTTAGGTATTAGGTTTAGTTTAAAAATTTTAAAAATATAAATTAAACTTTTTATTTATAAATTTGATTGAAAATCAAACTATAAGCTGATTTTTTTAAATGATATAAAAAATGTTACTATGTAAACATAATTCTATTTAATTAAATAGTTTAAGGATAAAAACAAAAACTTTGATAATACTGTTATCAATAAGAAAAAATTATAATGAAAGTCACCAAAAATAGCTTCATAATAAAACATGTATCTGTTTTAAAGTCTATAAAAAAACTGTCTTGTTTAGCATATTCAAGCATAAAATGTAAAATAAACACAAGTTCAAAGAACTAATGTTGTAACAAAAACAGTAAACATATCATAAAAAAATAAGATTCATTTAATAAATTATGAAAATGACCTTATAATTCAAGATTATCTAATACTAGAATCACTATAATCAAATTATTTACTAGAAAAACAAAATTCTCTCTTAATAAATGTCAATAAGAAAATAAATAGATAGTTGAAGTTATTTTATATACATCAAAATAATTAAAAATATATTTTCTTTTAATTTAATAAAAAATAAAAAAAACTAAATTATAGATTATGTTACGGTCAACTAAATATTATATTTAAAATAAAATAGAACATTAGCTTACTGGAACTATGCTTTGAGAATTTTCTGGTAACCTTTTGACGGTTGTACCCGGTGATCCCAATGACAAAGATTGAGAATTTTCATTTTGATAATAATTATGGTTTATCATGGGTTCTCTGAATTTCTCATCCAGAGGCTGGGAGTCTAGAAATAAAATGATCAGAAACTTAAATGAAGCCTTTAAAAGTAGGTTATTAGCCAACATTTGTTCAGTTTAATGATTTATTGTATTATTTTTATCATAAGCATATATTTTTCTTTGTAAATACTTTGTAAACTACATTTTTATCATTTTGAATATAAAAATATTTTCTCTCTTTTACAAAAAAAAATAAATAGAAAATCTAACAACAAAATATAAACAAAAATAATATTACATTAAAAATACTTAATACTCAATACTTAAATAAAAACTCATATGATTTAAAATTTATAAAGAAAATATACAAAATAATAATAAATAGTATAATTTTATAATTAAAACTTTTATTAACCTTAATATGGGAATGGTTTGGAGGTAGATTTTTCTAAGACAGAAATAGTTGTTAAAATTAATTTTTTTTATCATGAAAATAGTGGAAAATATTTTCATGTGTATTTCTCCAGAGAAGAACAAATTTCTACAAAATGTTGAGAAATTACCTTAATACTATTAAATATAAAATAGAAAAAAATAAAATAACAATAATTTAATTGTAATTTTATAGTATATCAAAATAATGTATTAATTTACAGTATTATTTGTTATTTAAAATGAAAAGATTAAATTTAAAAAATACATAAAAAGTGATTGCTTATCTAAGACTATCATACTATTAAATAAATATTAAAGTATGATTATTTTTCTTTAACATTATAAATAAAACATAATATAATTTTTTCTTTTTCAAAGTTTATAGTATCCTAGGTTCTATAATTTTTAAAAAACAATTAAGTCCTATCATCCTTCATTCTCCCTTAAAATTGTATCAATTTTGTCTTTAAAGTGGATATATATATGTTTAATCAATTTACAAACTAATAAATAGTATATCTAAAGAAAGATAGATTGATGATAATTTTTAGACTATTATTTTAAAAGATGTTAGCATTTTATAACAAGGAGGTTTATAATTATTATAACATTTATAATTAATGTTTAATCAACTTCACCCTTTATATTAAAGACTTGATAACTTCCCAAAAACAAAAGATAATATTAACTTTCAAAAAGAAAAAATAATGTTAATTTTATATTTTTAAAGTTATTGTGTGAGTCATAATTAAATACTCTTTATATTTATAAATGTATATATTAATGTGTATATTTAAGTTGATTACCCGAATGATTTGAGGACTGGAAGTTTTCAAAAGGCTGATTAAATGTTGACTGGCCATTAACAAGAGAATTTGCTGAATTTATTTAAAAATATATCAAATAAAAAGATTAAATAATAGTTTTAACAATAAAAAAATTAAAAAATATACTCACGGTTTTGATGAAAATAGTTGTACCTTGAATTTTGTTCCATTTTAAATTCTACCTAATCCAAAATTTTAAAAATTGTTTGTGATTTTCGAACTTGACACAATTTAATCTATGAAGTGGCCCAAGGATTTCCAGAGTTACGTATATGTTGTACAAAAATCTTATCACTGTAAAAACACTCGTAAGAATAACCAACCTGTCAAAGCCTACTTTAGAAACCGTCGTAATTAGAAACGTTTATTCAATTCATGACCAAACAATTTAGAATATAATTAATGAAAAACAATAATTCACAAATATATATATTATAAATAACCAAAGAAATATATAAGATGAAAATTCAACGACGTATTTGGCTAATATGATTAACAATTAACTATCTTTCTTTTCTATTATCTATTGAACACCACGTCACACTCACACACGCACATGAGTTAGCCTAGTGATTAAGTGATAATGAGTGAGCGGATAGTGGGGATTCAAAGTATCTGAACGCACCCAGAAGCGATTACGTGGAACTGACCAGCGGATCAATGATTTAACGCTTCTCAAAAAAAGAATAATTGTATTGCTCCAATCATATCTTTAAATTATGTTATTATTGTTTATATTACTTTAAAATGTTGAGAGATAATTATTATTTTAGAAATATAACTTAGGTATTACATTTTGCTATCATTTTGAGAATTTGTCAAACGCGACCACTATTTTAGTTAGAAAAGGAAAAAATATTATGATTTAATTCAAATGTTATTTCGTTATTTAGATAATAGATCCCAAGTTGTTAGGCTCGATAAATACTTTAGTATGTTCTTCAAACTAAGTATGGTGTATCGCAAGATACGCTATTGGGTCCCTGATTTTTCTTAATAATAATAAATAATAAAAAAATACACCTACGGTTAATTTGGATCTTTTGTAATTCATTCTTATAAATTTTGAAATATACATGCTAAAGGTGATTGTTCATGTATTGGTATAAAAAATACCCATTACATAAAATATCTTGTTTGATACTGACAAAAATTCAAGATGGGAATTCATATAAACTTTGTTACTATATTAATTCTCGAAATGTTTCGAATATTAGGCTATCGTGTTTGTCAATTGATTTAGTAAAAGCATATTTTAAATTTCAATAATAGTTTAGGGGAGACTGGAGGAAAGCCAACCACAGGATAATGTCTGTCACCCGAATTTCTTTTTAACTAAAACACTTAGTAGTAAGTTAATTTTTCGAGATATTCGCTCGATTATGAAAAATTTTATTATCGAAATCATTCGATAATTAATAGGTTACAATTATCTATTACCTAGTAAAACAATTAATTAAGAAAATAAAATTGCTCGAACATGAAGTTTTGGGACAATTGCCATACTAGACACCTCGTAAATACGCCACTGGATCATAATGTTTTCTTAAATATATCCTATAAAAGTAGCTATATCGAAGTGTATATTTACATTTTAAATACAATTTTATTTTATTTAAAAATAAATAAAATGTTTCATATAATTATCTAAAATAGCCCATGTACCTAATACTGTTCAAAAAGGTGTAAAATTTTAAGTATATCAAAGGTTAATTTTGATTCGATCTGTTCCACTCAATAATACAGTGTCATTTTAAATACATTAAATGTATAATACCTATTGTAATAATAATTATTTAAATCTTGTCTTTTTATATAGTTTTATATCCTAATTTTTTTTAAATATTACAGTAGTAACAAAAAAAAAAAATATATAATAATAAGTATACATTATTGTTTGTTCATAAATAGATAAGTCGTTCAAGAATAAAAAAACCTATACTTTAATTTTGTTTACAGAAATTCTTATTTTTAGCTGGATGATATGATAGAAAAAAATATTATTGATTTATATAATTAAAGAATTTGTCGTTCTTGGCAACTTAAATATAACTAATTATTGTTTTAATAAACGATTTGTAAAGAAAATGTTTAAAACAATCCCAAATTTGCAAATTATGCAACATAAAATTACAGATTTGTATTTGTAGCTTAAAACAAATTTCTTTCTAGTTGGTCCTTTTTACGGCTGCGTAAAACAAATATTCAAATGCCAGAAGTCCTCTGTTCTTGTAATTAATTTATAAAGTTAAACTTCAAAACTAGCAATCGATTAAACAACTTTAATCTTCAAATTAACTTATTATCAAAATTTATCCCTTAAAATTACCCCAGTAAATTGTTTTAGTTTTGATGTTACAATGAGAATTTTATAATTAACTTGATATTTATAATAATTGATAAAATAAATTAAATAAATAATAAATAATTGATTAAATTTTATACATTTTTGTTAAAATATCATTAAACCACGCTGAATATGTGGCTAAACTGATGAAGCAGCTTTTTCGTCTGTAATAAAATATCGATTCGCGCACGCTCTGTTAATTTTTGTTGATTATATATATATATTTAGCTATTCGTTTGCCCATTTCTAAAAACACCCAAAATGCATAATTTTTAAGATGAACAACGATTTGTTAATTATTTAAAATATTAATATGGTTAGTAGTGGAGTTATGGATGATGGGTGTTCAGCTGAATCTTTGGATGTGCACAGCTCCGAAGGTCAACGTTTTAAACCTTTACTAAAAGCAATAAAAAATATCAACTTCGAAGAATTCGAAAGTGCTGTGGATAAATTTGGCAGTGAAGCATTGGATTTCAGAGACGAATGGGGATATACTCCAGCACATTGGGCAGCATTATATGGAAATTTCGAAGTACTTAAATACCTTATAGCTCGAGGAATAAACGTAAATACGTCTTGCTATGGTATTCAAGGTTCAAAACCCATTCACTGGGCTTGTAGAAAAGGACACACAGCTGCTGTTCAAGTATTACTTCAGGTAAGTTGAGTATCTACAATATAAAAATAGCCATCAGAGTTTTTGAAAAAAAAATTGAGCTATACAGTTTATAAAAATACCATTTTATTACCTTTTTTTTTTTTAATAAATCAACTTTTATCTAATAAGATAAATTATAAAAAAACATAATTAAAGTCAAAAAAATATTTGGTGATTAGATCTTTAACCAGGAGCAATGTATTTAGGAAATTGTTTTTGGTGATCCAGAATTTTCACCCATTGGGGAGACCACCTCCTACACTTTCCTGCGCTACAATTATTTTATGCATTGTAATCTAGTGACGCCCTATTAAATAGATATACATATTAAAAAAAATTTTCAAAATAATTAAATGACGTTCATAATATTTTATCTAAAAGAACATTTAGTTATATTTTAGCTCCTATGGGAAGCTGAGAAGGTATTAGTTTTACCATGATGTTTTTAGTTTATTTTTATTTTTTTTGCGTCTGTCACTACTTTTTTTAACTCTCACTGGACCGATTTTTCTCAACGATATGTCAAAATATCACTAATCGTATCTAGTTGAAGACATTACCCTCCAAAATAAAAAAATTTTCCCTCGTTCCCTTAAAAAATTACAATTTTTAAAATCGGTAAATTTCAACATTTCTTTCACATTTTTACTAAAAATTGCCATAACTTATTAAAAAATGAACAAATCAAAATAATTTTTTAATATTGAAACCTTGAATATTTTCATTTCATTTTATATACATTTTTTATAATCTAACACTTTATCTATCTACAGGGGGGATTCAAAATATCAACTTTTTTACAAAACTCAAATTATTCAACTTAACTTTTGAAAATGTTCGGGAAATTTCGGAAAACTGCGTCCATTAAACATATGTTAAAATAAATCTTACATTATGTACTATAAGAAAAAAAAAATTTGTCCCGACGGCCTATCTTCTATGTGCAAATGACTGTCAAAATTGAACGAAAAATGTAAGTTCTGAGTAAAATGTTATTTTGATATTTAAAACTGCAATAACTTTTTAAAAAATGAATGAACAAAAATTTTTGTTCAAATTTTAAAATACAAGAGTTTTCCATAGTAATAATTCCACAAATAAATATAAATTTTAAATGAATCTAACTAACATTAAATATAAATTTATAGTTATTTTGATTATTTTGCCCCTTTAAAATTTTCTATGTGCATATGGCAGTCGAAGTAGAACAAAAAATATGAGTTAATTTTGCTTTTGGGATAATCTACCAATTTCTTAAAATTAAACAATATCTATAGATTTGCATCGAATCGTTTCTTATGATAGTTATAATGACTGTCAGATATCATCTATACTTGTCCCACTATGCCATGTTGATACTGTGCCATGACTCGACTGTGCTATGGTTTTTAGCTTCGATGCGAAGCTGAGAAGGTATTGGTTTTACTATGATGTGTTTTTTTTTTGTGTCTGTTACCACTTTTTCTCAGCTCTCACCGAACGGATTTCTTTCAACGATATGTCAAAAGATCACAATTCGTATCTAATCGAAGACATTACCCTCAAAAATTGAAAAAATATCCCTCGTTCCCCGTAAATGGGGGAAACCTCCAAAAAAATTTCAAATTTAAAAATCGCTAATTTTCGAAATTTTTTCAATTTTTTTTACTAAAATGTGCCGTAACTTTTTCAAAAATGAACATATCAATATAATTTTTTTTTTTATAGATGCTTGATGTCTTTACCTATCATTTGATATATTTTTTTTTATAAATTTAACCCTTTACCAGCCCACAGGGGGGATTTAAAATGACAACTTTTTCACAAAATATTAACTTTTTGAACTTAACTTTTGAAAATGTTCCGGAAAATCTGACACTTTTATATATATTTTAAATTAAAGCTAATGTAATATACTTTAATTTGAAAAAAAAAAATTTGACCTCTGTACTTGTCTTCACGTTGAAAATGGCTACCGAATACTATTTCGTGTGAAAAATCTCGATTTTATAATTTACATTTTTTACTTTAAAGTGTTACAACTTTTTAAAAAATGTATGAATCAACACAATTTTTTTATGAGAATAATATTTTTTAATAATCTCTTTTTCATTTGTCATACATTATCTTAATCAAGATATTAATAAGGAACTAGCAGATCATGTAGCTTTTGGAATAATACACCAATTTTTTTTAAATTAAACACAATCTAAAGATTTGCATCGAAGCGTTTTTTTTGATAGTGATTTTAATCACTGTCAGATATCATTATACTTGATCCAACTATGCCACGTTACCACTGTGTCGCGACCCCCCTGTGCTGGGTTTTTTTTTGGCTTGTATTTAAAAGTTAATCTTTATTTTATTTGAAAATTTATGTGTTTGGCATTAATAATTTTGATTTGTATAAGATTCCATTGAAATTTTAAATTTGTTTTTGCTTTCTTAGAAATTGCTAAAAATTATTTATCAGCTTTTGGATAATAGAGACAAATTTATAAGTAATATTAAGTTCATATAATGAAGTTTTTATCAAGAAAAATAAAAATTATTTCGATGACATAAATGTAATTTTTTAATCTAGGCAAAAATAGAGATAAAGGCAACTTTATCTAGATAAAAAAAATCATAGCAATTTTTTTGTTTAATTATTCAAAATTTAACTTAGCGGGGCTCTTATCATGTTAATAAGTGAATACGGTATAACAATAAATCTAAATTAAAACACATTATTCACATTTATGTTTTATTTGTAACATAATAAATTTGCAGTTTCTATATTACTTAAACTGTCATTTATTTGGTTATTTTAAATGTTATTAATTAAATATATAATATTTTCTTCTTTATAGGCAGGAATTAATCCTAATGTATCGGACTTTAAAGGTTTAACGCCACTTATGACGACAAGCATGTTTGGCAAAATATCAACAGCTAGCTTCTTGTTGGGTATGGGAGCAATGCATAATTTGACTGATATAAACGGAGACACTGCTTTACATTGGGCAGCATATAAAGGCTATCCAGAGCTTATTAGATTACTTTTGTACTCGGGAGCCGATCTTATTAGAGCCGATCATTTTGGCTCTACACCTCTCCATTTAGCTGCTCTTTCTGGAAATGCTAAATGCGTAAAAATACTTTGTGAAAATGTACGAGTACTTATAATAAATTAACCTTACAATACATTACATGAAATTATTAATTTAATGCAACTTGTTCTTTAGAGTCAGATATTGTTACAGCCTAGAGATAAAAATGGTAAAACTCCTTTAGGTCTTGCAGTTAACCATAAATACGAAGAAATTGTCGGATTGCTGAATAGTGAAATAAACAAAAGAAAAAAATGGATGAAACCGATTTACAAAGCATTGTAAATATTTACAACTGTTTTAATAGTCACTTGGTCATAGGTAGTTGACGGGTGTTATCAATAAATGGGATATCCTGATTGTGTTTTAAAATTACCTTTTCTGATTTCTTAAGTGTGTCCGGAAATTACATCGTTTTTTAGTTCTATTATATTTCTAGAAAAAAATTAATGTTTTTATGAGTAGCCCGAATAAGCCCAGTTTATTTAAAGTTACCCAGGGTGAACTTCAATTAGATGAACTGGCTTAAAGCCCGAAAATACTTTTTTAATTACTTAAAATAAATATTGATTATTATTTGTATAATTTACTATGATATTTACATTAAATTTTTTTCAAAATACAGAGTGTTTTTTTTATCATAACCCACTTAATTACTTACAGAATAAAAATAATTTAAACAAGTTTTTTTTTTTATTTACTTAGTTGTATATTATTCTTCAAATGATTAGCTATGTAATAAATTCAAGATTATGTTTTTAAGTTTATCCCTTATGCCTTATAAGGTATAAAGTTTATAAGTTTATAAGGTATAAACTTTATTTTTTTAAATGGTAGCACGTATTTTGAATTTAATAAAAATTTGAGTTTTAAATTTAATAGTTAATGGCATTTGAATTTTGAATAGAACTTTATTAAAAAACCAATAAGCTATATGTATTTGTAATCCTTCGTGTATTATACAGTTTTAGTATCTTAAAAATTTGAAACTTTCAAATATTAATAATTAATATATTATCAAATAATAAACGAATAAAGTTATATTAAAAATTAAAATTACATTAACTATTAAATTAATTAAATGTTTTATTAATTTAAAAACATATGTTGCCATTTTAAAAAACAAAGTTGATACCCTTTACAAAATATTACATTGTTTTTAATTCAAGAATAATGAGTAAAAAAATAACCAAAAATAAAAAAATTGTTTATATTATTTTTATTTTGTTAGTAATTGAGCGAGTTATGATAAAAAAACATTTTGTATAAAGCATTAGCTATTTAAAATATAATTAAAACTTTCAAAAATAATTCTCAATCATTACTTACTATTCATTATTTTAAATGCAAAGTATTAAATATTCAATAGATTGTTTTATTCTTAAAAGACATAATTTTTACAAAATTATATCTTGATATTTGTTTGTATTTTAATTTTATTACATTATCAACAATAAATAAAAATTTTTAAATGTGATTCTTTTATTTTCTTGATATTACTTTTTAATAATGTATTACACTTTTTGTTTCGCATTTAAGTTATTTCGTTATTACTAACACGGACGCAATCGGGTTATACATGAAAATTATTTATATAAAAATACAAAAATAAAAAACGTTAGCACAGTGGGGTCGCAACAGTGTGGACGTGGTATAGTTGGAACAAATATAGATGATAGCTGACAGTGCTAAAATCAATATCATAAGAAACGCTTCGATGCAAATATGTAGATAGTATTTAATTGATGGATTATTCCCAATTTCTTATACATAATTTTATGTATGAAATATACAACTACTTCATAATTGTTTATAATTTCTCTATGAAAATTAAAATTATTTAACATCGATTTCATAATTTTACTTATTGTAAATTTAATCACTATAATAAGCCTTTATTCATATATTATACTTATAAATCATAAAACATGTAATCAGGATATAATTAAGAATACATATTTTATGTAACGATTGGTATAATCCAACAATCCCTTCTAAAAATTAAACACTACACAATTACATCGAAGTGTTTTTACGACAGTGTTTTAATTGCTGTCAGATGTAATCTATACTTGTCCCAAAAACGCCCTTATATAAACAATATGGCATTAATTTTTTTCTTTTTTAGTCATACTATTTTTGGTAGTTCATCATACTCCAAGGGCCCTCAGGTATTCTTTCTATGTTCGTTTCTCATTTGGTGGTATCCATTATATCTATATAGAGTAAGTAGATATAGTTTTTATTCTTAGAAAAGACTAAAAAATTAAATAAAAATTTTAGGTAGTTCCTGCTACGTGGAACATTACTAGAGGTTGTCATTATACTTATTTAGCCTGGAATATCTTTATGTGGGTTTGTTGGTTAATAACGAAAAATTCTGATCCTGGTTATCTTCCAATTAATTCTGGAAGTTATATTCAAAGCATAAGAGAGGTAAATGTTATAACAAGTGTTTAATAGTAAAATTTTATTATAAGATTTTTAAAATATTTAAAAACATTTTGAATGCCATTTTTTTTACTGTTTATGAATTCCTAGTTTTTCAAAAAATGTTATCACTATTTTTAAGAAAAATTGCCTATACTTAACTCCTTAAAATTTATATAATGCATAACACATAGAATACAACGGAATAATTAAGTAAATAGAATGTTTTTTTAGCATTAAAATAAATAATAAAAATTTTTATATTTACATGCAGGACTAGCAGAAATTGGGGAAGTTAAGACGCCAAATATTTTATTAGGTTCCCCAAAATAAGTAGAAAGTTTGTGTGTTATTAGACAAAAACATAATTTAATATGAGGGAAATATTTAAAATACGAGAATAATATATATGTATATCAAAATTTTTATTTTATTTCTGCCTACGAAATATAGTGTCACATATTTTGGTAAACTGTTGCGCAAAAATAAAAAAGTTTACTAATTGTTTTGTCTATAGACGAAACTTACTGCTCCGGGGACTATAAGGTCTTAATTAGACTCTAAATGAAACAGGGGTATATTAATAAAAATGTGGTGCAATATTTATGTGGTGAATGTAATAATAATTACTAGTTAAATAGTTTAAATATTCTCAACATTTATAGCAAAACTGTTGCAGTTTTATAGAATATTATGGGTGTCCAACCCTTATGTCTTATTAGAGTTTCAACATTATTTATTCAAATGGTAATATACATATTTAACTAGCTTATAAAATAAAAATGGATTGTCAAGAAAATGAGTGGTCAATATTAACTTTTGAACCAGTACTTTGGAAGTTATTTTCATTTTTATATCTAGGCAGGACGAAGAGTATGGTTAGAAAATGTCTAGTTATAAAAATAAAGCACTCACTGCTCATTATCAATCATTACTTAACATTTTTAATTAATTTTGACCCATTAATTCAAAATTTATAAATATTTTAAATTATAAAGTGTAGGTGAAGTGTGGTTTATGTTATTTTTATCATTATGTATTGCTCTGTCGTGCTCTTCATCCGATTTATTTAAAAACGTTATCAACTTACGAAATCATGATTCAATCAATTTGTTATTGCCTAGTCATTTTTTTATTTCATATTATAATTAAATATGTATTTTACCATTAAATAAAATTAAACTTGGGTTGAAAAATATTTAATAATTATTAATTCAATTTTAATTGGAAATGTATGAAACTAAAAAATACAAAAAAATAACATTTTTGACATTATTATAATAATAAAACAAGTGGTAATTTTATATGAATCATTCTGTATGTATTTATTTATGAACAAAAAATTATTAAATTTGGCTCTACTGTTTTAAAATTTGCAAAAAAGAAATATATATTTTTATATAGCAATAATTATTAATATAACTTGTTCATTATTATTTAAGGTATTTATAACTTAATAAAAATATAAAGAAAACATTTTTTTTTTAATATTTTATCTAAATTGACTTTAATACTTTATATTTATCAATAAACAAACGATTTGAAGAAGTTTATATTATTTTTACTATAAAATTTTAATCACTTTATAAACGCGTTAAAACGTGATTAAAATATCAAATTTCTGGAACATAAAAGTATTTAATACGAAAAAAAACTTTTTTTTATTTCTCTTAAATAAAATGTTTTTTTTTTTTTTAACAACCCTGAAATTATTTAAATTATGTTATTATACATTTGTAGTTGCCATTCTATCCGTGCGATATGGGTACAAAACAAGACATTTTATCAAGACTGTGTCATACTTGTCGCTGTGTGAGGCCTTTAAGAGCAAAACATTGCCGCTTATGTAACCGGTGTGTTCAACATTTCGATCATCATTGTCAGTATGTAACTAATTGCGTTGGCATTAGCAACAGGTAAAAAAACATGGTCTTTTAAAAATAAAATTCCATTAAGCCGATATTGATTCTTTTAGATCTTGGTTTTTCTGGTTCGTTATTAGTTTGGCCATGAATTGTTCATATATTATTTATCTGGTATCCTGTACAATAAGCGTCGAAGGAATATCCGTTCTTTACATTTTAGCTCTCTTACAGTCTATCGCCTTTGGACTACTTAATTGGACATTATCTGTTACAATTGTAAGTTTTTCATAAAAAAATTAGTGACCCTTACAAGCTCAATATTATTAACAGTATTCATATCAATCAATCTGCTCGTTAAAAACATCCATAAATATTTCTTTATTTATTCCTGTATTCGCTGTCAAGTGGTTTTCATTTTCATTTTGCTATCTATAGGCGTAGTGTGGTTAAAAAAAATTTGGAGGGTGTAGCGTGAACTAAATCAAATTTACCCCACCCCCCCTAAAAATATTTATATAATATTGCTAATATATAAAATATTGTATATGTTGTCTGATAAAATTATACATAGAGTATTGGTTGTTTGATTAATTATTGATCACTCGATTTCTGTTAAATAATACAATATAATCAACAACCTCTCCTCAATATCCCGTCATTTATCTATGATACTATAGAAATTGTGAATTGCAAATATCATCAAAATTTGATAATAAGTAACGTGTACTATTAATCGACCTTGTAAATAAAAGATAATTAAAATTACTATCAATTTCGATCAACGATTAACAGTGTTCAACAATACACAATTAAAATGATAAAATATAAAATATTTATATAATTTTAATTTTTTCAATATTGTATATTGAAATATTTTCAGTAGTATTGAATGTATAAGAGTCATTTAATTGTTTAGTTATTATTATTAATTTTAACTCGATAATTTAATACTTAGTGCGCAAACGCTTTGATGAATTTAACAAGAAATGAAATGATCAATTACAAAAAATATTCATATTTGAAAAATACCAAAGGAAAGTATTTCAACCCATTTTCAAGAGGAGTTGTTATTAATGTTATGGAATTTTTTGGCTGTACCCGAAATAGATTAAATTACGAAACTATTAAATATTGCTACGATTAAAATAAACATCATTTGTTAATTTATTTTATATAGATAAAAAAAATTCACATTATATTTATATAATTATACATTTTTATATTTTTGTATATGCAATCATTCAAGTTGATGAAGAAAAATTTGATTGAATTTAAATATAATGAAGCACTTGGTCATTGCCTTACTCAAAATATTATGCTTAATGCTTGGTTGTAAGCTTATATTTATATTATTTAATTGATTAACATTGGTGATGATTATGCATTTTTGTTATTTTTACACCAAGTATATTCATATTTTGATGTTTTTTTTAATTATTATTGGATATTATTTAAATTAATATGTTATAAATAAATAAAAAATCTTATTGACATACATCCGTCCTACTAATTATCCACAAAATATAATTAAAGGAAAGTCATTAAATGATTGATAATTCAGGTGTCGTCATAGAAATCACACCTACTTTCTACTCTTGGAGAACCATAATTTATAATTCATATAATTATTTGCATACAATACAAGTGCGTTTCTTTATTTTATAAATACCTGCACGGATCTTGTTTTTGTTTAAAAAACCAAGAGAAAATTGGCAAAAACTAAATTTGTTTTTATTGAATTTTCAACTTGATTCATTTGGTTATATGAAGAAGCGAAGTATAAAAAACTTTTATATAAATAACAAAATAATCATGAACTATGATTTGCATATTAATATTAGCATGATATTATTATACATTAAAAATTAATATTTAAAATCAATTAAAATATACGAAATAAATTATACACTAAACATAAGAGTTAATCCAAGTGGCACAAAATTAAAATTACAACTTAATATTATTCATTGCTATAAATTCACAAAAAATATTAGGTACAAATTATACAGATTTATTGATACCACTAAACTATTAATGGCCACATTATTTAAATTTATAATTAATATCTTAGACAATAAGTAATATTTTACTATTTTCTTACATTTAAACAACAGTATACAAATTTAGTATTATTTATAGTCCATTGTAAAATAGAGTATCAAGTATTTATTATAAGTAAATTTATAAATATTTTAATACTATATTGTTTAAAAATTTTAATGATTGAAATTTAATAAACTATTAAAGATAATTGTTGTAGTAAGATAAATAAAAAAAAACTATTTTTTACTTATTTGCATAAATTTACTTGATCAATAAAATTAAGAGTTAGCGTTCTTTATTTAACTAACTTTGCTCTAGGAAATTTTAAATACTATGAGGGTAGGTAAGATAAAAAAATGAAAATTCACAAAACCTAACCTTACTTTGTGTTAATCAAGGATAAACATACATATATAATTTATAACAATTGTGAGTCTTATAACATTTTTTTAACACATTTTTTACAGTTATCAATTAGAGTATTAATTAAGAGCTTTTCATCTTTTACAATTCTTTATTAGTTTATATTTTGATGTTTCACTCATAAAGTTAATAAATATTTGTTCTATTTAAATATATACATATATATACAGGGTGGAACGGATCTAACTGACAATTTATATTACTTATGATCTACATAACATTTTATACTATTTTTTTTTTTAATCAATTTTTACAATATGTTTTATGTTATTTTTTGTAATTGCGAAAAATAACATAAAACATATTTTAAATATCGTTCTATATTATAAAAATTGATTAAAAAAAAAAGTATAAAATGTTATGTAGATCATAAGTTATATGAATTGTCAGTTAGATCCGTTCCTCTCTGTATATATATATATATATATAAATATTTATAATTAACTAACACAATAATTGTAATTATTTATTTTTTATTAAAGGTTTGATTTTTCCTGCTAATGAACAGTTAAAATATTGCAGTAGTACTTAATTTAGATATTTTCTTAGTTATATAAACTTCTCAATCAGATTAAAATTTTTTTTATATATAAATATCAATGGTTTTTTTTACCAGTAGTGTTCATTAATTGGTGATGTTACCATAATAATAAGACATAGCACTTTTTAAGGGTATTATTATCTAACAGGAAGCATAGATCAATTATAAGATAAAATATCAATTAAATAAAAACACGATCAAGATAAATAAGACAACATTATCATACTTAAAATAATATTTTTGTTATTTATTAAATAAATCAAAATATATTTTATTTTATTTTTAATTTTTTAAAAATTTAAAATTAGCAGTTTTTTAGAACTTTACTTACAAATATTTTGATAATTACTTATTGTAAAGTTGTTATCGATCCATCAAACGTTTCTTAAGAAAAAAGATAAAAATAGTTATTTTGAATTTTGGCAAATAAAAAATAAATTAGTTTAATTATTAAAAATAAATCATAAAAAATATGATTTAACGTAGTCTAAGATCGCAAAAATTGTTTTAAAAAAAATTACAGTAAAATTTTAATAGGCGTTTTAATTATACATATATTTATATTATATATTATATATATAATTCAAAGTATATTGCGCATAGTTTAATTATTAAAACACATTTATTAAAGTTTGGATAAATAATGATAGCGTCATAAAATCCTTTAGTGATTTAATTAGTTTAATATGTAATATACCATTAACATTAAAATTAAAACAATACTCATTTTTGACTAGTTGTACACTTAAATGAGAAAAAGTTCGATACTGTTATTAAAGAAGACTTATTAAACTCCATTCTTAATAGAAGTTATTGATTTTAATTTTAAAAAATTAACTTCATTAAAAATTTATATTATCAGTATTGTTTATTTTTTCATTAATTGCGAAAAAAATGAAGAAAGATGAATTATTAGTAATGTACTAGATTTAAGATAGTTTTTTTATAAAATAAAATATATATATTTATCTAAAAAGTCTTCGATTATAACTAGTACCTAGAGTTTTCAAGTATTTTAAAATTTGTTCATCTAGCAATAAAATCAGTAAAGCTAGGATCAAATTAATTTTGTTCCATTCATTTAAACACGAACACTATTCATTTTAATGTTATTTAATATAAAAGTGACTTAGGTTAATGAATATTATTAAATCAAATCTGTAGTTTTTCAAAAAATATCTCAAATTAGTTTGATTTTTAAATTCCCAATTAACTAGTAATCAGTATGGAAGGAACGAATTTAATTTGGTCTAGGGTCGAATGGTTCAGCGTTTAATCCTACATACCGATTATTCTTTCTATGCACAAAACCTGTTCCAGGGGCTGTATTGTAGTATATTACCCTTCGAATTCCGAAAGGATCAATATAACCAAAACTACCAGCACGTGTGTCTTCCTGATCATTGGACTGTTCCTCGTGATAATGTTTGGGTAAATAATACTTGAAGCCGTTACGGACGAATGATACACCGTCGTACTGATCTTCGTTTTCGGATCCTTGAGCCGATAAATCCACTACCTTTCGATATGCCGGACGAAACGTTTGGGGTCGCAGTGGCTGTTTGTAAACGGGCAATGGGGAAACCGTGGTAGATGGCGTGAATGACCTGCGTTGGAATTCGGCGGCAGTTTCTCCATTGACAGCGATGGAATTGACATCCACCGGTTTAACTGCAGCAAAGAAATCGGGTGACGCAGTGGTTAATAGTTGTCGGTAAAAAGGCGAAGTCGTACTCGATGGGAATTGTAAAGGTGATCGGTCAGTGTCGGACGGATAAATAAACGGTGAGCCGTGCCATGAAGATTGCCGAGGTGATTCTGTAACTACCACTGGCTTTGAACGGCGATAAGGCGATATAGTCACTGCAGTACCAGCCACTGGTGAAACATTCTTAGCTGCAGAAACGGCTTGTCCAACCGCCGATTGTGAACCAACGAATAACTTTTTATTTCTGACTACTCTGTAACCTGTGGAATTAAAAATATGATTCAATTTTATCCACACATACCATAAGTATAGATTTAGTTATAACAGAATTTATTTCAGTAAAAAAACAGATATTTTCAAACGATTATTCATATTTAACTCGCATAAGATCTTCGTATCTGCATAAAAAGTGTTTAAAAAATAAGGAAATCTTTTTCTATACTTTATTTGATCTTAACAAATAAAGAGAACAGTTTTACATTATTTAAGAGCCCTTTTTTTCCTGCAAAAAAAAAATTTAAAACAAATCTTAAATTCTATAAATATTCATACCTTGTGTGTTAGTTTATTATACTATATACCTCAATAAGAGCAAATGCAGTTCTTACCTAATCTGGTCACGTGAGTAACATTAGCAATTTTTAAGTGTCTCTTAAAAATATTCTTGTGTGTTATTTCCTATTGAGTTTATACCTTATTTTATTTTTTATAGAATAAAATTGTTTTTGTTTGACGTTTTATAAATTATGTTCTATACCAGCGTTTAAATTTCTTGTGAGTACTATTTCGGCTAATTGTTTACCATTCACTACAAAATAGTGTTTTTTTCTTCATAGTCTTTGTTTAAAAATTTTCAGAATATATGAAAACTCATTTAATAGAAATTAACTTTGAATGATTCGGTGGTAATTTTTATATATTTTAATAATAATTACAATTACTTAATTTGTTTTTTATATATTATGAATTAAAATGGCTAATCCTTCAACCACTTATCCCAAAATCGCCTAATATTTTCCATAATTCTACTGGAACTTCATCTAGTGCTACTGCTTTATTCTATAAATTTTATTTTAATGATCATAAAATTATTTTTTACATACCTGTTGTATAAATAATGAGTATTTGATTATTATTTAGTATAATTTTATATACATTTATGTATTTGATATTTTTGTAGCAATATTATTATTATTATTGATCTTTATGCAAGCAGATATTTAATTTAAAAATATTAAAAATAATGAATAAAAACAAAATTTATATTTAAATTAAGTTTATATTAATATCAAGAAACTTATTATATTAGATTTACTTTATAGATATAAATTATTTTAATTATTTTAAATATAATTATAATACATATACGTATAATAGTACAATTTATATACTGTAAACAAAGAATTTATAATGTACATAAAAATAGATTTTCACATAAATTAGTGTAAATTCTGTACTATAATATCTAATTTATTTGTACATCATCTGTAGTAATTGCTCTTTAGTGGGCGTAATCGATATTTATATTATTCAATGTAATTTAAAAACTATGTCATATTATAAATATTTTAAATAAAAAATAAAAGGATGCCTAAAATAAAATGTATGAATTTAGAATATTATTTTACTATCTATTATTTAGTATTAGGGTTAGTCCCATATCCGATTTTCCTATGTGCTTCACGGGTCTTCATTTTTTAATTAAATTTTTACTATATTTTTGTTGTACTAATTCTGAAGCAATATTTTCCTTGCAAAATGCTTAGAATCGGCTTAGCCAGATACTCCTACCTTGGAATCAGTGGCCTACCTATGAGGATTTCCCGAAGAGCCTAACGCACTGAAGGCATATGAGGGTTGTAGGTCACCGGGTCTGAGGCAGAGCTCCAGCTAGATGGCCTTTAATTAAAATATAATAAAAAAAGAAATTATAATTTTAATGAGCACAAAAAAGTAACATTTTTATAATCGAAATACATGCAGCCATATTTATACATAATTCTAAATAATAAGCTGATTAAGCTTCTAAAAACATGCTAAGAGTGGTGTAGGAAATATATTCATAATGACCAGTTATAAATATAATTCATAATTATATTAAATTTATAATGTGAACTATTTTAAAGACATCATTAAAGTAATTTTGCAAAAAAATTATATCAGTGAAAAATATGTATGGTTTACCATTCGAGTCAGCTACATAATCGTTCAATCTTAAATATCCGTCCGCGTCCACCCATCCATATGTGCCGACAACACTTCCATCATGTAATCGTCTTTCTTTTCTGTATTGCCCACTAATTGTTTGATATTTAAAATATCTCTCTGGTCCTTCATCTGTTTGTATATGATATTGAGTATTCGGCTCTGTGTCCCATCCTCCATCAATTTTGGTTGCCACTGAACCCAAAATAGTGAACTGCAATATTTCAATACATTCTATACCAACGGATGTAAATAAATTCAAATCTTAACCATTTAAAATATTTTTATTGATAGTAATCTGTTAATGCCAATTTATCATTTAATCTTTAGATAGTTGAAAGAACTTTAAGAAATAGCAGAAATTCATGAGTTAATTCAAATATGTTTGAATTTCAGAGTTTAGAATACTAATAACTTTTAACAGGATTATTATTTGATTACAAATTGTGAATATTGTTTGTAAAAAGTTCATTCAAAACTGTTGCTATATATTAGACAAATTATTTTACTTACAATTAATAACTATCAATAAACGGATGGATGACCACCCTAGCAAGCAGTGACGTATTTATGGGGGAGGGGGTCCAGGGGTATTGGACCCCCCCCCCCCCCCCCCC